ACCACCATGGAGCCGACTACGTCTACTGTGACATCGACTACAACTCAAGAACCTAGTTCGTCCACGATTACGTCTACCACCCAGGAGCCGAGTACATCCACGATTACGTCTACCACCACTCAGGAGCCGACTACGTCTACTGTGACTTCGACTACCACCATGGAGCCGACTACGTCTACTGTGACATCGACTACAACTCAAGAACCTAGTTCATCTACTGTGACATCGACTACAACTCAAGAACCTAGTTCATCCACGTTTACGTCTACCACCCAGGAGCCGAGTACATCCACGATTACGTCTACCACCACTCAGGAGCCGACTACGTCTTCTGTGACTTCGACTACCACCCAGGAGCCGACGACTTCAGATCCATATCCAGAAAGATGTAACTCGCTTCATGCACGTTCCTGTATTCATTCTGATTTACAGCTAACTGCACTTGCGCAGCCGATATTCCTGTTATTCAGCTTACCAGCAGCGATGGCATGTACAATGACACATTTTGGAGCGAACAGAGTGCAGTGATTGCTGCTAATTGGGATTCTTCGTATACCACTGTCGTTAAAATTGTCAACCAGTTGTCAAACACGAGCTGCTCAAACCAAATCCAATGCAGTTATCAAAAGGGAAACGGATACGAATACGTGCAAGGAAACTTGTTCGTTGGATATGAGAATGGAACCGTGAGATCTGGAAAGTTTAACAAGAAAAACAATTCAATTTTCAGTACATTCAATATGTTGACAATCTGGATGGAAACATTACGTGGCCTTCCGTTTACTGTAACGCTGCGAATCATTGGACCTATGAAGGAGGATTAGTGGTCTCCGCCGGATGCATTTCAGTGATCTACTGGCCATGATTTCGGCTTCAATTTTCTCATTCTGTGTTGCTATGAAATTTCTGAACACCTGTATTTTTCAATGAATGCAAAACATCTACTATCAAGGCATACAAAACGTGCTCTGTTGAGAAACCCAGTCAATTGTAAACTCCTGAATTCCTTTTCAAACATATGTACAAGGCTGGGCAATTGGCCGGCGGCCCTTGACTTGGATCTTTGAACCACTTGCAATATTCCGATCGGACCCAAACTTTTTCAGCTCGATCGGATCATCGCTAGATCGGAAATTGGCCGGAATCCCGGGGGTTTTTGGAAAAATCGTCCAATGATCCTCATCGCTCGGGACCAGACGATCCGGTCGGGCTGAAACTTGGTCCCAATATGTGCCCAAATGTGCCCGAAGTTTTGCAAGGCGCCAAATTTCTCGGTCATTGTATGAATTGCCGGGCTGTTGTGGAACACGACAAAAAATTGAATAGTTAAAGAGTTTTATGGAACACATGTTTAGATTATTCAGGATATTTATCTCCCGGTCTTCCGCAAATACCCATGTTCACAACTGGAAGTGTACTTCCAGTTCCTACGCCATTCAGGTTGGTCAGTCCAAAATATCCGTATCCTCCAGGCATAGTTTCGTTCCAGAAGAACGCAGCGGTTCCATTTGCAACGCCTAGGATTGGCTGTGAAGGGAGTGTCGTGTTGGCAACATTTCCGTCACTCCAGTACCATAGTCCAGAAGTGGTGTTGTAGTCGATTGCCATCCACACTCCGTAGATTGTATACTTTTCGATGCTTCTTGCCACTGCAAAAGTTGAAATACTAACGTCTTAGAGAACACTCTCACAGGCTAGATAATAATCCCATTCTTCTTGCGTCTCTATACTGCTGTACGTCATATTGGCGAGTCTACAGTTCACCGCTTCAGACGCTTTTGGCATTGGCACATATCCGATGCTGTTGAAATCGGCCTGCAATAATTTCCATTTGATTAGTCAACATCTCGACTTATTTTATAGGTACAAGAATCGTTTGAGCGCAGTTTCTGCGCTCACTGATACCGAGAAAGGGAGAGGGACACATTTAAAACGTTTCCGATACTCACCTGAGAGCACCACCATCCGCTCTTCCGCCTGAACGGCTGAGCAAGCGATCTGTAACCGCATGGCCAGTAGCGAGTCGTGGTGGGCACAGCAGTCGATGTCGTCGTTCCATTAGTAGTGGGTTCCATTGTCGTTTGAGTGGTCGTTTGCGTCGTCGTTGTCACTGTCGTCGTAGCCGTCGTCGATGTACTCGGTGGGGCAGTCGTCGCCGTCGAAGTACTCGAAACCCCTGCAGTTGTGGTTGTTTCAACCTCTTCAGGAGTGGTGTTCTCTCCACTATCATCATCACAAGGAACACTCTCGTCAGACAAGTCATGGTCTTCTATAAATAAAGGTAGCATTAATTGTCGTTCGCAAAGACATCATCATACCACAAGAGCAGTCCTCGTGTCTTTGTGGCAGTCTTATTGGTCGGAACATTTGCTCGGTCAGGACGACCAAAGCAAGCAGCAAAAATAGTGTTTTCATAAGCATTTCTGCTACCGAAGCGCTGTTTCTTCGCTTGACCATGCTATTTTATACGCAGAGAAAAAGTATTAAAAGCTCCCGAACTCGGTACGAGGGGTTCGGTTGCAAACTGCACGCAAGTTTATTGCATGAACATGAAACCTGATGTTTCTCAAAAACGATTGCCTTTATGAGTTTAGCAATACATTCTCTTTCACTGTGGCACCATCATTGTACGCTCAAAACTTACTTCTTACAACCAACCTAGCATTGACAGAAGTACAATATATGGCACTTAAGACTAGTAGAACTTGTCCACACTTCATATTGTGTTCACTTCCTGTGAACAAAGGAACATCTTCATTTTCAGTGCGATCTTTTAGCCATCATTTTTCACAATGTCTGTTTCTCATGCGTTATGGTTCAAGACGGCGAGACTGTTCTTCGTTTTCCAAAAGATGCTTGCTCTCTTCTACTTTCAATGCATCAAGAAACAAGAGAGATTGAGGGGAAATTGAGGGAAAAGTTTATTAAAACAGCGAAATTAGTAATCTTCATTTGCAAAGCTCTTGTAACATCCGACGGAAACCACCTCCTCCCACTTGTAAATCCATTTTGAGTTGACGCACGCAACATCGTCGAAGTTAGTCGCACCTTCGGATATCTGAAAAAGACACGAAATGAGATAATGAATTTGCCGAATGAATCACTTGTCCACTAGCTGTAAAAACAGTCTGACCAGCACTGAAATCGTCGTCCAAATCTCCATAGTCACAGCTGAGACTGATAACACAGCCGGAAATTGATTCGCTATCCGCTTTCACGAAAGTTCCACTTTGGCCGATTTCAAGCAGTTTGGGTGCGACGTTTGCGGTGAAGTCCGCTTCGTTGAAAAGAGCCGGCTTTGTACACGTGCACACTGAAAAATGAATGGTTTCTAGAGGAGGATGCTCCAAGTGTGAAGGGGATACCGTCGGTACAAGCGGCGTTGGAGACACTGACGAGGGTGGAGGCGACGAGAAGAGCGGAGAGAAGCTTCATGACTGTTGAGAATGAAGATCGGGAGGGATGAGTGCGTGTTTTATAGAAACGCATTGAGATGGTAATAGGGCTCAGTTCGTATGCTAATGTACCGGAAAGGGAAAGAGAGAGAGAGAGGGAGAGACAGATAACTGGAAGTTGGCTTTTTGAACTTTTGGGTGGAATCGACACCATTCGAGGAGAGAACACACAGTCTCCACAAATGAAGAAACGGTTGTGATCTGAGCAACTTTCATTTCAGAGAAAGCGTAAAATGAGAGGATCTTGCTCAGAAACGAGTAGGTAACAGTCCAAACAAGGATAAATGTTTAGATTTCAGTGATTCTCTTCCGGATCCAGCTTTGTTCTGAACCTCAATCTTCTCCATGAAGTTCATTGATTCTCTCGTCTCGACTATTCTCTAGTTGATCATCAGTTTGTGATTTGATCGTTGGAAACCTCTAAATGAATATTCAATGCTTTGAACTACACTGTTTAAACTGAAATTCACAGTCTAAGTCTATTTGATGAGGGACCAAGTGTTATGGACAGTACTTTTCGGTGTCACAGTTATGAAACGGAAGTCGATCAGCGCAATGTTCAAATGTCGAATTGAGCGCATCCAACTTGAATCTTCGACCTATTTCTTCTTCAGTTTGGAGCACAACTAGCTCCTTTTACCTCTTCAAAATGATACTTTCTCTGCTTTCTGCGCGTATCTTTCCCACCCAACCACATGTTTTATGCTTTTTTCGCGACTCGGCAACAGGCGACAGTCGGTTCGAACGAGCATGTGACTGTTTCACAAATTATTTGATTCGGGTCATTGTGCAGAGAAAAAGAGAAGAGAATGACGGCCGCTTATCAGCACTTTCGCGACAAGGATCATTTGTCTTTTTGGCCATTCTTCTTGTCGCTCGTCCATGATACGTTCAAGTGCAACCGTCTCAATAACATTTCCTTATTTCGCTCCTCCACACACTATCGCCGATCTTCAGATGGACCCATTGCCTTCGACTTCCGAAGACTCTGATCGTCCGAAGCCGTTATCCTCTCCCAGACGGACGCTTCCAGAAGCGCCGCCCAGCTACTATGACTTTCCACCGAGTTACACGACGAACAGCGAAGTGTACACGGATGAGCTGCCCGCGTACTGTCCGCGCGAGTTTCCTGCCACGTCATCAAGGCAATGTATCGAGAGTCAACAACCTCCGCCCGCGCAGCAAAGAGTTTTCACGGTACTCCCACGACAAGCATACGCGATTCGGATGCATAGAAGTGAGTGGTTCCACGTCACCTAAAGGGTAATAGGATTCATTTTCCTCTTATCAGTACGTAAATAAAGATTTGAGCTAACCGCTGGGACAAAAATTTCCAATCTCTTAATTTCAGCACTGCGGTCTCCGCCCCCGGACAACCACATCCGTCGCCGTCTCAACCTGCTCGTCGGCACATTCTTCATCCTTCTGCTGGCTACCGTAATCCTAGTCCTGACTATCATAATGACTATTTGTCTTGTTTAACAATGTATGACAGAATGAAACATTTTTGAGAAAGGACAGAGTAGTGAAAAAAGTGTGGAAAAGAAAGAAAAGGTCAGTATTACTCGAGTGGGTAAACATTTGAAAAAACAGTGATAAAGCGATGTTATTGTGGTGCATGTGACACCCGCAAACATTCTTGTTTCCCTCGTCCACTCCTTTTTCAGCTCTTTTTCAGATTCACGAGGTCTCAAACAGTTATCTAAGCGATCATCGGTATAAAAGCGGCACGGCGCCCCCAAAAGCTCACTTATCAGTCGGATTCTTCTTCCGAACGGACTTTACCCCCTCAACTTTGTCTTTTTCGTTTTCTAATCGTCTTTTTAGCTTATTTCTCAAGTGTTCTGATTGACACTTTTCGTTTTTAAACCCGAAAACTGGACCATTTGCGCCGATAAGAAGCTCATTGTGGAGAGAAAATGTTACAGTTTTGGCCGATTCCTAAAGAAATGCACAATTCGAAAGAGGACCTCGACAGATTCTATTCGAACACTCCGAAGCACTCTCACTCGAGAGGTCCCTCCAGGTACGGTCCCCATCCATTTGCTTCGTGTCCGACAGTCTCTTTTCAGCAGTATCACGATCCCTCCGCATGGAATCATTCCTGCCGTTTATCACATTGACACTGGCGACTATTACAGTCAACCGCACGCCCATGACTCTCCCCCGGACTCGTCTGGCATCCACAAATCCGTCAAAATCGTCTTCGTTCTCATGGTTCTCACCGTTCTCCTCGTTGGATTCGTTTTTGCTACTCTTTCAGTCACTCGAATTGCTAAAACTTAAAATGCAATATTTTTGGTTCTAATTTCTGTAAAATTCCCGTTCTTCACTGTCAAATAAATATTCTTCCGTGCCGTCTGCAATATGATTTTAATTGCCGCGGAAAGTGTTTCCAACAACACTCCGAAATACCGCACTGCGCGCTGTTTAGCAGAAATTTCATTTTGTGACGTGTCGTGAGGAAAATTCTGATTTCCAGCGAAAAATTCGTGTTTCAATGCATTTTTCTTGAATTCATATCATCTCCTTTTGATTAATTATTATTTTCCAGGTAAAAACTGACAAAATGAACACACTGACATGGATTCTGACAGTATTGCTCGCTACACCCGCCGCTTCCTACTTCTTTCACGTCGATGCTAACGAGGAACAATGCTTTTTTGACCGATTGACGTCCGGAACCAAGATGGGACTGATGTTCGAAGTGGCAGAAGGAGGATTTCTCGATATCGACGTCAAGGTACTACTTTTTATCGAAATATTAGCTAATATTAGCTAAAATTCGCAGATTACTGGTCCGGACAACAAGGAAATTTACAAGGGAGAGCGCGAATCATCCGGAAAGTTCACTTTTGCTGCTCACATGGACGGAATCTACACCTACTGCTTCGGAAACAAAATGAGCACGATGACTCCGAAGGCCGTCATGTTCACCGTCGAAATCACGGAGCCGCATCAACAAGCACCGGGAGCCGCAACCAATCAGGATGCCGGTGAGTATTTATTCAGTTTTTGAATGAAAATAACTGGAGAATAAGCGGATTAATCTTTTTTGTAAAAAAATGTCAGAAAAGTGCAAGAAAATCTTGCTATTACTCTGTACAAAATCATACCTTTCCAGCGGACAACGCCAAACTGGAGGAGATGGTCCGTGAATTGTCTTCGGCTTTGATGTCCGTCAAACACGAGCAAGAATACATGGAAGTCAGAGAGCGAGTTCACAGAAACAGTGAGTTTCCCAAGTTAGATAAATTGAGTATTCGAACCATTTTTTTCAGTCAATGAGAACACCAACTCGCGCGTCGTCATGTGGGCCGGTTTCGAGGCTTTCGTGCTCGTCGGAATGACTGTCGGACAAATCTTCTACCTGAAACGATTTTTCGAAGTGCGAACGATGGTCTAATCTCCTTCTATTACGTGTTTCTATGTCTCTCTTCGCCCCCTACTCCTTATTTATTTTCCTTTTTGTTGACTGCTGGTTTCTGGTTCCCAAAATGAGTGATTTTATGTAGATGTAAGTATTTATGAGAATAAGTGAGATTCACGATTTGTTCGCGTGAACAGGGTCGTCTCGTGGTGCTCGCGCTCGCGCGCCTCACCCTTGCCGAAAATTACCTGAGAAAAAATTGCTCAGCTTTCTAATTACTCACTTCGAGTTACCAGAAGTGAAAAGGACAGGAGTGCTGCGCTCAGGCTCTGAAAATGCCGGTCAGTTCGATGGAAGTGCTCTTTTCGGGCACAATCGATCGCTGCCTCCAGAAACCATTCTCCAGAATCGCCACGAAAAACGGAAAACTGGTGGAATGTGTGCTCAACTCCGTTTGGAATCGCAGCGATCCGATCGACGACGCCGACTTTCAAATGGGCGAATTTCCGGAAAACGTCGAGCTATTCGGTGAATACTTCACTTTCCATTAATTTAATGTCAAATTTCAGTGAATTTTCTGAATAGTATGCATTTGACATTCTGGGATTTGGCTCCGAACGGGGTCGACGCAGTCATCCATCGGTAGATCTCCGAATGCAGGAATCACGGAGCTCCCACTGGACGACGGAATTCGTTTCAATTGTTGGTTTGAACTTTAATTGTAAAAGGCGTGAAATTACATGAATACAAGCGCGACCTTTCAAATCTTGAAATGATACCGCTACTTGCACTTGCACTTTTCACACTTAGATCTTTTTCATAAAAGGTTCTTCCGATCAGAGGTCTTTTGTCGAAATGCCTTTGAAGAAACAGTTGTTGTTCCGTCTGGCTCAACCAAAAGACAAAGAAAATATCATCCAGTTTCTGATGGCTCACTTCGCGAAGGAAGAGCCCTGCGCCAGAGTGAGATTGATCCGTTTCAGCGTGAGTTCATTCCAGTAACTTCAGGCTCTGAATCTGACTCCGGACATTTCCCACGGTGTCTTCTCGAATACAGTAGATCGATGTCTCAGATTTCCGTTCTCCACTATCGTGACTCAACCGAATGGCCAACTGACTGCGTGCCTCCTAAGTTCAGTCTGGAATCGGACTGATCCGTTGGAAAGCGCCGACTTTTATTCGGAGAATATTCCAGAACACTCTCAGTTGTTTCGTGAGAATTACCTTCTGGGGCCTCGTAATTTTAACTTTACTTTCAGTCCGTTTCTTGAACAATGCACATTCCAACTTTTGGAATTTGGCTCCGTCGCATATCGATTCAGTGATTCACAGGTTTGACCCTCCCCTTGGGATCATCTTAGCATACATTTATTTTCAGAGAAATCGGAAGTGTTGCACTGCCATTCCAAAGAGCGGGAATAGCAACGAGGCTAGTAACCGAGAATATGACCCAAACCAACTTGAAAGTGAGTTCTCTTCCGATCTCTTCCCCCTATCTGAACGTCTTTTTTAGAAATACAAGATCGGCGGAGTCATTTCGGAAACCACTTCCCTCGCCAATCAGATTCTGCTCGAGAAATCTGGATTCAAGGTTCTAGTTCAAGGTTATAGTCCTCTCTAGTTATACCAGTTTCAGTGTCTGAAAGAAATGCCCTTCTCGGATATTGTGGACTCGAAAGGCAGACAAGTTCTTCGGCTGGACGACGGAACCACCCATCTCCGTCTGAACTTCAAGCCCATCGAAGACTACGATAACTTGCCCGAGTGATGTCACTGCAACTGAAATGTTTACTTGTTCAAACTTCTGATGCATATTTCCGTAAACCAATTCCTAGCGAACGAGATTCCTCCGGAGAAATTCCTGTTCCACTGTCTGAAATAGAATTGCAAACAAATCTGGGACAACCGAACTTCATTCGAGTTTACTGGGGTTTTCAATACGTTTGCATTCCTCAACTGGGTCAAGAATGTCTCCCGATTAGTACATTCATCTCGTATTCGCGCCGTGAAAGAAGTTGTCCAACGTGCACACGCAGCAGTCACCATCAACAATGGATGAACAATATTCGAAGCGATTCCGTTTGATCAGCTGGCTCTGCGTCTCTTCAATCCTCGCACTGTTTCCGCGAAAGGGAAGTGCGGGGATGAAGGGGGATGAAGTGGAGCGGAGGCACAAAACGTTTTTCGAGTTAGTTTCATGATTGAACATTTTTCGCTCGTGAAAGGCCCTGGTCACTTGTTCCAAATGTTGTCGGTTTCACATACAATTCTTCTTCGACTGAAATCACATAAAATCTGAAAAGAATGAACGCCATAAACATCCATTGCCCTCTACATTATCACCGCTCTCTCTCTTTCTCCGTTCTTTCCGTTTGTTTCCCCCGACGGCCGTTCGATTCCTCGGTTTCCCACCCGCTCTTCTCCGCTCTTTTCCCATCTTTTATCGATGGTTCGACCCACTTTCGTACGCATTAAGTTGCCTTCCCGACCCGCTCCGATGGCGGATCAACCTCCGACACCGGGCCCACCGCCGCCCCCGCAGTCCGTCAGGTCCACTTCGAAGGCCCCGCTGCCAGGTACACGTCGATCGATTTGGAGAATGAAATACCCGAAATGTACAAGTGAGTTTATTGCTTTCCAGCTGAGCATACACAACACAATTCTCTTTTCAGCACTTCTCTCAATCCCGCTATTCACGACCCCGACATGACCATGTTCTTCAACCGAAATGCGCCGCCGTTTCACACAAACTACGCGAAGCGACACAGTCCGCCGCCGAGCTATTCATCAAGATCGAGTGAGTTTTGAACGGAGACGACAAGATGAACGAACGTCGTTGTTTTGCAGAACAAGGAAGTGTCTCCTCGTCGTCGAGCACATCGAAGAGCCGAGTTTCCCGCCGCAACTTCTTCGTCGGCTGCTTTCTCTGTGTCTTCATCGCCGCGCCCCTCGTCTTTCTGCTCGTCTTCTACCTGATTCCTCGAATTGTCGTTATCGACCGTCCGTTGAGATTCTAACAGGTTCCCGTTTGTACATGAACTGCCACCTCTGGGATAGATTCCTATTGTAGACACTTGTCACACTCACACACATTCCCATAATAAAGTTTCATTTATTTCGTCAGAATTTGTTAACTTCTCCTACTTGCGTTCTTCGACCAGTCATTTCCCGTGAGATGAAGTGGATCGAATTGTTTGTGGTTGCAACGGCGTCTTTGTAACCCGGAACGTACAAGATCACGAAACATCGACGAGCCTGAAAAAGAGAAAAATGTTGGAGTACTCGTACTCTCGAGCTTGAGCTTTGTGTTTATTATGAACTAACTTTTGTGCTAAATGCCAAGAACATCCACGGATGGATGAGAGTTAGTCCGTCGCTGACGTACGGAAGAAGAGTGACGGCGACTTTCGACCACAGACTGTCCTTGTTGCTGTCATTCAAAACGAGGCGGTTTATGGTCTGAAACGATCACTCTCCATCGAACTCTTTATTTTCGAGTATACCGTGTTGATATCAGCCACGAGTTGGACAATAAAAAGGGATCCGCTGACGAAGAGAAGGTTCCGTTCGGCCACCGAGATCTTGAAAGCCATGCAGGAGAGACGGTAGAAAGAGGCGATGTTCACGATGGCCGTGATGACTGTGATGAGGGTCAGGGCGGCCAATAACTGATTGTACACGAGTTCCCGGTCCTGATAGATAGTTGACTGTAAAGGGATGGTTACCGGTAGCTCACCATAGTGCTGGCGACAGTGAAACAATCCAATGATTCTGTATAGACATAGTAAGTTGAACTGGTGAGAACTTGCAGGGTAAAGGGAATCGGACAGAGAACTATTGCCAGAACCGCCGGAAAAAACATTCGTTTCCACACCTGAAACTCTCTGAAATTAGTTATAATTGCAACTTCCCTCGTACTTTTTCATAACGTGTACTCCAGAAAATCATTGTGAACCGATTGAGCGAAGTGAGAAATATCATGAGAAATTGCATATAGGCCATGTTGTAATGAATGAAATAGAAGAAATTGAGGGGAAACCACGAGGGATTCGTGGCCGAATGCGCCTTGAAAAGGAAGGACATGAGGCAGTCGTTGCAGGTGTTTTGAGGGATTCGGACGGTGATGAACGAGTTGAAGAATGTGATGTTGTTCTGTACATAATCTCTCGTAACTATTGATGTTCCGCGGGAAACACACTCACACACACAAAGAACGTGATGTAGAGGTTGAGGAAAGTGCTCGAGAAGTCCTTGGGGAACCGTCTCACCATCACAATAGTCATCGAATAGAGGACCATCGAGGGAATACTGTAGAGGAGTGTGGTTCCGAATTTGAGTGTGAACATGTCTGGAAAGGAGTCCATCGGGCTGGAAATGAAGAGAGCCAGCTCAGAAGTGAGTGACTCTCACACCAGCAGAACTAGGAGGCTTATTGTGGTGTGTGAGCGTCTGGTGAAAATTCGAAGAACTCGAACTCTTGTGTTAGAAAAACAGCCGAACCGAAGTTTGTGCGCAAAAAAAGACAACGAGAAACAAGAAGAATATAGTTGTGTTATAACAAAAGAGCGAAAATATCATAATCCTTTTTATATGAGATCATCCCAAAACCGTTTGTTCCAGATTGTTTTGCTCAGCTGTCTGTAGAGATCTCAAAAAGAAGTTAACTGATAGAATGTACACCATGTTTTCGAAATCAATTTTTTAGTTGAACATTCTTTGATATCTTCATCGGGAGCTGAGATATACAATCTGGAATTAACGGTAATGGTCTGCCGTTGTATTACAGTTTTTACGCCGGATTTGTAGGATCTGAACTTAGAAGAACTAGGTCATTACAAACAACAGTCTTGGGCTTTTATAAACAACCAAAAGTTCTTTCTTAATGAGCTCTAATACTTTTTTTCATAATGACAGTACATTCAGAACCGAAAACAAAGGTATTCAGCATTTGCTTCAAGAACTTCGAACACCAGATTAGACAGAACAAGTCGAATCGAAGAACAATAACTTGATTTGAGTGAACAACCGACTTGTCAGAAAGCAGACGGAAGGTAATTTCGGAAGAAGAAAATGGAAAGAAAGGTGCAGCGCTGATGTTTGAGCCAGGTGATTTTGGGTGTAACGATGATCAGTCACCCAATAATTTATTCATTCTTTCAGAACACAGACAAATCACAAATGTCAAAATGAGTGTGCTCGAACTTTTGCCCGTCTGGATTGTGCGTCACAAGTAGTATTTCTGTCAGTCATCCGACTGTCGCCTCGACTCCACAGTCATGTCCTCTGCACAGATTGCCAGCACGGATCTTTTTGAGTGTACATCTGAAAACATATAGATACTGTCAAGTCGGAAAAGGTTGAGTGCTCTTGTGAATGCTAATGGAGCGTTACTGGAGTCAACAATTATAGAACGACGCTGAATTCTGAGAATTCTGATGTGGTTAAGAAAATTACTGAATATCATCCAAGTACGGCTCGTTGTCCAGAATAGCAATGTAAATGCAGTCCTCGTCCGCGTCGTAATCGATTCCAGAAGGCTGTGGAGCAATCCATTGATAGAAGCCGGGCAGTTTATTTGAGCAAGAGCTAGATCCCTCGGGTATTGTCTTAAATCGAACCGGAGGAAGAGTCCAACTTCATCACTGATGTGATCTGTTCTAATTGAAACATCCGGCAACTGTCAGCAGCATGTATTATAGGAGCACCGGACAGAAAGGGCGCGCTGTTCGCAATCTGGCCGAGTTTCTAGGCCGCGAAGTAGTTTTCCACTGAAAACGTGGCCTAACTTTTCAAACTCGGCCCCGAGGTCGCTCAATTTGCACTGCAAAAAGAGTTTCTCAACAGAGCGCCATTTCTGTGCGGTGCCTCTATAATACAACCTGAAACAAATCTGAAAATAAAACGAAAGACACCTCTGAGAATACCACACAAAAAAGTGGAGTTTAGGCAGTGATCCAGACAGAATTCCCAATCCGAACCGAGTATTGTGTAGTTGGCGTAAGTGCTGACACTATTATGATTCCGAGCGGAAGAGCACACACACACACACACACATATGCTTTTGAAATGTGAATGAGAATCAAGAATCAGAAGCACAAAGCGAAGTGCTCAACGGATTTTTCAAATTCATTGATAGTTCAACGACGGCTCTACAAAAATGTGTCCTTTCGCTAATTGCATGCACTTTTCATCGCATAAATACCACAGTCCTCGCCTTGCTCCCTCTTCGCGGAAAGTGTCTTTTTCATTTAATTCCAATCCGATTTCCTCCATTTTTGTTGTCTCCCATCTGAGTCCCCCACACAATGAATTCTATTTTGTAATTGTTGAGTCCCCACCTGCCTAAACATTATTTCCAATCACTTTGAGGCAGAAAAAAGGGAAGCAGAAAGCAGCGTGCGTGTTGTGTCATTTCCTCCCCTTGACTACTAGTGACCAACGGGACTAGTAGCCATCAAGCGGGAGGGGAAGAAGCCGGAGGGGGGCTTTGGGTGCTCGTGCACTCGGACTCCCCCGCTCGTCATTTCCTCGGATGAGACACGTCTCTTTCCCATTCGAAGAGCGGGAAAAGTGCGGAAAAGCCTAGACAATTCTGTTTGCTTTCCGCCTGCCGGTCAACCCGATCGTTTCATCAGAAATCTCACATTTTCCCTTTCACATTTCAAACTTTTCAGTGTCTTTTCCTTTCTTCTTCTTCGCCTTCTTGTGGCCGTAATCCTGACCGTGTGATCATGACCACAAAAACTATAATCTTATCAAAATTTATCATTTTTACACAAAGTTGCTAACACGCACACACCGTCCCGAAAATGGTGAGAAAAGTCGTAAAATAAACATGGTGCCAAAGACTAAATACTCATTTTCGTTATCGTGAGCTGAGCTCCGACTGGGGCACAAAAAGTAGTGCTCTGTGGGCGGAGAGATCCATCTTTAACTGGAATCCCTCCAAACTTCTTGGAAAAGCCGCAATTTTCACTTTCACGTTATCAGTTCGTCTTGAGCAGATTAATTTATTGTCAACTTTTGGACTTTTGTTGTTTGGATTCTCGAAAACCTTTCAAAAACCTTGTTTCCTTGTTCTTTTCTGATGACGCAATGGAACAATGTCATCTGAATAAGAAGAAGACGAGAAGGAGCTCAGGAATTGGGTGGAGTTGAACGGAAAGAGATCTAAAAATAGATGGCGAGGAGCCAGAGAAACTAACAAGTTTGAGCAGTTTTGTCGTTTGAAAGTAGATCATTTGAAAGAGGCCGAAGAACAAAACCAATACACGCCAAGTGTTCCTCTAAGCTTTGAGCGATTCTATTTTGTTTTCAATTCTTATTATGCTCCCGATCCAAACGCAATGAAAGAAAACGATAACTCCCTGAAAATTGACGTGAACTCGACTCGTTCCACGTGCACTTTAAATGCATCTCTCGTTTTCTTTTTCTTTTGTTCCGTTGACCTCCTCCTCCTCCTCTTCCTCCATCCGTTTACTCATCACTTCCCCCCCTCCCCTTCATAAATTGTTCATCATCACTGCGCAAACGCATCATTTCTGTGCGCTCATTTTTTTGTGCCCTCTCATATCGCTTCCCTCCTCAATCCAGCCCGTTCGGCGCCCTTTTTGTCATTATTTTCACCGGAGAGAGCCCGTGGTGGACCTTGAGCATGAGCGCACTTGAGTTTCGAAAGATTTCGTCAGCAATTTCTGCGATCCGAATGAGCTCGTTTCCCCGTTTTTCTCCCGGGCACAAAAGTGCTATATTGTAGTGAAATGTTATCAGTTTTCTGCTGAGCCGTTTATCATTCCGTCCAGTAGGCAATTCTGCATTTTTTTTGTTGCAACTCAGCTGAAGCGCTTTCTCGATTTCGACTTTCTGATGCTTGGTCCGCAAACTTTTCCGTCATTTGTTCGCAACTAATCAGACTTCTTGTTTTCGTGGGTGTTTTAGATGGCAAACTTCCGGTTTCGTTCGGACTCATTTCCTGTAATCATCTAGAGGCGTACAAAACCAGTAGTATCTCATCAACTGAGTGAGAAAAAGTTGCATTCGGTCACTTGTGTCTGCGACGATGTGTATGTGGCAATTAGTGTCTGGTCTTTCGTCTGATCGCTTTCCGAGTTATTCTCTGTGCTGAGCAAACTGTGAAAACCCTATCATTGCCCAATCTTTTTTATTTACAGGATCATAATGGAACCCGCAGTGGAAGAAGCATTCCCGGAGAAACAGCATCATCGTGAGTTATGTAACTTGACACCCATAGCGAGAAATCATTGAAACACGCGTGGAACTCACCCTTCTTCCGCTTTGCGTAAATCATCAGCCGTGGCTTTTCCAGCACTTTGCAATATTCTAATTTTTGTACCAGATGATATTGAGGAGAACCCGATAGGACGGGCTTAGGGAATAGTGCAGCCTTTTCAGCCTTTCATGCAGATATCCCCAGAGTAACTAATCTAATTGGTCTGAAACTTGGGCCTAAGACATTTCAATCCAAGTCTTAAGAAACCTGCAAAGTTTGAGTCCGATCCATGGATATTGCAACTGGGCTAACCGTCCGGCACCATGCCGAGTTGGCAGAATAGCGTAATCCAATTTGAAAGCAAAACCAATTGTTTCAGCGTTCCTCCACTTCCGCTCGCGCCGTCTCCATGTCGTCCTGATGCTCATGTACGCCTTCTTCTGCATGTGTCAGATGACCGCACACATCGGATTATCGCTTTCCTGTATGTGCAATTCGACGGCGGCCGCACTGATGAGCTCAAAGTGGGGTGATGCAAGATGTTGACTGCAAACGTTTCTTTTCCGTTTCAGCACTTCAACATCGTCAGTGGAAGGGACCGAGGCTGTTATTCTGTCGGCAGTCACAGAGAACAGAACGGATGGGGCAGCGAGTTGCACTAAATTAGAGGGCAAAGTCGTCAAGGATTATGGGGTGAGCGTTTGATTGGCCATTTTATGATAGGAAAGGGAAGAGTGCACTTTTGAAATTTGAATGTTTTCAGGGCACGTTCGTCTGGTCGGTCACCTGGCAGGGATACATTGTGTCGGCGGCGTTCGTCGGCGGATTCCTCTTCTCCTACCCGGCCGGCTTCCTCGTCGATCGATTCTCGGCCCGTCACATCCTCTCCACGGCCATTACCATTCTCACAGTCTCCTCCATCCTGATGCCCGTTCTGGCCACTGTTTTCGGAGAAAAGGGTGCTTTCGTCAGTCGGTTCTTCATGGGAATCAGTGAGACGATGCTCATTCCGGCGCTCAATTCGATGGTCACCAAGTGGATTCCGGTCAATGAGAAGAGCATGGCGGCTTCGGTTTTCACCGCCGGAAATCAGCTGTCCGGAATGTTCGGGAATGTGCTCGTGGCCGAACTGTGCGCAAGTTCTCTCGGCTGGAGTTCCATTTTCTACAGCAGCAGTCTGTTCGGAATCACGTGGCTGATCCTCTGGCACTTCACAGTTCGCAACTCGCCGCACAACACGAGATGGATTCACAAGAGGGAACTGGACTATCTGGCGAACCACATGCCCCCAAAGCACAATCCGAATGGCGCGAAGAAGGTCACTCCGTGGAGCGAGATGATGAGCTCGAAGGTTTTCTGGTGTCTCATGTGGAACAGTATAATTGGAAACATGATGATCGCACTGATCTTTGTGTACATTCCCGTCTACTTTAAGGACGTTCTCATGCTCGATGTTCAGTCTGTAAGCTTTTCAACTTTGTCTCTCATTCTATTGTGTCTGTTCAGAACGGCTTCTACTCTGCAATTCCGCACATGTCCAACTTGATCTCCAAACTAATTTGGGGTTATCTCATGGATCACTTGAAAATCAAAAAGATCCTCTCTCCGACCGGCACCGTGAAGCTCTCCCAATGCGCTTCAATGCTCGGCATATCTGTGTCGTGCTTCTTCCTCCGGTACATGAACTGCTCCACTCCGTTCTACGCTCTCATGCTCCTTAGCTGTAAGTCCGAATAATTTATGCTCCCGCTTACCGGTTCCATTCCAGCTGTATCCGGGTTCTTCGGTCTCTCCATCTCTGGCTTCTACACATCCCTTCTCTCCATTGCTCCGTCACACATCGGAGTGCTCACCAGCCTTGGATCTGTCATTGGTAAGCCCTTTCCCGGTGCCCTCAACTTGTTCACATTCTCGTTTCAGGATTCCTTGGCCGAATGTTCACTCCCCTCATGATCTCCTACTACAAAACAGTCGGAACTGCCGAAGAATGGGGCCACGTGCTGCTTATTTACGTGTTCGCCTCCGTTTCCGGCGCCATCGTCTTTCTGTTCTTCGGCTCCGGCGAGATTCAAGAGTGGGACTACTCGAAGCGACATCACATGGCACGTCCGAATGCTCTTGTGGCTCCTGTAGAATCTGAAAAGGATCTCGAAGATTTCTAATAATTTTTGTGTGTATTTATTACTCTTTTGTTGTTTTTTGTTCTGCTTTGTGATATTTTTCTTTCTCTCTGTGTGCGTCTCGCTTAATTTGTGCGTTCGGGTGCAAGACAGCTTTACCAAACTCTAATCAATCATGTTATTGCGCGTCATAAACGATTTTTCGGTCAAATTGGCACAGATCACACTGTTCACACACTGAATCTAATAAACCAAGCGAGAAATGATTGGTTCGTCTCTGATCTCCAACACGCTCCTTTCTCAGAAACCGCTGCAGTTTCTTTAATCTAATCATAGGGCCGACACCTTTAGATTCTGACGTGATTTGCAGGTATCTGGCCTTACGATTCGGTTCATTTGTTTCTCTCGTCGAGCAACAAAACAATGGTGTGCTCCACGGAGCTTGTCGATTACCTTCACATTATCCATTATGTCGGATTCTTCGGTGCACAGTTCCTCAACTCTGTCCTCGTGTTTCTTATTGTGACACGATCCGAGATTCTGGGAGACTACAGATATGCAATGCTTGTTTTTACCTTCTGCTCCATGCTATATTCGTGTATTGAGATAGTTGTACAACCTGTGAGTTGAGCCCGAGCTCACTGTTACGGGACCATTCTTTCAGGTCGCTCATATGAAGGGAGCAATGTTTATGGTGTTCATGCACAGCCATTTGTTTGATATGCCCAAGTCTATCGGCCGATTTCTCACCTGTAAGCCTTCATTCGAATCACCATTATTCTCATTAGTTACTTTGCAGGTCTTCACTGTGTGCTTTCCGGGTTCGTTGCTTCGCTGCTCGCGTGTCAATTCATTTACCGATACTTGGCATTGTGCAAGTAAAGCTTCGAATGATTCTACTCTTGACACTATCTATTTTCTAGAACCCACATGTTAGCCCACTTGCAAAGCAAAAGACTCTCGCTCATCTTCATTCCATCGCTCTTCGTCTTTACGGTTTGGCATCTCGCCTTTTTTGATGGAATGCCATACACTCTTGAGAAACAGTTGTACATCCAAGAAGAGCTGGCCACGTGTTTCCACGTGGATTCTGCAAGCACTCCATTTGTCGGATCACTGTATTGGGTGCAAGGATCGGACGGCGAGATAGAGTGGAAGCCGATGGAGGTGGTGGCGTCGCTGAGCTGTTGCGTCACTTTGGTGAGTCAGTTCGAGTCACCTCTCCATCTGTTTTTCATTCGTCATCAGATGTGCTGTTTCTTCACAATTCTGTTCTGTGCATCAAGAATCTATTCAAAGATGAAAGAGGCTAAACATCATCTCAGTGCGAAAACATTGGACGTGAACCGCCAACTGTTTAGAATGCTTTCCATTCAGGTAAATCTAGATGGGTTTTGCTCCAATTAGAACGAAAAAACAATTCCAGACAGTGATTCCGATGATAACAATGTACACGCCAGTCGCGTTGTTCGTGATTCTTCCAATGTTCGGCAAAGATATACCGTATCTGGGGAACCTGACGAGCAGCAGTCTCGCTGTTTATCCCTTCCTGGAGCCCATCATTGCAATCACCTGTGTCGCAAGTTTTCGGAAAGCCGTTATAGGTTAGGAGGCGGTATTGCCGCAGAGTATCATCTAATTCCAGGAGCACTTCACCTCTCCAGTTCACCTTCCCGACACGTCTTCTCTGTATCTCGATTCTCAGCAACTTAGAATTATTTATTTTGTACTTGAGAGTTTTTCATTTTTTTGCAAACTTTTAGCTAATCCCATTCGTTGATTTCCAATGTCGTGAATGTGGCAGAATTGACGGATGAACGGAGATCCGAGGATCCACGTGGGTCCAATTCCGTATCCACTCAATCCGGAAATAGCCAGAAGACACGTGTTCCCTTGGTTAATCTGAAAGTACTTTTTCAAAGTTTACCTTTTCAAGAAAAGTGTGTGCTCACGTCAATGATAAAGTTTTTAGTCTCCACCGAATAGGTGTTGCTTCCGATCAGAATGTCGAATGTTCCCTTGTCTGTGTCGCAAGGCACGTAGTTGTTTCTCGTGGTGTTGTCGTACTGGAAAAGAGTGAATAAGTGGATAGATACTCTTTGAGAGCTCACCGTTGCTCCGAGAGCTGCCACAATTCCTTTGAGCACAGAAAACGGAGCAGCAATGAACGAAGTTCCCGTGTCGGACACAACTTGCATGCTTTTCGTGTACGTAAAGTTTCCAATCGTGACACTGTCAATCTAAAACTTTTTTAAAGGGTTCAAGTTTTCGTCGATGCCTCCAGAACTCGCCATGAACTCGTAATTGCCGGAGGAAACAAACGGAAGCCAGTCGATGATGGGCCCGCAATGATCGGTGTCAATGCCTCCGTAAGTGAACGCACCGCCCGGCACATTGCTCGCGGAGCCATGATGCTCGAGGTAAACGGAGAAGAGCGGATAGTCCAGGAGGCCTTGCTGAATCGCATTCATCAGGGGAGACATGGCGACTTTGTCGTAGTTGAGTGCAGGACCGAGACCAAGGCATCCGTCGATGTTGGTATCCTGAAACAAGTCGTTGAGGACTCGAACACATAACATAACTCCTTTCACATTTGTCAAATCTGCGGAGATGGTCAGTGCCAGCCCAAAAAGACTATCCGGCACTTTCAATTGAGCTCCCTCGTATGCTCCGAATGTGACAAGGTCCTGTGCCATGTACCCCGAGGCTCGGCTTTCAAACAGAGTCCCTGATCCGTAGTTCAAAAAGAATGATCTGCCGGTAGTACGGAAAGTGTCGGAGACTTTGGGATTGAAGTGCGTCTTCCCGTCGCAAGAAGAACTGAAAATAGAGCGATGGGAAAACGAGGGGCGCTTTAGGACTAACTCGCTTTCGAATCCGGGAACCCAGAGATTGGATGACCCAGTTGCCAAAATAACTTTGAATGTCTGATACGGTTTCCCGATTGTGATGATTCCAATGTACTCGGAATCCTGCACGTCCATCACATTTTGCGGAACGAGTGCCCGGTTCTTCGGATGATAAATAGACTCTTCGGAAGCAAACGATCCTTGTCGAATCATTCGGACTCTTCTGGATTCCCGGTAGAGCAGATCATGTTGGAATACGCCAGCATGAATGAAATTCGAAGAAAATAGAACGAATATGACGAGAAACAAGAAACGTTGCAGCATGGTACCGGGAAGAAAGAATGAGCCGAAAAGCGGTCGACGTGAACTTATCGATAAGAATTAAGCAGAAATGTTCGCAATGAACTATTGAGAAGCAGAACTATACTACGGTCTTATCACAGAAAGCACCAAACAACTTTATTCTCTTTGAGTACATCAGATTGGCACATACTCTCCTCCTCATCACGCCGACGAGGCCTGGAGCGACGTGGCGAAGCCCATGCGTTGCTGTCCGATGTCGTAGACGTTGCAGTACTGGCGGATGAACGGATCTCCGAGAATCCAGGCGGGTCCAAATCCGAAGTTGTTGAAGGCGAAAGCGGCGAAGATGCAGGTGTCTCCCATGCCGACGTCGATGATATAGTTGACGGGCTTAATCGAGTAGGTGTTTTCTCCGATCTTGATGTCAAGGGTTCCCTTGGAGGTCGAGCACGGCAGGTAGTAAGAGTCATCGTCGCTGTGATACTGAAAAGGAATCAATCTATGAATATATTGAATTCAGATGAACGCACAGTAGCTCCAAGAGCACCAGCAAGTCCGCTGACAACAGCACTCGGTCCTCCGAGGAAAGAGGTTCCAGTGTCGGAGATGACCTGGTAGTTCTTGTAGCTCGAGTAAGATCCGAGGGAGAATTTTGTGGCGACAAACTGGTAGTAGGTGGCGGACGAGAGCGGCTGGTAGGCGATGATTGGTCCGCAGTTGGTGGTGTCGAGTGCTCCGTAAGTGAAGACTCCTCCTCCGACGTCGTTGGCGGATCCCTTGTGCTCGAGCCAGACGGTGAAGATTGGCTGATCCAGAAGTCCCTGGTTGATGGCGTTGATGAGTGGTGGGACGACGTGGTCGACGGCGAGCGAGGTGAAGGCGAGTCCGAGGATTCCCTCAGCAGCATCCTAAACAGAAAGACTACAATAAACTGGGTTTCTTAATCTACAAAAAAGGTGAATTATATCTTGGTGAGAGATGGGTTCTCGCACACTTTTTGCTCTCTCACTCACATTCTTGAAGTCCGACGAAATGTGAGTGGCGATTCCGAAAGTGGTAGTTGGAACCGGCAGTTGGGTGTCAGTGGCAGCTCCGAAGGCAACTGTGTCAACTCCGAGGTATCCCTTGGCGTTTCCGGATCCGTATTGGATGGACCACTGCTTTCCGTTGCTCCGGTAGGTGGACGACTTTAATTGGTCGAACTCTCTCTTTCCAGCGCAGGAGCCACTGAAAACACACTTTTTTGTAGACTTTCATTTCAATCGAATAAATCTCACTCGCAAGTGAGTCCCGGAACCCAGAGGTTGGAAGATCCGGTATCGAGAACGACGAGGAACGGCTGGGCTGGAGTTCCGATGGTGATGTTTCCGAGGTACTCGAAGTCTCCGAAGTCGTTGACGTTCTGTGGGACGTTGGCGTAGACGGCCGGGTCGGCGTCGCGAAGGGCCGCCTTGTGCTGAACGTACGCTCCCCACTCTCCACGTCTAATCATCTGAATCTTCTGCGATTCACGGTAGATCAACTTGTGCTGAACGACGGCTGCCGAGCACAAGCCCAGCAGGGCCACGAGGGCGACGAAAGTGGTCCTCATACCTGGAAAAGAGCAGTTTGAAAGCTCTAGCAAACAAAAAAATGTTGAGAAGCGAGCAAAGAGAAGATAAGAGGAATCGTCTGCCAAACCCACAGATTCCTGTTTTATTTGGCGTAGCCCCGCGGTCTTATCATCCTTCTTCCCCTTATTAAGACAAAGATAACCGTCTCTGACGTGGACTCCTTTTCAGTTTCGAATAGCTGTACTATGTTTAAAACAGTGCTGCAGAATGTGTGTGTGCAAATATGATGATAATAAGGCACGCCGCCGCGAGTTGATCTAGAGATCCTCGGAAGGACATTTAGACTTTCGATGGGAGCGGAACACGTGAACTTTGAGCTGGACGAGTGTGAAAGTGAAGAATAAACTGTGTAGCTGAGTTCTGTTCGTGTTACTGACGCAATAACTGACCTAAAATTGATAATTCGCTCTCCATAAGTAACCTTCTTTTAAGCTTATCGACGAGAACGAGTTCCGGCTCATCATCATCATTTCGGTATTTAGGAGAAAGGAAGAGAGAGCACGTGATGGTGAATGAGATGTTTGTGCTATGAGACGGACGGAAACGGAAAAGGAACAGGAGCATGAGAGTGGTCAGGCGGGCACAAGGAGATGATAAAACAGGTTGGATTGATAGAGAATGATGTCAGGTGCTACTCTGAAGTCTCTGTGTATCGGACAACACCACCATAGCAGCGGGAAAGATTCGAGCAAGACGGTCTTCGAAGTCTGATCTGTGTCCCAGTTTCAAATCGAGTGGACTTCCGAGTACCGCCGCGCCGGGTCGGCTACCCAAAGAACGAACGGCATAAAGTCAGTGAAACAGAAAGCACAGTTAACAAAACTGTGGAATTCAAATGGGTCGTTAAACCCAATGGGAGACTCGGAATGAGCTGCTATCACTCGTCCAAATTGTCATCCATGTCCGGTAGACTCTCACGGAACTCGACCTGTTTATCGATTCGATTCGTCCTGTACCTAAACTTTATTAGCTCATAAAATCGGTTTCCTTCTCACTCTTCCAGAAGCCGGAAAACTCGACAAGACTCTTTCGCTCTCCTCCATTTTCGTCGCTGATAAGAAGCGCAGCGATCGGGTACAAACCAAAAAAGGAGGCGGTTCTTATCGGCCAATTAGGCTTACGTCAGCGTGCTGAGGTTTGCTCAAACAACTATAAAACACCGCTCTATCTGGTCTTCGTTTGACCAACTTCATTTGGCGGTTCTGCCCAATTCCTACTCTCTATTTCATACACTGATTGAGCTCGTTTCAGGATGAAGACCCTCATTCTTCTGGCCCTCCTCGGCCTTGCTTCGGCTGCAGTCCACCAGCACAAGCTGTCATGGAGACCATCCAAGAAGATGGAGATGATCCGCAAGGGAGAGTACGCTGCCTACCTCGAGTACCAGAGAAACCTCCGCACCGTCTCCCCGAACGTGCTCGCCAACCTTCCACAGAACGTCAACGACTTCGGAGACTTTGAGTACCTCGGAAACATCACCATTGGAACCCCAGACCAGAGCTTCATCGTCGTTCTTGACACCGGATCCTCCAACCTCTGGATTCCAGGACCAACCTGCAAGTGAGTGCAGGTTTCTAAGTGACTATAGTAGTGTTTGATTTGCAGGACCAACTGCAAGACCAAGAGCAAGTTCGACTCCACCGCCTCCAGCACATTCGTGACCAACGGACAGTCCTGGACCATCCAGTACGGATCTGGAGACGCCGCCGGAATCCTCGGAGAGGACACCGTCAGAGTAAGTGCTTTAGATCAACAACTCTGCCGATCCCATTCTTATCTATCGCATTTCAGTTCGGAGCCGTCGGAGAGTCGCAACTCGCCGTCCCGTCCACCACCTTCGGAATTGCCAGCAAGATCTCCGCTGACTTCAAGAACGACGCCACAGACGGAATCCTCGGACTCGCCTTCACCTCGCTCGCCGTCGACGGTGTCGTTCCACCACTTATCAACGCCATTAACCAGAACCTCCTCGACCAGCCACTCTTCACCGTCTGGCTCGAGCACAGAGGTTCCCTCAACAACGTCGGAGGAGGAGTCTTCACCTACGGAGCCGTCGACACGACCAACTGCGGAGCCGTCGTCGCCTACCAGGCCCTCTCGTCCGCCACCTATTACCAGTTCAAGGCTGCCGGATTCAAGCTCGGATCTTACTCGAACACCAAGACCGTCGAGGTCATCTCCGACACCGGAACCTCTTTCCTCGGAGGACCACAAGCTGTTGTTGCTGGACTCGCCAAGGCCGCCGGAGCCACCTACGACGACTTCAACGAGGTCTACTTCATCGACTGCGCCGCCACGCCAGGAACCCTCGACATCACCATTGGATCGAACACCTACTCCATCCAGCCAGTCAACTACATCGTTGACGCCGGAGACGGCCAGTGCCTCTTCGCCGCCTTCCCATTCGACTTTGGAGGATTCGGACCATCCTGGATTCTCGGAGACCCGTTCATCCGCCAGTACTGCAACATCTACGACATTGGAAACAAGAGAATGGGATTCGCTCCGTCTCTCCAGAAGTAAATATGTATCGAGTATTTATGTACCTACTTTCTCCTAATAAAACAGTGATACAACCACTTTTTCGCCGTTTTTCATCGTGATGTTTCGTTGCTGAGTTTCTGATTGCCTTATCAGCGCTTTTGATGATGCGATATTGAAGCACTGTTGTAGAATCGTGGACCATTTGGAAAAATGGTGGACCCGAAATCAGTTTTTATTCCAGTTTTCATTTACGCTCATTATTTTTCCATTTTTTCCAAAACGAAGACGAGTCAGAAAACGAATATTCATCTCCTCATGGGTCTATACGTGCACTTGAATCTTCTCGCAATACTGCATCCTCACAAGAATTGGGGACTGGCGAAATAGCAACCAAATTCACAGTAGAAAAGCTATCTACAGTAGTTTTTCGTATTGTTTCAGATTCGTCAGATTAAAAACTTTTCAGCGTGTTGAACAGCAGCCAGTCTAACTAAGGAATTTCTTCTTTTTTACCATTTTGAAAAATTCTGAAAAAATCAGGGTGGTACTTTAAGATGTGGAGAACATTTTCCGACTTTGACATTCGGCAAGATATTTCTGGAAACTTCTTGAAAAAAATGGGATTCGCCCCGTCTCTCCAGGCTCCGCCCACTTCACGTTAAAACCTGAACTTTCTAGTGATTTTTTATTCCATTTTATTTCATATTTATTCGACAATAAAATGAGGTATCTCTTCGTAAATTCTCCATAATTTTTCGTTCTTTTCAGAGGAACTCTACTGTTTTCTCTTCTTCTTCTTCTGATCTCGCTCATCACGGCACAACCGGCCGATGACAACGATCTTCTTCCCAGATTGGAAATGCTCGACAGCAATATGCAAAGATTGAATCTCACTGACATTCACTTCTTGAATCCGAACGACGTTAGTATTTTTAATGACAGACGAAATGAATCTTTCTTCGTTGCAGATTGTGAAAGTGGAGACTGTAGTGAATGTGTTCAGGCCGATCGCTGGCAAGGATTTATATCAGATCATGCAGGTTTTTCTTTTTTTCTTATCACTTGTTTGTTTCAATAAATTACTTTCAGGAAAAGTTGAACGAAACTCAAGAGTACATGGTGAACGCGTCGCCGGCAGAAAGGAAAAAGTGGAAGAGCGCAGTCATCGTCCCGCCTTTGCCGAAGAAGAAAAATGGTATTCGAGCTGGAAGAGCAGCTGCTTCCCCTTAAATCATGTGTTCTTCTGTTGTAATAAAGTGTGTGCAGGTGGTTTATTTTATTTTACTTGTCATTCCAAAAGAAAGAAAGAATCAATCAATTCGCGAGCATATCCATCAGTCCATCGTCTGCATCTGCGCCTGGCTCCGCGTACGCCGGCATTCTCGTCATTCTCCACAACTTCTGGCGCCACACCGGTCCGTAGTTGGCTGAAATGTTCGATCTCTGTCTTGTTGATATTCTGATTTTCTCAAAGCCTACCCATCATTCTGTACTGCGCGTCAGCCAAAATCAGAATAATCAGGAGGAGAAGAACAAGGCGAAGGGCGGCAGACATTCTGGAGAACTGGAAAAGGTAATTAGAAGATGTGACTAAAAAGATGACGGTAAATTAAGAGCGTTTTGTTATAAATGAGGATAAATGAGCAAAGAATCTGGAAAAATCAGGTTCTCTCAACCTGAGACTCTGACCGAGATCTAAACCAAACATCAGTGAAGTAAATTTAGAAACTGCTCTCGAATGTCTCATTCTAGGCAACACCAAAACATGCGACTTTTCGTTTCGCAACCTTTTATACCACTCGTGAACACCGAAAGCTCCGCCCATCAGATTCCAATTCAAATTCGATGCATTCCAGTTCATTTCCCGTTTAAACCACCTGCTCATTACATTCTATGCACAGGGATTCGGTGATATCACGGTGATTAATTTTGGATTTCTCAATCAGATGACTTCACCTGCCGCAAACTACTAATAATGAATTGATTTCGAAATCGGGAAGCGTTCGAGAGGCACTAGAACTGATGGATATTACTCAAGAAGGTTCTCGGTCACACATCGACAGGGACTAATGAGTACGCCGAAACCGGTATGAGGGGTATAAAACGAGAAGCGGAGGTCGGCAGTTTCGGATAAAGAATGCCACGTCACACCACTGCCGTCTTCATTCTGACTTCGCTGATTCTGAAGGGCATCGACGCACGTGGAAGGTACGAATTCATCGAAGAAGCCGACTTGCCAGCCTTCTACTCGTGAGTCCTTCTCTTCGTGTTTTCCGCACCGTGAGAGTTCTGTTCGCAAAATGGAACAGAGCAGTGTTCTGATTTTCAGAATGAGGAGTGCTCAGATGGCTCAGAAGGCTCAGTTGACTCCGCAAGTAGCGGCGATTCCGCAGGATCCGTACTCCCAGTACCTACCGTATCAGATGTATCAGCCGATGGAAATTCCAGCAGGCTATTCGCCATTCGCAGTGTACAGTCCTATTTATAGAGGTATTTAAGGGAAGGGAACAATAGAAGAGCATGCAGTAAATGATCATTCTCAGGCCCAGCTCCCGGACCTCCACAAGCATTCCAAGCGGCCCGACCGAGTCCCGTACAATATCATCCGATGGCCTACTATCACGCACAAGCAGGGCAGCCACAGGCGCCGATTCGAAAGAAATCGGCAAAAGTCTAATTTATAACGTGAATAGTTGTCCGGAAATGAATGAAAACCGACGAGTGAAATGTTTTCGCATTAGGTTTAGCATGTTTTATGACCAGAGAGAGAAATTGAAATGAGTTGGAGTGGGAAAATGGGGATGTACAATGGGAAAACGGGGATAATTGGCCGGAGAGGCGAGGAAGGGATGGGCAGAATCAACAATCCATTCGGTTGTGGTAGATGATGTCATCCTTGAACGAGCCGCCGTCGGTGAGCCGCTTCGTGGCGAGAGCGCACAGCTCGCGAGAACTGAAATGAAAGAGATGAAGCGGATAATGGAATGTACTCGCTTATGAGGTCATTCAGAGGAATGCGGGGGGAGCACAAGCCTCACTGCACAATCTGAGCGGATCTTTGGACTACCGTACTCACATATCGAATGCCACCGCCTGACACTTCTTCTGCTTGACCAAACACTTTGTGCACAGTCTGCACATGTCCGTGCACTGCTCCAGAGAATAAGCTTTCACCACCCTCAACGCCTCCATCTTTCCGATCGGTCTCACTTCCCTACAATCACAATGAATCATGGATCTGATCTGAAAAACAGAAGCGTACTTGAAGCAAGACTTGACTCGTGTGTCCCTCAATCGTCTTCCGTATTCTGTTTTCGGGGTGTTCACCACATTGTAGTTGTCGATCACCTTGGGAGCGATCGGTTTCGGAGTGGTTGTAGTCGTCGTCGTCGTCGTCGTCGTTGTGGTCGTCGGTCTCGTCGTCAACAGATCTTCGCGGTTAAGATTGCTTACCGAGTCGGACGGTCCTTCGTATCCAGATAATTCCACCTTGATATCTGGGAGGGCTGAGGAGAGAATGGTTGCCAGGGTGGTCTTCTCTGTCTTCAGAGGTTCCAGCTCTTCGTCGACTTTCGATGAATCATTCTCCGTGAATTTAGACGATCCTTTGAAGACGTCGGAAGTCTTCACCACCACTGACTTGTCGCTCTTTTCCAGGCAGCCGTTCTCCAAGTACAGAGACTTATCGTCGTCAATGAACAGATCCGGAATGTCTGCTTTCGACTGCGACGCCAGAATGCACTCTTTGTCTTTCTCGTAGTACATCGCACTCTTGCACGTGATGTCGTACTTCGTCTGGCTGTTCGCACAGTGTCCTTGGCAGTCGGACACAGTTGCCACGTCACGAACCAGCTGGTCGACGATGCCGATCAGGACTTTGCCCGGGGTGGAAGAGAAGCATCCCGCAGAGTCCGTCGCTACCGTATCTCTTCGGATGGCCACACTCGGCTTATCGAAACAGTGTCTGTGATAGAAGTCCGACATCGGGTTCTTCACTATTTTCACTTCCTTCTTCGACTTTGCGTTCAGCTGACAAACCGATGTCTGTCGGGTGTATGTGACCGATCTGAAAGGTGCTGATGTGAGTGCGGAAGCACCTGGGGAGCCACTCACTTGCAAGTTTCGCGCGGCATTTCCAGGCACGCACTGAAGCATTTCTCGAGGCTCAAGTTCCGAAGCGAAAGGAGCGGACGGGCGAAGAGAGATCGGTTTGGGGATTTGTCGAAACAGAGACGGAGTGATGACGTGGCAACGGGGAGAAGAATGAGAAGAAGAAGAGAGCGCATCTGGAAAGGAAATGAAGATCTGTGAGGATTTGTTCGGGAAGTGAGAGGAGGCATTGAGTAAACATGAAAACGAGAAACTTTCGTCTGACCTTGGAATTTCACTGGAACCACCGCCTACCGTAGTTCTATGTTCAGTTCAAGCGTGCACAAAACTAGAGATCAACATTAGTCCGGGAACAAACGTGATTCTCAGAAAATTCCAAAAAAAAAAAAATAACTCTCAAAGAAGCAGCTGAAACGCCACAAATAACACGGCAATTATTTCGTCTACAACTTGTGCATTCACATCCGGCTTCACAAGAACTCTCGGGTCCAAAGATCTGCACGAAGGGACTGTGAAGGGACCGGACACGAGTAAAACTCATTTTTTTTCATCTCGAGAAGGTCATCCGAGAGGGGAAGACAGAACAAAAACCGGCGAGGTGTGTGGTCATTCTGAATGCCAATCGGTTCCCTATTTTATACTGCTTTTGGCAGTCACTAATTTCCTGTCAGACATTGTGAATGGTGAGGAGACGCGGAGAAAAGGTGAGAAGAGAAGACAAGTGGTTTGTTTCGAGAGCCCTTCTTCTCCTTCAGAAGACACAGGGGCGACGCTTTTTTCTATGCATGCAGTTATGACAAGTAAGGGATATTGACCTTGGTACGGTACACTGAGAGTGACGAATTCGGCTACTGCTGCCTCACTTTCTCCAACTTTGTCTATTCCGTGATTTCATCTCAAGGCTGTTAGAAGAGCTGACGCCGTCTGAGTGCGAATTGATTCACAGCTAGCTCCAAATGGTTCCTGATTTTATTTTTCGTATCAAATTGTATCCTAGACCGGGAGCAAAATGGACGATGCAAAAAACAGGTGCGCTGTTTTGTTTTTGGCAGGAAACCTCCAAAACAGACATTTAAAAAATGCGTATAAAAAGCGTCGGATGAGGCGTAAGAAACGAAACTCATTTTCTAGACACATCCTTCTTGTCACAAGATGAACAAAGTTATCGAGTACGGTGGAGTGGAAAAAATTCCTCTGTATAACTGCAGGTAGGCTCTCTAGGCTTCTTCCGTATAAGAAAGTGTTTAAGCGCAAAGAGCGCTGAAGAATGGACGGAAGAGTTCGGAATAAAGCGTCCGGTCGTCGGGATGATCAGTATCACGTACGGAGTAATCATGCAGATCCTCTTCATCCCCTGCCTGTTTGCAATGCTCGAGTCCGACCTCATCCGTTGTTCCTGCTACAAAATCATGTTCACCGTGGGCATCGTGGACATGCTGGCGCTTGCGATGAACTCCATCTTCACAGGCTTCCTAGCCATGCGAGGAGCCGTCTTTTGCACCTATCCAACCGTCATTTACATGGGAGGACTCTGTGGACTCGGTCTCTGGTGCTGCTCGTGTCTCTTAAACATCTTGCTGCTCGTCAATCGTACCATGCACCTCTCCAACTCTAACCTCTCCGATCTCTTTTTCAAAGGCCACCGAACCTATTTCGCGATGTTCATCCCCATAATCTATGGTCTCTACTTTGTGTTTTTCACTCCTACTTGTGTTTTTTCTTCCAAATACTACGCGTGGTTCTATGATCCGTTTATCTTTCCGAATCGGACTGCCGAGGTGAGAAAGCAGTACGCTAGTGTTTTGCGCTTCAAGTCTTAGATATACAGTACACAAACGTCGAGCATGGCTTCAACAATGCGATGATCATGAGCGGAACATTCGTCTTCTACGGCTACATCTGTTTCGTTCTGTTAAAAGCCAGCAGATCCAACGAAGTCTCGAAGATTCACGTCCAGGTAAAGCAGTTTCAGATGGTCCCCCCGAACTCACAGAGACCTTTTCAGTCTCATCAAGTCCTGTATCAGTCGATTGTAATGTGCCTCATCAACCAGATCTCAGCGAGTGTTTACGTGGTGATGAACTTCATCGTCGTCCCCGTTTGGCTCATAATGTCGGCTCAGTTTTTATGGCAACTGGACCACGGTACCATTTCTCTCGGTCCCTTCCCTTACTCCTTACCCCACAGGTTGTCCCATCATCATCTACATGACTATGAACCCGACGATCCGATCTCGTTTCCTTAAAAAAATTACATTCAAGAAGGTTCTTTCCTCTTTTTTTCTTTCTCTCAAAAAGAAAAAACGTTCCGTTCAGAGCAGCGAATCGTACGTCCACTCAAGCACCGTTCGACCGGCCGTCCAGCGCAACACTCTATAATTGTTTTGAACAATTCAATGAATTCTAACGCAAGAATTCACTTTTCTGCTTATGACATGTACATGTATTATCAATTTCCATGGTTTCCTAACTAAAACTGACAATTGTGAGCAAAAAGGCCGGCCATACTTTTTAAATGTTTTTACTTCGAAATATGGCTGTTTCGTGCGTGCTTTTTGTGTCTCTTTGTTAGTTTACATCATAATGGACTCATTTACTATGACAATGCACAGAACAGGGCTCGGAGGGCACGTCTCCGTGTTCCGAGACTTCAGATGCGTGCCGCCGGAGAAATACTGTCTCATTTCACTTGTTCCCGATGAAAACGGGTAATATTCTCTCTCTGTCTTCCCTGAAAAATCACTATGCTACTGTAGGGATGCAGAACAGGCGATTTCAGGCGCCTGAGCATGTTCTGCATCCCTATGCTACTGATATTCTGGCTAGTCGCTGTTCTTAAGGTACGAGCCTGCACCAAAAAGTTCTTTAGTTTCGGAAGTGTTCAGCGTCTGACTAGTACTTCAGGAACCGGAGTGCGGTCAAGACGGATGCCCCGCTCTGATAATTAGCGTGCGAGAGACCGCTTCGGAAAACAACAAAACAAGTTGCGGCTTTTTATAGCGAAGAAACCAGGAGTCGTTTGGAAGTATACAGCTTTTGATTTTGAAAAATGAAAATAAACTTTGTGAAGAGGAACCATTCCGGTTTTCCCTTTTCCGATGTCTGAAACTTGCTGCCAACGACGTCATCATGGACCTCTTCGCTTATTCACAACTCTGCAACATTTTCTATTGTTTGCCGGTTTAAAAGGACTGAGCCCAGGTGGTCCGCCAGCTCACGAGCTTTTTCAGTTGTTGTTCGTTGTTGTGTTGTTCCTCCTAAAAAAGAGCCTAACCAAATTTGGAAGTCTGTGTTGAGTGAGCGAGAGAAAAAGCGAGAGTTGTGTGTGTGTGTGTGTGTGTGTGTGGTTGACATGCAAAACACAAAAACAACAGGCCAAAAATGAGTAGGAGCATCGGCCGAAAGAGGTAGATTCCGTCCCTTTTTCCCCTTTTCCACAATGAATTCGCTCTTGTTTTTCACCGCTTGATTAGGGTCAAGAGTACTCGGTTTCTCCGTTACAATACTTTCGCAGATCATTTTTTTTCGTGCAGTCCACACAAAAAACCATGTACTAATAATCGAAGGGCGCCGCCGCCACTTCATGTCCTATTCATGACAATTGCCATACCTTTTCCATATTCTCCTCCTCCTCTCTGCGTCTCTTCGGCAGACTGTTGTCTCTCGGCCGCCGCGCGAGTATTTTGCCGCCGCCGCAATCGTTTCAGGTCTCCGCACACATGCAAATAAGGTCAATTTTCGCGTTTTCTCCAAGTTTCACCTCCTTCCAATTTCTTTGGTGGGCAACTTCGACAATATTCGATTCGGAGACTCGTCTCACTTTCCCACGACATCTTTTATCACCACCATGATATTTGACCCAAAGTAAACAGAATTTCGGAAAGAAAAAACATGTTGTTGTTCCGTTCCCCCACACATGTGATCCCGTAAGATCTGCCCACTGAAAATCCAGAGTCCTTCACCCTACCACACGAAAAAAAAAACGCTCTTGACGAAAAAATCCATCAACGCCTCGCTTCCTTCCTCCTTTTTTTCCGCGTTTCTCAAGTGACCGATACCTCCCTTGAGGAGAGCCGCGTTATTTGTACTTTGCCTAGACTTTGCTCATCACATGCGCGGGTAACCAGATTTGAGGGCTGAATTCGTCGTCCGTCTTCTAATTTCATAAATGTTGCACGCCGTCGTCGTATGCTCATCAGGCCGGAAAAGAGAGGAAAATGCTCGTTATGCGGCGGCGACACATTGGAAATGTGTACTACTTGTTCGAGCCAATGAGGTTTTCTTCTTTTATAACATGCTACTTGCCAGGATTCATCGTTTTCTGAACTAAACATTTGTGATCAAAAGTGATTGGAGAATGAATAGTCACGAAATTCTGTCTACGCTGTTTGACAACAAAGAATGTTTTTTGTAACGCGACGTCATCTTTATTGATTTCAGCAACAACGTTTGTCACTTTGGCTATCAAAACACGGAAAAGTGTTCAAAAAAGAGAGCGGCAATAAAAAGTTTATGTTTCTGTCGTAACTTTAATCGTCGTTTCACTCAACAGTCCACAGTTCTATCCCCACATCTCGTCTGTCATCCATTCCGCCCTCCTCAACCCATTTCCAATCCATCCCGCCCATCCAATTTCACACCATTCCTCGCGCCCTCTCCGTTTTCTCCATTCTTCTCTTTTTCTGCCCCTCAGGCACCCCTTAACCCCCTTATTTTCGGCTTTTCGTTGATTTCTGCTAGTGGGGGGTCATAAAAATGCATATTTTTTGCTGTTATGTTGTTAGTCATAGGTGAGTGGGAGGGGAGCGGGTCATAAAAACGCGTCTTCCCAGCTGTTGTCGAACAGCTGACGGGACGGAGTGCACATGGTGGCTGATAAGTGTGATAAGCACGCATCAAGTGTTTCTTTTCATCCCGCTAATGATTTATTATGATGTTGCTGACACGCTTTTTTTGTTGAAAATGACGAGCTCGTGCCTCTGTTTATGGCTCGGTCTCGTTCGAGTACAGCTTCTCCCTTCGCGTCTTTCTCTTTTTCTCTCCAATCTTTGATCTCTTCGCAGTCCCCCCATCTCCTTATTTGGCCGCAAAAAAGACGGATTCCCTGCGTCACATTTCTGTTATTTCTTCCTTTTTTTTCCCAGTGATCGGTTCGAAACCCTTTTTTTTCTCTCTCTCTATTCCAAACATTCTCACGGCCTCTCCTCATGATGATGTATTGGCTGGCGGCGCATGTGTGACACGACGCCCTCCGGACCCAGTTATGCTTATGACACGAAGAGTTTTGAGAAGGAAAAGAGCAGATTGGTGGCTCCAGACGCCAGACACGCGAACATAAATTGTCGCGTACACTGGACGAGTGCATGACGCCAACACTTTTTCAAAGATTCGCAGCCGGAAAACGTTTTGCCAGCCTGGCGTGCACTTTTAGTTAGCAGACAAGTGAGTACAGTTCATTGAGTTTGAAAGTGAGCACTTTTCTGTAAACGATTTGAAATAGAGTTGAAATGGGCTCAGGTTTCATGGCTTAAAGTTCATTCTTCCATTGTTTCGTGATTCTCATTCGGAGACTTCTCACTTTCACAGCCTCACGATATATATATTGGACATATATATTGGACATAGCCACTTATTTGGCATCATTTTAGGTTCTCTCTCGATGCAAAGGCTTGCATTAATTATTATTGAGTAAACCTCAAGAGACAGTGATTCTCGCGCAGGTTTAATCTTTGTATCTTCTGCCATTTTCTTTCCCATATCAGTCATAGAATAGTTTTGTGCCTTTCCATAACATTGTTTTCCTGCCCGTATTGGGAGAGGAAATATTCTTCGCTTCCTAAATACAAGCGTTACAGCTAACTATGGTTAGAATCGAGGTGTATTCTCAAGCCGCCGCCCCGTTGCCTTCAATTCTTTTCTCACCACGTTCTCCCTTTTTCCCATATCAATTTCTCACCATAGTAACGCCCGTTTATCTCGGCTCTCTCTCTCTCTTCTCCTGCCCCCCTCCGAATCGGCCATTCTCGTTGGCTGTTGCAGCACAATGCATCAGTCGCCGTCCGGGCACTTCTTCTCCCTCTCCGTTCCCTTTATTCGCTCACTTTATTATGATTCGAAACCGAAAGTTCTCTCGTTATCATCACTGGGTGAATCATGGGCTCTCCGTGCTCTTTTCGATTCGTTTCATTTCAGACAATCATGGCTCGATGGTCTGCGATTAGGACGTTATTCTGTCAAACGGACGATAACTACAACATTTACGATGTAAGTCTAAACAACTAAACTGTCCGAAACAAGTGAATTGTTCTTTTTCAGGGTGATCTCGATTCTCTGGAATCCACAAAAAGACCGCAGAAGAAAGTCGTGCTCTCCACCGTCCTTTTCACTTTCATTCTCGGAGCCATCCTGCTCACAGTCCTCCTGCTCACCAGGGATAAAACACCAAAAGCCACGTATGACAGGTAATCACAGACCACCTAAAACGCGATTATTGAGCTTTGATTATCTCGACTTTCAGAGCCAACGATCCAAAACTTCTAAATCTAATAGAAGTATCACCTGCGGCGAAGCGATTACCGAAGAAAGGGAAGCTGTTCTGCTGGGTGCAGACCTCGTCCATCTACCACGACACACGGTCCCTGGCGATCAATGAGACGTGGATTCACCGATGTGACCACGGACAACTGTTCACTTCGGAAAAGTTCAACGACAGCCGGATACCGTACTCGACGGTCTTCGCCGGCATTCCCGACAACTACTACAATCTGTTCTTCAAAAGTCGCTACGCTTTCCAGCACATTTACACGAACATCTCGTCGCAATTCGACTGGTATCTCAAGGTTCGGACAAAACTTCTTCGGTGCTTCTTATAAAATTCTACTTCAGGCCGACGACGACACCTACGTGATCGTGGAGAACTTGAAGACGTTCCTCTCGACGCTAAACCCGAACGAACCCCACTATTTGGGATACATTCTGAAGCCATACCTCCGAAATGGATACAACGCGGGCGGCGCTGGCTACATTCTCTCGCGAGCCGCTCTCAAGATTTTCTCGGAAGAGTTGTATCCGAATGCCACGTTGTGTCCTGATGATATCTATGAAGACGTCGGCATTGCCAGGTGAGGAACGCCAAAAAGATCCAGTGTGAATGCGGTTTCAGATGTCTGGCGAACGCGGGAATCTATCCGGAAGACACTCGGAACTCGGCCGGCCAGAATCGCTTCAACACGTTCTCCCCGAGCGACACGTTCCATCAGACCAAGGCCAGTGTGGATTGGGTCAAATTCCGAGAGAAAACAGTACGTTCCTCGTTTTGGTGCGCAAAGAATCGCAAATTACATTTTCAGGGCTACGAAGCGTTCGCCAACGACCTCATCTCATTCCATCATCTGTCGCCTGACGAGATCCGTCTTTTCGACATTCTACTTTATCGAACAGACAAAAGTTGAGAGTCCCTCCCCAATTTCCGGCCTCGTTTCCTGTGATTCATTCCGCAAACAATCTCTAGGCACTTTGTTCATTTCATTTTTCCTCCCACTTTGAATCTCGCCAAGTTCATTTTGTTACGGGTATTTCATTCATATCACTCACTTCTTGTTTTTTCGATTGATAAATCGTCTGTATTCTTATTTTGTTGCGAAAGAAAAACGCGTCGATAGCTATTATAGGGGCACCGGACAGAAAGGGCGCGCTGTTCGCAATCTGGCAGAATTTCTAGGCCGCGAAGTAATTTTCCACTGAAAACGTGGCCTAACTTTTCAAACTCGGCCCCGAGGTCGCCCAATTTGCACTGCAAAAAGAGTTTCTCAACAGAGCGTCATTTCTGTTCGGTGCCCCTATAATATTGAGATCGCTCTGCTTGGGGCATCCGCCAGGGCAGAAAGAAGTTTTGAAATGTTTCGGTTGGCAGGTGAGTTTAGACATGATACAGAATAGTAATGAATTTCGAGAAGATTGATACGAACGACTTCTTTTCTTTCTTCTCATGCTGGCACATTTTCCATACCTACATGTCACCGTCTTCACATCAACGCAATTTGATGATGATATCATTCGTTTCCACCCAGAAACGGCACACAGCGGCTAGACTCCGCCCCTCTCGCCCGCAAAAGATAGCGGACGGCGGAACCCGCGAGGTGTCGGCTGCGCAAAATGTTTGAAAACGCTGAGGTTGGCCGCAACCCGCGGGAATGATGATTTTCTGTTAGTAGGAATCTCAATGAGCGACTGTGATATAAAAACGCAGTAATTTCGCTGACCCCATTTTTTTGCAAGCTTCAACATGTTGAAGTTCATTGGGTTCCAGAATGACGTAAAGGAAAGAGAGATGAAATGTGACGTGGATATTTCTGATTACTCGGTCCGTCTTTTATTAGTCTAGTTTGATGTTGCGATGAAGAGTGCAGCTGTACAATCAGCAACATATCATTTTAATGCAGTCTCATTAGATGAAATGCAAGACGCAGCAGAACATTCGCTAAAAAAGGAAAAAAATTCCGTCGAGCCGGATTCGAACCAGCGACCTAAGGATAACCACTGACTCTACAGTCCTCCGCTCTACCAACTGAGCTATCGACGGCACGTCTCTGCGCCCTCCCGAGGGCAGTCATAAAATCGGCGCCCGGCTGTCCGGCAACTGGCAGCTTCTATCAATGTGCGCACGTTTCCACAGCGGTTTATCGGAAAGTGCAGACCTTTTCACACTTACATGACTTTCTCGTCACGCCCTTTTAATTCTTCTTAAGTTTGTTTGAAGTAGGGAGGCTACGTTTGGGCGGGGCGCAATGATTCGGCGAAACGAAAGAAAGAGCAATATTTTGTTTCAGATCTATCTCTATTCAATCGTATTTCATGCGCTCCCGAGTCCATTCGGCTGTTCAAATAATCGGACAAAAACAAAACAAAACGATACGTGGGAACAGTGGGAAATTGATGCCAGCACAGTTCACAATATTCATTCACTTCACCTCTTTGTTCCTATTCTCTGTGTACTTAGAACTGAAAACAGTTTCTTGTCCTTTTGAGCTTATAAACCATTGTTCTGTTCGTCTCCCAACTTGAGCTTATCGAAAATGCTCACCAAAGAAAGAAAAGAAAGAGGCGTCGTCCGGGACACCCGGCCTTTTTCCCCCAATAATTTATTCGCTGATGTTTCCGCATTTCCGAGATGTTTTCATGGTCTCTTTTGAGCCGAAACGATGCTGATCTTTATTCCCGACCGACCCACATTTTTCCCTTTTTAACCACTTTTTTGCATCCCTTTACTCTCAGACGCTATCACAATGAAACGGACGTTCCGCGGGCCTTTCATCTTCATTCTTGGCGTCACTTTCTCCGGATTCATCTTCTCAATGCACTATACGCGGAGCAGAGAGTTAACGGTTAGTCCCACGGTAGAAATGAAACGAGAGAAAAATGAAAGGATTCAGGAGCAGAGAAGTGTGTCACGGATGTTCCCTGACGCTTCATCTCCTGTACTTCCTCCCAGTTCGGCGACAGATCAGAGCTCTTGTGAATGTGTCTCTGAGGCAACGGGAAAGAAGTACCACTTCTGTTACGTCGATCCGCAGAATCCGCAGTCTGTTGGCAAGAAATTCGATTGTGCTCATCTGAAACATTTGGAGAAGCTCAGTGAGTTGTTCGATTATAGAATCGGACCTTGCCGCATCCTGTAAAGATCGTATCCCAAAAACCTACTATACGGTTGTTTCGCTGAACTTCAGTTCAAAAAGTATTCCATAGACATGTTTGCTTGTCAATTTCCAAAGCAAACATTAATCATATTCAGTCTACAGAAAGATGACCTTGTTTTGCAGATCTCGTCGAGAACCCGGGCCCATTCGTGAACCTTTCCGATTCGATAAAAAACGAACAAGAAGTGGTGTTCTGCTCGGCCGTCTCCGACAATCATTTCAACGAAGGGACCCATTCTCTGGCGTCTCTCCGCCAGTTTTATCCCAAAAGAAAGTACATCATCTATGGGCTAGACCTGAACAATCTCTACGCGGACTACTTTAAAAAGGATGCGAATGTGGAGTATCGGCACTTTAACACTTCCGGATATCCGGAGTACGTGGGCGCGTGGATGGAGTACAGATTCAAGCCGTTGATTCTGGCGGAAGTGATGAAGGAGCACGCGAGCATCTGGTGGATGGACGCGCACATCGCCGTCAAAAAGCCAAACATGACGAATGAGTTGTTCAGGGAAATCGCCGAAAACCGGAAAAATGCGAGCCAACCGCTGGTGAGCAACGTGAAAAAGTCCTTGATAACCACTGATCTCCGTTGCAGCCTTCGCCGATCGTTTTCTTCATTCATGCCAGTCACAGTAACTTCGCAGTCATGTTTCCACGTACTTTACATCTGTCAGTTATGTTCCTAATCATCTAATTTCAGAACTGCTCGACTATTTCCCATCTAATTCGGTTCCCTTGCTCAAAAACGAAGAGCACGGCTCTCAACTCGGCGCCAACACATTTTACGTGGCACGGACAGAGTACACGGTCAAGATCTTCAAATGGTGGATCCTGTGCGCCCTCGATAAAACGTGCATGAGCCCGCCGGGCTCGCAGGTCTTCTGCAGATTCGGTTCAAATCGATTCGACGTCTTTGCGAACTGTTATAGGTCCGTTTTCGAGGCAATTAAATGCAGCAAGAGAAACGTTTCAGGTTCGACCAATCGGTGATAAACCTGCTTCTTCTCAACGACTTTCAAGACCATCACAAGTACTACTCAAAACTCGGATATCTCTTTTAGGATCCAACTAATCGGTCTCTCTTCTTGTAATGTACAAAACAAACGAATAAATGTGAAACAGGTAACTAGCGCAAGCACTTGAGATTGGAATTTTTGAAACGGAAATCGGGCAAAAAGACAATTTACGAGTGTGCGAGTAATCTAGGGCGGGCACGAGAAGAAGAAGAAGAAGAAGAAGAAGAAGAAGAAAGAGAAGGGGGGGGGGTCTATTGATGTGATGATGTCGTTGTCAATGATATTCGACAATTCAGTTGATTAGGCGGCGAGAGAGCGGGCACGCACGCGGAGACGCAGACGGTGATCCGGGGAGGGCGCAGACGTCGAAGGAGAAATGATCTGGAGCGGGGGGGCCTGTACATGACGACTCCTGACTGCTTTATATGCTTTCTTCGCACCTCCCCCTCTCGTTGTTATTGTTGTTCCTTTCCCTCTCCTCCACCTCTGTCATCAATGCAGCCACCGTTTTCTCCTCGTCTCTGAAGACGTGTCAGAGTCAATGCGAAGAACGAAACTTGGTGAGTCGGTTCGATTGGAGCGCATTTTCATGTCCGGGAAACGATTGCAGGCGTATCCGCTGGATCCGGGGGAGACGCACTGGACGAGCCTCGCACAATACAACTACTCGAGCCGGATATTATCAGTGAGACTTTGAATGGTTGTGTGAGTTGAACCGCAGAGTGTTTAGTGTAGACACGGATGCGAAGACGTGGACGAACGAGAATCCAAGTGCAACGTCAAGTGCTCGGAAGCCGGGATTGTGACGACCGCCTGTGAGCAAGGATGTCGGGCGGTGCTCGTTTCGTTTTTGGCTCAAGCCCAGACACTTCTCGTCCAAACACACGTCAACATGGAAGTGCTGGAGACGGCGATGAAGTTGAAGTGGGAGTTCCCGGACGCTCTCGCAGAAGATCTCAAGGAAATAGCGACCGCCGACATCTTCTGGTTCTGCCAAACGCGTCCACTGAACGGCGTGCTCGGCTGGAGATGGACTTCCCTTCCGCACGGATCCTTCCGCAACTCCTCGTTGTCTTCGGAGGTGCACGTTCCGTTCGAGCACGGAGAACACGTGGAAGTGCGTCTGGCGCTCTCCTACCGTAGTCAGGTCCTCGTTTCTCGGACGACCACCTACCATTTACCACTTGCAAAGGCGGGCACAAGTCTGGAAGTGATCGGCCAGTTGCAGCTTTCCGATGATCGAGTGGCGGTCTGCTACAAGACAAATCAGCCTACGGTACGCCGTTTCAATGTCGAATAATATTCTGAAAGGTTACAGCCCAAATTCAAATTGACCGTGATGACATTGGACGACAATACAATCAACACGGAGGAGTCCATCTCGAGATGCCATTTATTCTCGAACCTTCCCAAAGACAACTGCTGCAAAGCCACCATTTCGGCCATTGACGAGCACGGAGCGACCACTGCCTTCGTGGAGATTCCTCTGGATTTCTTTGTGAATCAGGGTGAGTTCACGCTCCGAATAGGCCTGAAATCATTTCCATTTCAGTGGAAGTGGAACTCATTTCCGCTGCCTCCTCCCGTCTCATCTTCTCAAACGGATCTCATTTGCTCGAGAGCGAAGAGCTCGATCAGTATGCTCTGGCCGATGCGGCTACCGTAATCCCGTTCCCTCTTCCAACCGAAGACGCAATCACCGCAATCGCCGGAATATGCGACAACACTCTAGCAATCGGAAGCTCCAAAGGATCCCTCTGGACGTTCCAAATGTCTGCGAATCAGACCGATGAAGATCAGCCGTCTACAGTAATCCAACTGAAGACTGTGGGCGAGATGGACACGAAGATCACTCAAATCGAGATAGATCACATCCAGCGCACACTCTACGCTGTCCAACACGACAAAGGGATACTGAGGTGCAAACTGAGGACGATGGAGTCGGAAGAGACTCCGAATTGTGTGCTCATTGTGCACAATGACGCGTTGAATCCGCCCAAAGAGATAACGATTGATCCCGTGAATGGGTAAGATTAGTGTTGGAAAGAAAACGATCACTGATTGGGATTTAGTCACATGTACTCTCTGCACGTGGACAACAAAGTGTACAGAACCGAAATGATTGCATTCAACGCCACCGGAATAGAGACTGTGGCCAGTGTTCAATACCTCAAAGGTCAGAGAAAGTTGTCATTAAAACTAAGGAAGATCTTTGCAGATATGTCACCATCAAACGGAATTTTCTTCGATATTTCCAAGTTTCTGCTCTACTCAGCCCTTCAAAATGGCACCATGATGACTCTGAACCCAGTAACGGACCAGCCGCACATCTTCCGAGAGTCCGGTTATTCGGATGTGCAGCACTTTCGGATAAAAAGCGATTTGATCTACTGGACGAAGGGAAAGTGTGGCGAGACGGAGGCCGACGAGAACTGCATTTTCACAGAGACACTGCAAAGGGCGAGGAGAACATTCCGAACAAGTAAGCGCCGCCTTATCTTTCCGTCTCTATTCTCTCTGCTCACTCCTATCACTGCTCCCAAGCGGCTCATTCAGAGAGCGGTGAGATGGCCGAGTGGTCTAAGGCGCTGGTTTTAGGCACCAGTCCCTCCGGGGGCGTGGGTTCGAATCCCACTCTCATCAATCCGTTTTGAACTTTGCAGATTCACCTACTCGAGTGCGCTCATGTCCTACGGCTTCTTGGAAGAGATCCTTCTGAAGCCACGCATCCCTCCTGTCGCGTCTATCGCACTCCTAGTCTCCGACAAGGCCGGAGTAGTGTCTTGGAGCGAGACGAGTACTCTTCCGTTCCAAGCACAAGGAAGTTTTTGGAGAAACACCACCTACTTTCTGAAAATAACTGCACCAGAAGTTGCTGATTTTTCTCCAAAAGAGATTTACACTACCAACAACAATGTGGCAAGTTATTCTTCTTTTTCAGAAAAAAAACAATATTTAAAAGATCATTTTTTAGAGAATCGACATATCACCCGGAAAACAGTACAATGTGCAGGTGCAAGTGTGCAGCGAAGACTTCTGCTCTTCCCCAACTTCCACTTCCAACACGGCTTTCCCGGATTTAGAGAACAGTAACTTTGCGAAATTATGTTTCCGGCCCAGTTTCTACATTTCAGCAATCCCATTCATCTTCACAAAGAAGCAGGCAGACGACGTCGTCTCCGTTGACATGTTGGGGGATGTGGTGGCGACGGACGAAACGGTCAGAAGCCTCGATAAGATGCAATATCCGCACGTACTGGATAACACCACCAAGACTGTCTACTTGGCCGGAGACCATTCCGTAAGTTGTGCATTTCTGAGGCCTCCAACACTTTCACTTTCTTTTTCTTCAGATGGGAATATTCAAAAAAGATCTGGATGACGTGTCTGGCACTCCAAAGCCATTCAAAGACGGCCTTTTCGTGGAAATGATGTCTATTATGCCGTCCCGATCCACGATTCTCATTGCCTCCTCGTACAAAATCGTCTCTTACAGACTTCCCACAACGTTCGATTACGAGTAAATTGTCGAGTGCCAACGAAGACTCTCTTTTTTCTGTCATTCAGATACTATTCGTGCGAAGAGCCGCTCGAAGATTGTGCAGAAGTGATGGGAATTTCGAGTGACGACACAACTGGCATGGTCTATTTTCTGACGCAGGCGAGAAACGGAACTGTCAATCTGTGGGAGTCGGAGGCGGATAACCGAGAGCCGAGGAGTATTGCGAGTGCCGCTTCAATTGTACCGTTAGTTCAATTGCCTCTGGTCCTTTGATAGTGTTCGTTCAGATTCCGTCGATTCTTGATCGTGCACGATAAAATGATTCTGGTCGCCAAGACCAATCACATTGTTCAAATCGACAAAGACTTGGAAGTGTCGAATGTGGCGTCGGAGCTGGAGAGAGTGGATCGGATCCTTCCCCTTCGGTACACTGCCATCTCGCACAAGATCGAGTTCACGGACGAGATTAAGTTTGCGGAAGGCAGTAAAACCGACCTGCAATGGACAGTTTCGCCTCCTTCCGAAGCGGGAACGGTACTCTTCAAAGTGTCCATCTACCGAGACAAAATGGGAGTCGATGCGCCGATAATTGCGATGCAAAGTGACACGAACTTCACAATTCCATCGGAAGTACTGGAGGCGTGGAGCAGTGCGCAACGCTTCGACGTCTCCATCCAAGCGATCACTCCGTGGGCCTCGGCGGTCTTGAACAGAACCGGTCTGACGGCTCCAGTCAAGCCGCCGACTCCGCCCACACAGCTCGGAATCTACGCGACCCAACAGAAGACTGTGGATGGTCCCCGAGCGCTCATCTCTTTCTTCTGGGCACCGCCGGCGGAATGGAATGGCACGCCTTATCAATACATTGTCAACTGCACGAAAGACGACGGTAGTTGGATCGGAGGACCGGTCACCACCTCTCAGTCGCACTACTCGTTCGCCGTGAAATCGGGAAAAGTGTCCTGCCAGGCGGCCGCCGCGAACGAACCCACGAACATCGGAGCGTTTTCCGAATTGATCACCATCGACAGTTCGGGTAGGTTATCTGTGAATGCATCGAGTGCCAGTCAAGCAAGTGTTCAGAACTGAAACCTCTTGTGAAACTGTTCGCAATCGATTCCACCAACTCGCTCATTTCGATCAACGATCTGGCACACGAAGAGCCGAGAAGAGAGACGAGACAAGTGGCACTGCCGCTGAGAGTAAGTGTTTAGATACGAAGCGATGATTGCTCAATTTGCTCTTCAGTTGGAATATCAAGCCATGGCGTTCATCGGAGAAGACTTGTACGCCGTGAGAAAGGAAGGAGATTCAGCCGCTCAGCCGGTTTTGGTTCAAATTGACACGAATCACATTGATAACACGGTTCATAAAGTGGGAACTCCATTTTCGTTCTGTTCCAAGTGGACAGTCGAATTGTTGCAGGTTTCGATCGGCGGCGACGTGACGAGAATCGATGCGATGACGTCCGATTGGGTCGGCAACCGTCTGATCTTCGTCGCGGGCACCAATCTTTATCAGTTGTCTTTGGAGCCATTTCTATCCACTTCTCTTCTGAATCCACAGAAACTCATTCAACTGACGGCGGCGACAGATGCGAAACAACTGACTTATGACCCGTTTATGAAGTAGGAAAGGTAGAAGTTGGCGGATAGAAATTTCATCGTTTTTCTTTCAGCACAGCCTATCTGCTCACAAAGAACGGATCGCTGTTTGCCCTCGATTTGAACAAGAAGACAGAAGAGAACCTCGCCCTGACCGTTTCTTGTTTGGCCAGTCAAACAGTCACTTGGATGATGACCGAGTTCGCATGGAATCGAGCATCCTCTCCGAAGATCTACGCCCTGACCTGGAACGGACTGATATACGTGGATCTGGCCGAAGACTTTCAGTGCAACGAGGTCCGAATCGACTGGGCAAAGTTCGGAGAGAAGGGTCTCAAGTCAATCTCCTCTTTTGCTATCGCCGATAAACTATTCGCCTTCGTGACATCGTCGGAAATGCTCATCTACGGAAGGGATACGGTCACTCCTATTCCGATCGCCAACCCTCCGCTCAAACAGATTCTGGCCGTCAGTCAGAGCAGTCAACCGTACCCGGACAGGTCTTGTTTCGAGCTTCCCTCCTCCAAAGGAATCGTATTCTCGATTGTGAACGAAGGAAAGACGGGCGCTCTTCTGGAGGTCACCAAGAGTTCGTCGTCGTCCGCTTGTCAAGACGTGAGCATGCCACAGACTCAGTACGAAATATACTTCGCTCGAAAGAACACGGACAAAGTGAAACATGTGCGAAGTTTCTCCGATCGAATCCACGTGGAGAATGGGATTCTCGACAAGGAGACGGACTACGACGTCACTGTGACGTGGCTGAACAGATATTCGCCGGCGAGTGGCGTCTCTGCTTCGAAATCATTTCGCACTGGCTTCGGATATCCCTCCGCTCCCCGGGATCCTCACGCCATTCCGGTCACTCCCGACACCGTCTATCTCTATTGGAGTTTGCCCGAAACTCTGAATGCTCCGATCTCAGAAATCAAGTACAAGATCTCGCAGCAGGCGGCCGGAATTGCAGTGCCCACTTCGATTGCAGTCATTCCACTGTCAGAGACTGTCTCCTCGAACGTTTCTTCCGATACTGCGGCCTGTCTCATTAATCCGTGTCGGGTGAAGATTGCCAATTTGAGGCCCTCAAACGAGTACAAGTTCTGGGTGACAGCCACTCACATCTCGCATCTGGACGCGACCACAATCCTCAAGGACGACGACGCCGTCTCTCCAGAAGCTAGTGCTCGTACCTTGGACGTGCCCGGCACACTCCGACCTGACAACGTGACCGGCTCTTCTCTGCTGCTACGATGGAATGGTCTGCAGCCGGAGCATCGTCCAAGTTCCATTGCGATCCAGTACAAAGAGACGGGCAGCGTGAACAACGAGTGGCAGACGCCATCGAATGCCACGTTCGAGCCGGATGTGGTCACCGAACTCATACTCGTTGGCAATCTTCTGTCCGCCACGTCGTACGACTATCGATTCGTGGCCACTTACACCGGCACCTATATCATTGACGGAAAAGTGCTGGCGTTCAAGGAAGACTACCTGCAACTGACGCAGCAAGTGCGGACGAAGGCAGGAGTTCCGACGGCTCCGCAATGTGTTGAAGCGCGGCAGGACGAGGAGGGTTGGATTGTGACGTGGAAAGAGCCGATGAGCGACGGAGGGTCCCCGATCACGAGCTACGCCGTCGAGACGAGAATCAACAAGACGGCCGAGTGGGAGATTGCCGAACGGGGACTGGACGGATGGAAGACGTGGTGGAGGCCCGGAAAGTCGGAGAGCTCTTCCAGTCCGTCGTCCTCTTCGATGGAAGTGTCCGAGTTTCGGATAAGAGCAGCGAACATCGAAGGGTTCGGAGCGTACGCGTACACGGAGGAAAAGAAGGAAGAGAAGGAGGAAGAGCCGAGTGCAGTCCTCCCGTATCTCTTGTTCCTCTCCATCTTCCTGCTCATTGCTGCTATGCTCTTGGTCGCATGCTTTTGGTGTAAGTTTGGCGGCCGTTTGAACGTTCAGAAGTAGCCAGCCAATTCAGTGAAATCTCGTCGCCGACAACAGCTGAAGAAGCGAGAAGCTGAGGACGAACGGAACTGCATCAGTCTGGACGTCGTGGCGAATCTCGACTTCTCCTCTCAACAGACCCTTCCTCCAGAGTACAACAGTGAGCTCAGAAGTGGGAAAGACTGTCTCCGATGACTCTTCCCGATGATATGTCTTTGTAGACTTGCCCATTATCAGTAAAGACGACGTGACGTTCGGAGCACGACTCAGTTTGTGCTCTTACGGATTCGTGCACGATGGGATCGCCGAAGAAGTGCCTCTGAGCTGGGAGAAGAAAGTGAGAGTGGCGATCAAGAGTCTGAAGTCGGATCCGACGTTCCAGGACAGAATGATGTTCATGAAAGAGGCGATCCTTTTGAAGTATTTCATCACTTTTTGACTTTTCCTTCTCAACTTCAGTTTCAGCAACTTGGATCATCCGAATATCGTAAAAGAGCTGGGAGTGTGTCTCACTCCGGGCAAAGAGTTTTTATTGTTGGAATTCATGGAAGGAGGCAATCTGCTCACTTTCCTCAAGGCTTCGTAAGTTCTAATTCTTCTCATCACACTCAAAACTATAAATTTTCATTTTTTAGAGTGCCCACCGAAAACCAGTGCTCCGATTTGTGTTTGCGAGACCTGCTGGCCATCTCCGTTGACATTGCCCGCGGCATGAACTACCTCGAGAGGTAAGTGAGAGAGCGCTGTTATCTATGCACTGGTGACCCTCTCGGCCCGTGCTTCCGTAGCGCAGTAGGCAGCGCGTCAGTCTCATAATCTGAAGGTCGTGAGTTCGAGCCTCACCGGGAGCAATTTTTTTTTTTGCAGACTTCCACACGTTCACAAAAACCTTTCGGCTAGAAAGTGTCTCCTGGTTGGCCGACCTGGAGTCGCAAAACTTGAGATGGGAACGGCACGAGAGTTGAGCAATGGTGCCATGAATCGAGCGGATTTGGATAACTCGGATAATGTTCGATGGATGGCGCCTGAGATTCTGAAGGACTTCCAATTCACTTCCAAGAGTGACGTGTGGGCGTTCGGTGTTCTCCTCCACGAGGTGTTCTCTTTGGGAGAATCTCCGTACGGAGATACGGAAAACCGAAAGATAATAACGGATGTTCGGAACGGAAGAGTCCTTCCGAAACCAGTTTATTGTCCGGATCGACTCTACAAACTGATGCAGCAATGTTGGGCGTTCGACATGTCGAAAAGACCGAACTTTGCCACAATTCTCAAAATTTTTGAGTCTTTCCGTGAAAGACTAGAATTCCAGGTATTTCCGATTTTTAGGCTTCCAAAGTGATTATCAAAAATGTGCAGGATGATAAACGACTCCAGTATCAAGATGGAACTTGCAATGTAAACTTTGACATTTCCCATGACAGCACGTCCAGTGAAAGAGGCGGAGACTTCAGAGAACCACCCTCTCCTTCCCACTTGAACAAGAGTTTCGGAGGTTTCGAACATCCTTACGGTAGCATCAGGCACCCAGAAGTACAAAACAAAATGAGATTTTTAAGAGGGCGACCGACCCGCTGCCATGTGGAATCCGACGGGCGGCAGGAATTCCGCAAAGACAAGTCTTGGGCGATCGCTTCGAAAGGAAAAGTTCCGGAACGCAGTGCATTCTCTCGATGATTTGGCGGCGAGGAGTCAGCGTCCGTTGAGCGTCAACTCTACAGACACAGCTTCGACGGAATACGGCGGAGGTGAGGCTACTATGATGTCGCCATCATTTTCTTTTTGAAAAACTACACGCATTCACCTTTTTCTGCGATTTTTTTATCCAAAAAACACGTTAGTTGCGAATGCCTTCCCGATTAAGCCCCGCCCACCCCGCACGCAAAACTTAGCGGGCGGCGGAACCCGCGAGACGTCGGCTGCTGCGCGCAATCACCTCTCGGCCGCGTCATAGAAGCGGTAAGGCCAGTGAAGACATGAATTACCGTCTGATGACTAGTGACGCTACTTAAGGCTGTAAACCAGAGGCCGACACACAAATTTTTTGGGAATTCTGAATTTAATTTCAGCCTCATCAGCAATGCATTCGCCGAGTTCGTCGAACCGCGCTCCAAGTCATTACGAAGTGCCGATGAGCCGTTTGAGTGCGGCTCCGGCTATTGGAATTGTGAACGACGGCTTCGAGAGCAGCAACCATCGTTGAACTTGAGCAGGAGTTGGACAGGCCTCTCGGCAGAAGTGAATACCAACCCGAGCGGGTCATCCGGAAGCAGTCAATTGCCTAATCACGCCAACTCGATGGGGCATCTGCGAGTTCCGGGAACGTCCTCGGCTGCTCCGCTGTCTCGAGCCGGTCGGAAGAGCTCGCAGAACAGCGGTCCTTCGTATCGAAACCGCGTCAGTCAGGTCTAATTATAACACGTGCATGACAAAGAAGAGGAAATGTGTGTTTTCCATCTCATCTCCGGTCCCTCCCCACTAATTTTCGGTTGCTAGGCACCATGTCGTTTTCATTTTTTTTTCTTTCTTCCCCGAATGTTGTTCAATTCTTGTTTTCGTCTCTACTTTTTCTGAAGTTTCTAATATATTTCTCGTCATAAAGTTATCGTTTCCTTTTCTGTTTCCAATTCCCCAGATTATCTATCACAAAAGGAAATCGATTTTTTATTATCAAAAAAAAAGTGTTCCGAAAAGTTGACAATATTCTTTCTCACAGCTCACAGCCAGAAATCGTATCGAAATGAACGAGTACGAGCACGAGGACATGTTCCAGGGGCTCGCCGTTTCCATGCCAACCGAGACGCCCGACGAGAGCGAAAGGTTCGCTGCCCCAAGAGACCGCCCGTTTCGCAATCAATTTCGCACTTTCAGAGTCGTCATGACGGGCAAAGGAGGCGTGAAACTGGAGGAGAAACTGTGGGTCGACGAGTGCTATCTTTTCCAGGTGAGTCCCAACTTCTCAATCGATCACTCGGAAAAGTAATATTCCGAAATTGTCTTCACTGTTTTTTCTGTTCCAATCCAAGTCCGACCGAAAAATGTTCCATAAAAACCGGTGCAAAATGTGTCATTTAAGGATGAGTCGTTGGCTCCGATCTTCTGCAAATCCAAGTTGATTCCGCTGAAAACGATCACGACTCAAAAGTTGGAGCAAATGCAGAAAGAGCAGATGGAGAAGCTTCAAGTTCCGGAGAAGGAGGTGACGATTACGTGTAGAAGATTTCGACGACTTTTGAGTGTTTCAGGAGCACGAGGACGTCATCGAAGAAGAGGACGAGTCGGCCGAAAGAGGAGACGGTCCGTCTACTTCTGCGCCGAAAGAGGCCGACGTCTGGACCGCCGACAATTGATTAATTCAATCATTTATATTCACAAAAGCTCATGAACTGTTCACAAAATAATCATAGGAAGGAGGGGTGGTGGGGGCCGTGGCCGAGTATCCGACACTACCTGCCAACTCGTTATTATGGACCCATTGATGGTTCTGATTCTCCATGTACTGCAACTGTTGCTGCTGCTGTTCATGTTCGGCAATCTGACTTCTAATGTAGCGCATTTGGGCGGAGGAGGTGGTGCCTGAAAAACAGAGTTCGGATCTTCCGCATCTTTCCGATACTCACCGCTTCCCGCATTCTTGTTCTCAGAATTCGGCTGATGCTGCTGACGGACGGCAGATTGGCTCGGTCGCAAATGTCATCGGAAATCAGCCGATCTCTGATTTCCCAGGCGAAGATGCCCGGATCGGCCCGCTTCAGTCCCCGAATGTACTCGACCACTTTGGGCGTCGTCACTCTCGGCCGCGACCCGCCGATCGTTCCCGGCATTATCGTTCCGTTCTCCGAAAATCGCGTCAGAATCTTGGAGACACACCCGTGGCTGATCTTGAGCTGACGCGAAATGTCACCTGAATCAGTCCGTTGCATTTGTTTTCCTTGAACCGAAACTCACAAGGCCGTGTTCCCTGTCTGGCCAACTCGACAATCTTGTATCTCATCTCAATGGGCAACGGCCTTCCGTTCACAAAAACACCGCCGAGTTGATTCACTTCTGCAGTCTTCGGCGGAGAAATCGGCGGAGCTGAGAAAGACGAGAACCTGTTGTACACAAACGTCGAAAGACTCTTACCGTATCCGGACGGGACAGCGTACTGAGCAGTGTGCTCGGGATCCGGAGGCGAATCCGAGGAAGACGAGGCGGAGGAAGGGTTCCAGAAGACGTCCGTCGGATGATAAGCCATCATCCACGGTTGAGCGGCGTCGCAGTTCATGCTCGAGCGAGTGTGACTGTGAGGGCCCAAAAAGCAACTGGTCCGTGCGGTGCAGCTTCCGCTTCGCTCCGCCCACAAATACCTTTGCGGGCAAACAGGGGCCAGTTGTTTGTTTGGGATTGGGGAAATGCCAATGGGAACGGGGGCACATTTCGGTGGGCTACTGTAGTGAATTCTGAATAATTGCTCATCAAGGAAATCACTTTGGCGAAATCACTCGAAATGTACTCTTTCAAAAAGAAACGCGCTCTACCGCACTTTTTGCGTTTCCGCCAGAGATCCGCTGATTTCCACGTGGGAATTTGGCGGAGCGCGATTCCAAGAACTTCTCTGCAACGGTCAAAGTCCAATTCGAGTACAGTAATCCATTCGTAATCCGGTCACCCATCAGTCAACACCTTTCCCCCATTATCTCAGTGTATCACTCTGTGTGCTCATCACCAATCTCTTCAAATATGCACCCGAATCCACCGGATGTACAGACATTATTCGCGCGCAAACAACCGTGTTTTCTGATTAATAATCAACTACCGTACTCGAGAGGGGAGCAGTTGACCGGAAGGGACCAAACTTGTTAATTCTCTGTTTACACAACATGCTACTTTTTTGGCGGAACTCTATGCCAAAAGGCGGTGCGCTGGAGGGAAGAGGTCCTACTTACCGCCACCGTATTTGAGCATCGGCTTTGGAGCATTGTGTTTCGTGTGAGAAAAAAGACGGTCACCACACTTTATAGGATAATTGGGACACTAACGGGGATGCTTGGGCCGATACAGTACTTTTAGAGGGGAATATTCCGGGTCCCGCTTCCGATAAAAATTATAAAAACAGAGAAATGTTGATGGGAAGGAACGAGACAACGGATAAATACGGTTGAAAAGAGAAATAGGACAAATAAAGTTAGTAGCCGTATGGAATACGGTTCTAATGGGAAAAAGGAGAGAGAAAGACATAGAAAATGTAATTTCAGAGAACGAGACGGATTTATTGGGCACTCGACGACGATCCATGACGAGACGATGACTTGGAGAGCGAGGCGAGGAACTGCTGCACTTCCACTTCCTCGAGCGGCTCCTTCTCCTTGATCCAGAAGTGAACCATGATTTCAGCCAACGGAAGTCGCTCGTGTGGCTCTTTCTTGATTATTGCCTTTATCAGATGGCTTGCTCCGTCACTCACACACGAGGGAATCTGCAAAACAGAGAAGGTTGAACGGGAAAAAAAGAAAGTGGGAGAGAGGAAGAGTGCGGTGAATTGTCCCGAGGAGAAAAGGAACCAGATCGCATTGAAAGCAAACCGGCACACGCATCTCGAGATATTTTCATATTGCAGTCTCCAGCACCTTCCGAACTTGGTTATTCCAGAAGGCTACCGAAACTATGTTTCAGTGGGGAGAACTGCGTTCATAGTTGCTTTGCTGAACCCTGTATTCCCCTATTCCCCAATCACTGACGTAGATCCTGCACTCTTTGATTCTGGCTATCAGCTTGTCGCCGGTCTGGTGAGCAAATGGCGCGTATCCGACGAGCATTTCGTAGAGCAGAATTCCGATGGCCCAAATGTCGACGGCGAAGTCGTGCGGCTGATTGGAGACCATCTCCGGAGCCAGATAGTCCATCGTTCCGCAGAGAGTATGTCGTTTCGAGTGATCGGCGACGACGGACCAGCCGAAGTCAGCGAGCTGAAAATTGGAAAATTGTGTCGAGGAGAAAAGGAACCAGATCGCATTGAGGCAAACCAGCACACGCATCTCGAGCATTGCTCATATTGCAGTTTCCAGCACCTTCCGAATTTGGCGACTCCAAAAGGCTACCGAAACTTCGAACGTTTCAGTGGGGATAACTGCGTCTATCGTAATTGGATGCATCTAAACACGTACCTTCAGATTGAGTTTTCCATCAAGCAACAGGTTCTCTGGCTTGATATCTCTGTGAATGACTCCTTTCGAGTGGCAGTATTTCAAAGCGTTGGCGAGTTGACGCACAAATCTGAACGACGTATTGATTTTTTCGAATATTGATTCTATCCACCACACTCACCTGGCTGCAATGACCTCGGAAATCTTGTGTCCGGGTTGCGCTTGGAGCACATTGAACAGCTCTCCGCGGCTGGCGTAGTCGAGCATCACGAACACACGCTTATCGTCGTGGAAGTATCCGTAAAGCGTTAGAATATTCGCGTGACTGAAAAAGAAAGATATATCGACTGAAGTGGCGGCGAAGTGGCATACCGCAGATGGTACTGAATCTCTATCTCTCGCTTCAGTTGATGACTGACTCCCAGAGACAGAAGCTGACTTTTGAAGAGAACTTCAGAGCGATGATCCGTCTCGTTCTCTTTTCGCGGGAAATAAACACATTGCCAAACTTGCCTTTACCGAGTGGTCGTCCGACATCGAAATCGTCGAGTGTCCAGCTGAAAACGATATATTTTTATGATAATCAGTCAATTCCTCATGCTAACCCATTTTCATCATTGGCCTGTGGCTTGCTTTCGTCAGTTAGTGAGATCACCTTAAATTGCATCGATTTTTGGAAACGATTGACGGAAAAATAGGCAAACCTCGGCTCGTTGGTCATCGACGCAAACCGGTGCGCTGTTCTCTTTGCCAGACATGTTTAGTTGGTGAATCTGAAACGAAATTAGGCTGAAACGGTGAAAAATAAAAATAAAAATCACGGCTGGAAGAAGAGGAGAACGAGAAGAAATGAGGACGCGCGCCGCGTTTGAATGATTTTCGCTTGGCGGGCATACTTGTGCGTCGCTAAACAGGGCGCACTGCCGTAACTTCGGAGTGTCGTATCGACACGTTGGCAAGTGATTGATTGGAAAAAGCAGGGATTCAAGTGAGAATTCCTGCAGAAATGTCGGTGATAGACAAACCATCGTCGGCTATGAATCCACTCCGTGAAAAAGTGACAAGTGCCTGCGCCAAAAAATTATACAACGACAAGGTCTGCCGATAACATTAGACGAAAACTTTCAAATATTTCTTCAGGATTGCATTAAAATTGCCGACTTTATCACTCCACTTGTCGAGGACATGGACTTGGATTCAAATCTAGATAGAAAATTGCACAATAAACTGGAAAAATATGAACTGCGACTCAATAAAGAGTATCTGAGCGAGTTTGAAAAGGTGCGAGCATTTAAAAGATAACTGCAACACTGATCTTGTCAATTTTAGATTAACAACATTGTGCAAAAGTTCGATGAGCTCTGCGTGAAGATGAATTCCACTTGCACGAATCTGTCGAAGCAAATGGAGACAGTCAAGCTGAAAAGTGTGGATTTAGTGCAGAAGACGGCGAATCTGAAAGAGAAGAAGGCGTCGATTGAAAGCCGTTGCAACATGATAAACGAGTTCCTCGAGAAGCACTCTCTGACAGCGGAAGAGCTCAAAGAGCTGGAAGAATGCGAACAAAGCGGTCATTTGACAGAATTCTTCTTCAAAGTTCTTGAAAGATGTCACGAAATTCGAGAGGATTGCAGAGGAATGGTTCAAGAACAGGGACATCTCGCTGCTTTCGAAGTGATGGAAAAGATGCAAAAAATTGACGAGCAGGGTCATGCGATCATCTGCAACAATCTGAAGCGAGAATTCCAAAATTTGACGGTCGATGCTCATCAGAAAAAGCAGATTTTGTCCAAAGCATTCAAGATTATACAACAGAATGACGCCGTGTTCCAGCTAGCGATTGGCAAGTCGTTTCTCTTGACATTTCTTGATTTTTCTTTCATATTCAGATCAGTACATTTCATGTCGTTCGCAAGACCTGTTGAATCAGTTCGTTGAAATCAACAAGATAGCAGTGCAATTGCCAGAAGGGCTCGCTGAGCCGCTCAAAGCTGTTGGGGACATGCTCACCTCGATCCATGAACTTACGGAGCAGGAGAAGCAGCTGTTCGCCTCGATTTGCACGACTGGAAATCTGCCGGCAGTTCTCGACGAGTGCTTAAAATCACTCACCTCCCCATTCAAGGTACGAACATTTCAAAGAGCTTTCAAGAGAGAGAGAGTAGAAAAAAATGTATACAGATCCGAGTGGAACAGTTGCTGTCTACTGAAAAAGACGCCATCACCATCTTCAAACTCGGAAATATCCTAATCTTCTATGCCGACAAGTTCGAAACGCTCATTCGCAAAGACAGTCACTTCACAATAGCGCTCTCGGAACTCGTGAAGACTGTCCGCCAAGTGTGTATCGCCGGAATCAATCACCACGTGGACGCACTTATGCGGAAATGACGGCTCCGCACTACGACCTGCTCCCAGTTCCGGAAGTCCGTCAATGTCTTTCGCTCTATCATGGTCTCATTTCGATCGCCAACAGAACAGGAGATCTGAACTTGCTTCTGGAGCCCGAGAAGATCTATGAATACGTGTTGGAGCCACTGATTCAAACAGTTCAGCTGAGTGCAACCCGTCTGAAATCGGACGTGGATGTATCGGTTTTCACAATAAATTGCCTGACAATCATTCGAAGTGCCATATCGGAGATCACTGCGTTCAAGCGCAAGATTGAAATGATCGATGCAATGATTGAAGGAAATTCAGATGTTCTCGTGTCCGTTCAAGTTTCTGAGATGCTCGAAAAGTCGGGAATTCTGGAACTCTACCAGAAATTCAACGCAGTTACTGCCGAAGAAACGGCAAGTTACTGTTACCATCTACCCCGTCTAAACATCTTCATTTATTCAGAAGCCCCTCTCTACTCTCCCAGGCTTGGAATCGACGACCGTTGCAGACGCTCTCGTGAAATTCACCCAATTCCTGCATGTTCATTCCGCCTCTGATCATAACGACGATCTGGTGCAACAGATTTTGGCTTCAGAAGAGCGGTAACTATTGTTTATCTGTGACTTCTTGAATTCAAGTTTTCAGGCAGAAGATTCGCGAACGCAACACGTTGGAATTCATCAAAGTTTACAAACTCATTGTGGATCATCTGCAGAATCCTGAAAACAAATATGAAAACCTGCACTACCTCCCTTCTGAAAACGTGGAAAGTCTTCTCAAGTTCGAGAAGGAATCCCACTCCTCCACTGCCTAATTTATTAAATTTCATGATATTCTTCCTTATTTATTGCCTTCTTTTTTCTAATATTCACTTGTTTTCTCTCGGTTCTAACCTCTATTGGGTTCTAAATGTGATAGTAAGTGCAATTACAAATGTATGAAATGCTTTTCGATTCTGTCAAAACAACATGTGGGTTGGAGGTACGTCGTAAACACGAGACGGCGAAAGTGGCACGGAAAAGAGTGTGCAGAAGGAGGAGAGCAGTTGAAAATCGATGAGAACTCGCTCCTTCAAGCACTCTTTTCCATCGCCGCTCTTCTTTTCGTTTTCTCATTTTACTCTTCATGTCGCCTCAATTTGTTCATTCTCATTTCGAGCTGTAATCGTACAAAAAACGAGAGAAAAAGAGAGGAGAGTGTATAGTGACAGCTGTTGAATAGGGGCCAAAATCACATGAAGTCTTTTGAAGGGGCCTAATCGCCCTGAACTGGACACTTGGCGCCGCCCGTCTTATCACGCATCCTCCGGCAGAAACGTACTCTTGGCCCGCCTGTCTGTATTCGAAAGCGCAGCGAACCGAGCATGTTCCAGGTGATGAACGAGTTGCTCGCTATCATTGCGATCGTCATCGTCTGCTGCCTGATGTTCTTCCTCTGGCTGCTTTCGATGGCCATTTGTCCGGATGCGATGGTCAATGCCACGTCGGGAAGGTGAGTTGGAAGTGCGCTCCGATGAGAACATGTGAATCTTTCGCAGAAAGGTTCCCATTGTAATCATTGCAAAGTCAGAAATATAGTTCTCTAATGCGTAGAAGTTGTCACCCAACGTTCAATTTATTCCAGAAAGGACAAGTACTGCGAATCGCGCGAATCTCGCGACTCGAAGGAACTCATCGTTCGGTGCGAGGAAGGCGACATCAATCACGTAAGCCCCGATCCATTCCACCCAAATGTTATCCGCTCTCTTCTTTTCAGGATTTCATCAAAAACGTCGTTTCGGCCGAGAAAATGCCGCAACCGTTGTCGACGAGAAGATCGAGCGACAAGAAGCTGAGTGTGGTGCCGGAAGCAGATGAGCAGGTGAGTGATGGGAGAAATCGCATTAGGAGAAGATCCCCGCGACTTATGACGGCAGAGAGTTAACGTTTCGTTTCAGTCGACGGTCCAATCGACGATCCACTCGATCCGTCCGACGATCCTTCGGCAGCCGTCGGTGCCTGTGAAATTGGAGGAGGAAGTGACCGAGACGTCCGTCGAGAACGCCTGATACGACCTCTTTTGTCTATAAGCTGAAATACGCTAGACACATCATTCCGAGGCATCAGCTCTGATTTAAACATTTCTGACCCCTTTACCTGTTTTGTACATACAGAATGAACCGGTTCGCTTTCTCGTGTTGAATTGGAAAGAAGGTGAAAATGTGATTTCCTCGGACATTGTGTCGTTTCTCTGATGATGGGCAAAAAAGAAGTCGGAGAAGAACAAACATTGCCAAGTGAACGAAACGTTCGGTGCCATGACTTTCTCTTTCCGCCTTTCTTCCCTCCTCGCTTACTCTTTCTCATTCCCATTTCAAAATAAAATGTGGTGGTGTGCGCATGTGTGTGTGTGTGTGTGTTTGGGCGACATGCGCGGTCGGTCCATTTATGTCGTGCATGTCTACGTCCCACTCGCATAGAAGACGGCAACATGGACATGAAGAAGGAGAAGATTTCCCCCTCCGTGTCTTTTTTTTCAGATTATTTCGATGTCTTGAAAGATTCTTTCGTCGTTTCGTGACCTTCTGACTCATTCCAATATTCTCAACCTCTACCGCATGATACCGTCACGCCCTTTCTCCCGGAAAAAGAGCATTGACCTCTGGGAGGGCACAGACGGACACGCACATTCGCATTCATTTCCCTTTTTTATCATTCCAGTTTCATTGCTTCTTCTGCTCTCTCTCTCTCTCTTTTTTCTCACTTTCCACGTCGTTTCCCGCTATCACTTTTCTGCTTGTTTTCCCCCTTTTGTTGTTGGACGATACCTGACAATACCTGGAACTGCCCACTTCCAAGCACAAATTAGCGCGAATCCCGTGGGAGAAGTTAGCAGAAAAACAGCGTCGAACGCCTCAAATCGTATAGTTCTCACTCTTTCTGTTTGAACAATTTGCGAAAAAATCTGATATTTTTATGTCTTTCTCAAGGAAAATTGGCTAGTTTTTCCGTGAGTTAGCCTCAGCACATCTTCCCACAGTTGACACATGCCGGGCCGATGTCGTAAACCTCCATCAGCCCAAGGGTTTCGACAGTGTTCCAAAAATGCTCACGTTTTATGAAAATTTAAAATACCGCACAATTTTTCTTAACCGGGCCACCCGGACGGCCCTATCCAGTGACTGCCTGTTTGTGAAAGATGACGTCGCGAGTGTGTGATCATTTCATTCGTGTCTCGAGGACTCTCATTAGAAACGCGTAAGCTCAGTATTCATGAGTACTCTGTCTCTCTCTGTCTCTCTCTCTGTCTCTCTCTCTCTCTCTCTTTCTGTTTCTGCCGACTCCTCATTAGTGTATCTTTTGCCCGGTTTTTCGTTTCTTAGAAAACGACCGGCCAGCGGTTTTCGGATGAAAATTGGCAACATTACCCGGGAGCACAACTTACTCGATTCTTCTTCTTCTTCTTTCTCGGTGCTATTGTCTTCTCGCTTCTTCTCTCTTTTTCTTCATAATAACAACAAGAGAAAAAGCACGGGAACAGTTCATGAATTCTAAGAAAATGTCGTCACGGATTGGTGCTTTTTGAAGAGACGAAAAGTAGAATAGAAGCGAGAGTGATTACCTTTGAGAGAGAGAGAGAGAGAGAGAGAGAGAGAGAGAGCCGTCATAATCCTATATTATTATGTGTAAAGGGGCTCCTCCTTCCAACTTCTTCTATATAATCTTCATCACCCAAAACTTTTCTCCCCGTCAGTCGTCTTCTCACCCAACTTCGTCCCTTTTCGAAAAGATGTATTCCGAGTGAGTCTGTTTTTTTGTGCTTTCCTCTCCCCATAGGGGTGTGTCTTCGACTCTCTCCGAGTCACATGAGTGTCTCAAAAATCGGCAAAAAACGTCCCCGGGGACTGTTCCATCGGCGGCCAAGATGCGCACTTTCCGACGCCTTTTCATTCTCGATTCCATCCATCGTCCTTCTGAATCTCTGAATTGCTATGCTCCGTTTCTCAATTCTCGGAATACTATTGAGTACTTGGTTGGTGGTCTGCTGATGATATCAATTTTGAGACACCTTCTAATTACTGCTTTTTTTCCAGTTGGTTAGCGCAGTGCATGGAGGCCCAGAAGTCGAAGATAGATCCGTTCGCGGAGAACGATCTGTGGGACACCCTGCGTTCGTCGCGCGTTCAGAATCTCGTCAAGAAGAACCCGCTCGGAGAGATCAACTCGCCGCCCACCGACGGATCCGCCTACTTGAAAGTGGTGTGCATCTCCGACACCCACGAGCAACTGCGTAATGTCACGGTACGTGGGCCCGAGCAAAGGCGCGCTGATTTGCGTAGATAATCTTTAGTCATCGAATTGATGAGCGTGGGCGTTGGCAGTCCCTTTCCGTTCCCAAGGGAGTCAAAGAGTTCTGTGAGTGAGAATGCAGAGGGCTGCAAATTGGGCGAAAAACGAACCAGGAAGTGAGAAGAAGAGAGAGAGAGAGAGTTGTCGGGGGAATTGAGAATAATATAAGTAAGACACGTTGTTTCAGGTGCCCGACGGAGACGTTCTCATTCATGCCGGAGACTTCACCAACAACGGAAAGAGAGACGAGTTGATCAAGTTCAACGAGGAAATGGCCCGTTTCCCGCACAAGTACAAGCTGGTGGTGGCCGGAAACCACGAGTTGGGCTTCGATTCGGCCGAGAATCAATCGCAGAGACTGGAGTCCGATCAGGGACTGGGAACTGAGGCCGGCTACGAACTGCTCACGAATGTCATCTATCTACAGGACAAGGACATCACGGTTAGTGAATTTGGGAAAGAATATAATCCAAAATGGGAATTGCAGATCGACGGAATCAAGTTCTTCGGATCCTCGTACCACCCGCTCCACGGCTTCCCGTTCTATCGTACCCGTGCCACTGAGCTCGCCGAGTGCTGGAAGGCCGTTCCGAACGACACGGACGTCCTGATCACTCACACTCCTCCGCTCGGCTACCTCGATCAGTTCGGCGAGGAACGCTGGGGCTGCAAGGACCTTCTGTACACTGTCGAGCGCATAAAACCAGTCTACCACATCTTCGGACACGTCCACGAGCAGCACGGATGCATGAGCAACGGCCACACGGTAACGAAGGCTCTTTCGTTCTGTACTCAATCGGTTGGCTCTTCAGGTGTTCATAAACGCGGCTCAGTGCAACAAAGGAAACGTGATCCAGACGCGTCCGATCGTCTTTTATATTCCCAAAAAGACCACCTCCTCATAGCTCATTTCCCTTCCTGTAGTCTCATTGTGATTTCTGTCCATTCTGTGTCGCTTGCCATCCCTTTAATTGCAACGAACCTATCCTTTTCCTCTCTCTCTCTCTCCCTGTCAGCAGCTTTACTCCCTTTCTCTCTCTCTCTCTCTCTCTCTCTCTGTAAGTATGTCGCTCTCCTTCACTTTCAATGTTTATACAAAAATGTAGTTTTTGGAATGAAATATCAAGGGTGGCGTAGCACATGTCTAGACGGAGTGCGTTGGACACGTTCCCACAGAGTCCACAAACTTTGTCCACTCGGGTTTCAACTCCAACTTCGGCTCGTCTATGTATTTCAGAGGCACTCGCCAATCACAGAAAGTAATCAGAAGAGAGGCGTTGTTGGCTGCCGAACCTGAAATTAACGAGTTCTAAAAATGCTCTGATCATGTCCAAATTCACCTCCAAATATGTACTCCTTGCCGACTTTGAAGGAAGTTTGCCCGCACGCACTTTCTTGCGTCGCCGTATTCATCACTTCTGGCAGTGTTACATTTTCCGGAGCCTAAACTCCATTTCTGCTCTAAACCTTTTTTGTTGCTGTTCAAACCTTGATGACATCCAAGTGCTCCAGCCGATATGACATCATGAGCCCGAGTCCGTCGGTCTCTTTCGAAACCACTTTCACTTTGGAAACTTTAAAGGTTTTTTTCCATTTACTTCACCACAATTACACGGTAGACTCACTCCACGCGGTGGCGCAATATCCGTCCTTTTCCGTCGGGAAATCCATGCAGCTACACGTCTCGAGAGTTTTCGGAAGCGACAATACGAAAAAGAGTGCGAAGATGGCGGTGATCATTCTGGAAGAAGAGTGGGAAAAAAAGAAAGTGAGTGAGCGGCGAGGCGGAATGGACAGACAGACCAGCAGGTAAAGTTCGACTGACGACCTGTTTTTGCGCAACACGCAACACAAAACAAAACAGAAAACGAGAGAAAAAGATAGATAAACAGTTGAGAGGCAGTCCCATCCCATCCAGTTGACCGACCTTCGAAATAGGACAAGCGATACGAGAAGAGGAGTCATTCGGTACACGAGAAGATTTATTAATAGGAAACCGTAATATCGAAGTGAGCTCTTTTCAGCTACTGTAGCCGATGCGATAAATGAGACTGTTTCTGGTTAATACGTCATGATAGAACTGATAAGTCGGCGGAGGTGGAGGCACGAAAAACTGCTGACGGAGCCGTTCTAGTCACAGTTCACTGTGCCGGAAGGTGGCCTTCGAGGCCGGAAGTCTCTTCTTCATCAGGTCGGCTCCGACCGTCTTGGCGATCTCCGATTGCCATAGTTCATAGGCTTCTTGACGAAACGATTGTTGCAGCTGAAAATCGAGAATTTGAAAAGAAGAAGACACAATTTAGTTCATACAGATGGTTCAGCATTGAGCAGAAGATTCGCAAACGGATGAGATTTCGTAACTGCCGGCCACGGTACAGATTCAGTGCTCGGAGTTCCAGTGGTAACAAAATGAACGATGGAATTCACGAGCAGACTCTCGAACTTCTTGTCCTTCTCGTTGAACGGAATCTTGTCCTTATCGTCAAAGTTGAACAGGAATCTCAATTCGGAGGCGTGGAATGGCCCTCTGATCGGATGCGTTGGGTCCTTCGTCGTCTCGCTTTCATAGTCAATCACATAGAAGAATGTCTCCCAACCATGCTGTGTTTTCAGTTCAATTTCGTGAAGAGTCGGAATATTGTACTGAAGGTCACTGAGAAGAGTCGCGTAGGCATTCAAATAGAAACTGGAGTTGCCAGTCATTGGTCCGTTCAAGTAGAATTCCTCCACGAGAGCCGAGAATCGCGCAGAAGCGGTGCCGAACTCTCGTTCAACAGCGACTGAAACGAGAAAATAACTTTTGAAAAGAAGATGTGCTGTAATGTTACCTTCAGTTCTTATGAAATTAACCAGGTCATCCTTGCTATAGGAAGCCCAATTCTCCTTTGCAACTCCGAGTAACTTTGCCAATTTGACTGGGTACAGCACACTGAGGCCACTTTCCAAAGTCACCAATCCTTGCATTGTTCGCTTTTTCGGAGCTTTTCTGGACATTGTCTCAATCTAAAAAGCATCATAAAAACATTATATGAATCATTGCAGTTGTCTTACATCGTACGGGAAGAAGTCTTTGTCGAAGTGAGGATGGAATTTTTTGGTTCTCGGTCCAGGCAGCAGCTCTCCCTGAATTGTACATTTTGTTTAGCTCGGGCCAAAGAGCCACTTACGATGCTCTCCATGGCATCCAGAAGCTCGTCGACTGTTCTGATCTCGATGCAATCCCTCAATTCTTTTGAGTCCTCGTGTGCGCATCCAGCAGCTTTCGCCAGTTCCCTACTGTCGTCCACCACGTTCTGATTCAAGTTATTCTCGGAGAAGATGCTGCCCGACAGTTGAATTGCTTGAGCAAACAGATCTGAACTTCAAATTGCAACTTTATTCATTGAAGTTGAAGTAACTTACGGTCAGAATGAGGAGAGTAAAGGAGAGCAGACACGCTGGCAGCTCCAGCCGAATGGCCGGACAATGTGATTCTGTCCGGGTCACCGCCAAAGTCCGGGAGGATTTCGTGAAGGAACTGGAGAGCGAGAGTCTGGTCCCACAAGCCCATGTTTCCGGGAATTTCCGAGTCGCCGGTAGTGAAGAAGCCAAGGGGACCGAGTCGGTATTGGACGGAAACGAATATAATGTCCTGCGAGACAAAGTTATCGGCCGCTTTTTCGTATCCAACCATCGATGAATCACCAAATTGGAAGCCGCCGCCGTGAAGGAACACAATGACAGGCAGCTTCTTTTCGCGCTAAAGATGTATAGAGATGAGAAATGAGCGGAAAAGAGGAGGTACTAACCGCGTTCGGAGGTGTCACGATGTTCAAGAAGAGACAGTCCTCGCTATAGTTCACATGCTCCTCGAGTTCAGAGCGGAGGGAGGGAATGCAGGAAGCACGGAAATGGGTGGCATCGTGATTGATGTGCGGCCACTTCTCCACTGGCTCCGGCTTCTGGATAAAACAAGGAGTCCGATAGAAACGAGAACCGTGAACTAACCTGGAATCTGTAGATGTGATCTGGTGGGTTTCCGTATCGGATTCCCAAAAACACATGATATTTAGATCCGCTGACTGCGGAAGTGTGCTCGAATCCGACGATCGGACCGTACGAAGTCGTAATTTTCGGTTTCACGACACATAGTACAGGGCTAGCTAGGAGAAATCCAAGCAGAAGGTAGAACGAAGACATCAGCTCCAAAAAAGTGAGCGCTTCGTCGGATTGACCCTAGGTATATGCAAATGAGTGTGCTTGGGGAGCAACAAAACGGAGAAAGAGCGGACGATTCGGAAGAGACGGAGACGCGGAGAGGAGATGACTGTTTGTGCTGCAATGTCAAGCAAATAAGACGGAGAAGGAGGGTCGCGGCGAACAGAGAGACATTTGTTCAGAAGAGATCGGTCAGGCCGGTGATAATTGTGTTATTTGTTTGCTTTGTGACTAACGGCAATGGGACACATAAGAACATGTGCGAGGAAATGGACGGAATGAGGGTAAAGCGTTCACATTGAAGGTTTTTGTGAACTTTACTGAATTCAGAACATCATATATGAAACATTTTTATTACGAATTGTACTGCATTCAGCACTTGATAGCTTTGATTTGAGTTTGGAGCGTCTGCGGAACCTGCAAAACGTTTCCATTTTCGACAGTATCAGTCATGGTTATTTCTTACATTCTTCCATTCGAGCACATTCTCGAACGAACTCTTCGATTTGTCATCTGGTAGCACTTGACCACAAAGAACTGTGTACAGGGCAGAATTTCCCTCGACGCGTCCCGCAAGAAGATATTCGCGACCGGCTCCGATCACAAGACCGCAAGCCGGAGACTCGGACGGAGTGAAGATCTCATTGGGGAGAACGGTCAGGTTGGCAGGCTTCTGGAAGCGAAAAAAGAGTTGGAATTTAGAAAAAAAAGAGTCGTTACCTTGAAGACCTCAACGTGCTCAACTGTGTATCTCAAGTTGTTGAGTCCTTTTCTCTCCGAGCCCTCCGGAAGACCCTGCTTGCCAACACGAATCTTCACCTTGACATGGGACACCCAATGCGCATTACAGAATGATTCCTTCGTCGACTGATCCTTGCACTTGCACGCGACGGTAACGGCGACGAGAACGGAGAGGAGGAGTAGTACCTTTTGCATCTGAAATTCAGAGTTACGCAAGAACGCAAGAAGAACGCAAGAACTTGAAAATGACTAAAAAAAAAGTAGAAGAAAAGCTCGTCACTTTGTTGATAGTTCAGTCGAGTGATCGAGATGACACTGGTTGAGCGAATTGAATGATTCGGTCAAGTGAGAAGAGCGTGTGCGGATCGGAGAGGGCGCAGACGGCGGGACAGGAAGTGTAACAACGTCAGAAGAAAAAACAGAGAGACGGAAGGTGACGGGATCCCAAACAGATGAATCATTCTGGAAGACGAACACGAGTTTTACATACTTGGTAAAAAGTTGATCTCGGAGAGAGTGGCCACGAGAAAAGAAAACAAAAAGAGAACAGCGAACCGTTTAAATCAATATTCGGAAGAAACACAAACACATTTTCTTCTATCGCGTCAAAAGAATAGAGTCGTAGAGACCGCCGCGAAAATAATTGAAATGGTCGCTTGTTCACTTCATTTCACACTTGTCTCTTTTTTAGTTTCCCGTCCAGTTGGATGGGATTTAGTCGGGCAGTAGTTCTGGTCAATTGACTAGACAAACTTCTAGTTGTTCTTCCTATTATCGTATAGCCGAAGGATGACTTAAAGATGCAAGCAGGCTATGAATACTTGTATTGCTCATGCATCTCAAACACTTTTTTCTGCAGAACAGTTCTCATTTTCCTTCCTTTCACTCCCTTTCTCCCCAATTTGTTGTTGTTGCTCGTGAGGTCGTTCCGTCCAAGGTCTCTCTCGTCTCCGTCTCTTTTTCTCTTTTCTCAACCGGAAGGGTTTCCATTCTCTGTTCGGTTACTCTGTTTTTTTCTTATTTGACGCTCTCCATTCTGTCGCCTAAAGCTATCGATTGTGCAGTTAGCCAGAGAGATCATGTTTCTCTCAATTTTCTGGGGTGCGGTCGGCCCAAAGGCACTCTTGTTTACGAGATCGATAACCTTGAAGTGTCCGTGTTTGTTTATTTGCTTATTCTATTCAGATGAATCCTCCTCCTATTATGTCACAGACATTCGCCGGTGTATCGGTTGCAAATTGCATTATGTTTTATTCATTAAAGCTCCCTCTTATGTATGCTGTTTTAGTCCAAAAAAATGAAAAAAAAATTGAACTTTCTAGTCATCACCTCGGTCGGGGCGGTCAACAATACAAGATACATGCTGGCAGCGGCAGGCATTTGTCAGCATTTCCATTCGCAAACACACTCCTTCCTTTTCCCTCTTTCTTTTATTATTTCCGCGCTTTTCCCTTTTCCCCCAAACTGCGGTTTGCCCGGACTACTCCCATTTTCCGAGATCTATTCCATTCAAAGACTATACAGTTCTTCAACTTTCATCAATAGACTTTCTCACTGATAACGGTCACTTATCATTGTCAGTACTTATCGTTTATCATCAATTTTCTAGAGACTTCTTGAGCTTTGTCATGTTCCTTACGCATTTGTCACTTTCACAGTTTCATTATTCAGTTTAGGCAATGACGTTGTGTGCTTATCCTCCGGTGGAACCAGAATGCGACCAGGATGACTCTCCGATTGTGGAAGAAGTGATCGGAAAACTGGAAGATGTTGCACCTGGAACGTAAGTATTCTGCGTGAACCTTAGAAACCGAACCATGATGTTTCAGCAAGAAGATCTTCGAGGTCCGTGATCGGAAGGTTCTAGTGATCAACGACGACGGAAAGCTTCTCGCCATCAACGGCCTCTGCTCCCATTACAATTTCCCATTGGAGAGCGGAGTCTACGCGAAGGGAAGAATCAGATGCCCTCTGCACGGAGCCTGCTTCAACGTGCGAACGGGAGACATCGAAGACTATCCAGGATTCGACAGTGTCCACTCCTACCCGGTCAGTGATTCCCTTCTCCACCTTCAAGTTGATCTTTCCAGGTTTACGAGAAAGAAGGCAACATTTACATCAAGACGACAAAGAAAAAGTTGGGCTCCGACCGGCGAGTCCGTCATCTTCCGACTCTGAAAAAGTGCGAGGACCGTCCGGTCGTGATCATCGGGGGCGGAGTGGCTGCTGCTACGTTCATCGAGCACTCCAGACTGAATGGATTGGTCACTCCCATTCTAGTCATCTCCGAGGAATCGTTCCCTCCCTACGACAGAGTGCTCCTTTCGAAGAATCCTGCGGCTACCGGCGAAGATATTCGTTTGCGAAAGGACGACGCATTCTATGAGGAGAGAAATGTGACGTTCCTTTTGAAGACTTCGGTGACTGGGGTGAAACCGAACAGAAGAGAAGTTAGTCTGTCGAACGGGGAAACGATTGTGTATTCGAAGTTGATCATTGCCACCGGAGGGAATGTCAGGAAATTGCAAGTCCCTGGAGCCGATCTCAAGGTTAGTACTTCTTGTGCTTACAGAAAACCACGGATGTCTTCAGAACATATTTTACGTGCGTAAAGTGGAAGAAGCCAACGCGGTGGCTAACGCGCACGCCGGAAAGCACGTCGTCTGCGTCGGTTCCTCGTTCATCGGAATGGAAATTGCGTCTTCCCTGGCCGCGAATGCCGCTTCCGTCACCGTCATTTCCAACTCGGCCGAGCCTCTTCCGGTGTTCGGAGCCGACATCGGAAAGGGAATCCGTCTGAAGTTCGAGGAGAAGGGCGTCAAGTTCGAGCTGGCCACAAGTGTAGTGGCTCTACGTGGCAATTCGGAGGGAGATGTAGAAAAAGTGATACTTGCGAATGGAAATGAATTGGATGTGGACGTTTTGATTTGTGGAATCGGAGTCGTTCCGGCCACGGAATTCTTGAAAGACTCTGGAGTTGCTTTGGACGAACGAGGATTCATTGAAGTCGATGAGAAGTTCAGAACGAACATCACCTACATCTTCGCAATCGGAGACGTCGTCACAGCCCCTCTTCCACTTTGGGGCATCGAGAGCATCAACATTCAGCACTTCCAGACTGCTCAGACTCACGGTTAGCCTTTTCCACTGCTCCGAAGACTACAAGAATAGTATTCAGGTCAATATCTCGGCTACACAATTGTCGGAAAACCACAACCTGGTCCGATAGTCCCTTACTTCTGGACAGTTTTCTTCTTCGCCTTTGGCCTGAAGTTCTCAGGATGCAGTCAAGGATCCACAAAGGAATACACCAATGGAGACCCGGAAACTGGAAGTTTCACCAGATACTTTTTGAAGTAAGAACGTCAAAATATAAATGTGTACATTGTGTAATTTCAGGAAAGACAAAGTTATCGCCGTGGCGTCTGGAGGTCCGACCTCCGCTCCAGTCCAATTCGCGGAAATCTTCAAGAAGGGAATCGAAGTTACTTTGAAAGACCTGAAGAAGTGAGTTGATCCGAATAAAAGCTTTCCAGTCTGTGCCTATTTTCAGCAGCAAAGATCATCAATGGTCTCATCTCCTTCAATAGAAACCTAGTGATAGATGCCTATGATTATGATACAATTCTTGTTGCACTGTATTTAAAATTAAAGTTAATAAAGGATGTACAAGTGTGTTTCGGGAAGAACCCGATCTGATCTCTTCCGATTGACTCAGTTGTGAGTCGACCTGACAACTCAAAAGATGTCATGTCACTACCAGTCCCTGGTCCCTCTCTCTCTCTCTCTTTCTCTCTCTCTCTCTCCCGGTGGCAGTAGGCAATAAAACATCATTTTGATTGCGAAGAGCCCTGCCTCTCTTGTGCTCTCAGACGAGACCTCGCCTGCTAATAGAGGGATAAACTTGTCTCCGTGTGTTCAGCCTTGATCATATTCCCTCTTCTCCCGCTTTCTCTTTCTCCCTTCTCACCTACTTTTCGCTCTTCTCTACCGCCGCCACCGTTTGTCACATGTGTCGACGAGCCCTCCTCTTTGTCATCGGGTTCCTGAGAAGAAAGTGTGTGATTGCGAGAGTCTCCAGACGACGTAACATCTCAGAGCAAGCCCCAGGGTGCCCAGCTCCAACCCGACTCCGGCTCGATATCGAGTTGATTATGTGATAAGAGACTTGTCTGGATTTCAATTTTTCATTCATCTCCTCTCGTTTTTCTTTGCTCGTAACCTTCTAATCTCCGTGCGTTTCAGTGCATTCCTCAAATGTGACAAATCGAGAAGGGAAAAGGTGCTTCTGAAAAGAATTCTGAATTCCCTGAAAGAATGGTGGAACGACACGGATCGGTGAACCCGACGAAGCCGGCGAATGCAGCAGAAGTGGCTCGAGATGTAGCCGCGAGACAAAAGAATTATAACAGAACGTGCTGCAACTTGTGTCACATCAAACTAGGTGAGTCATTAGGCAAAAAGAAAGAAAGCGAGAAGAGATTTGAAACATGACAAGTTGAGGAGTTCAAAGGTTCCCATGCTATCAGATATTCTAGGTAAAGAGCTGCTGCTTGTCAGTTTTAAAACACTAGGAACCAATTGTCTGCGAGTGGTTTATAGGTTCGTTAACGGTAGAGCCATCAGGGTCCAGGTGTTCTGTTCATAAAACTTTACGAGGGTACTTTGAGCTTCTAGTTTTTTCGCTCCGAAATGTTCAGAAAACGTTGTGTAGTGTACACCAAATCCTTTGAAACGTAGACTTTGGTCAGTGAACCTTGAGATCCTAGACATTTCAAAAAACAACAACGAAGGGGGAAATCGATAAATCATCCGAATCTAGTTCAATTGGAAAGTTCATCTGCACTCGGTTCGCACTCTTCTCCATCCGTCCGTCTGTCACACATAGGCTAACTAACTAATTGAACGCATCACCTGTCCGTCTCCGTCCGTTCCGTTATTACACAGCCCCCCACTGTACAATAGCAATTCAGGAGCCGCGTTCCTTGGCGTCATCGAGGCAACGATCGCAGTCGCGGTGCTCATCGGAGCTGCGCAGCAGGTTGTGTGGAAGAATCAGCACTCCTCGTCCTGCGACAAAAAGTGAATAGAAGAAAACTTGAAAAGGAATGAAAAACTATGATTTTTACAGCATCTTCCGCGACTGTCTGATCTTCCAGTTCAACCACTTCAACGTGACACTCATCTTCGACTACGTCGTCATCCTCATGATGATCTTGATCCTCTTCTCAGTCCTTTGTCTGTTCTTCGGAGTGGCCAGTGACACCTCCTGCCTCATCCTCCCCCATATCGTTGTCCAGGCCTTCTTCCTTCTCTTCTCCATCGGATATTTTGTACTCTACGCATTCTCCTACTTCTATGGAGATCTTGTAGTCCATCACAGGCCGTTTATGGTAATTTTCTTCCGTCTGTTCCATTGGCCACTCGTTTCTTTCAGATCCAATCGATGTTCGAGCGTATGTGGCTGGCCACTTTGCTACTAGTGCTCGCCGCATTACAAAGCTATTTGTTTTCCTCGGTGATCCGATGTAGCTTATACTTGGCCGTGAGTTCTCTCGCTATCGCCTCCATTTGATCTCACACGCTTCGACTTGTTTTTCCCGTTTCTCCAGACTAGTCATTGAGCATGCGACTGAAGCGAGAATTCGTAGAATCTGGCGTCAAGTTTCAGGACATCGAAGAGACCCGACGACGCCGTGAATCAGCATTCGAACGGTGCAGTGAGCGTGTTCGAATTGCGAAAGAAAACGGGCTGTGGAGAACGACGAGTTGGGGCGGAGGCTTCCAACAGTACACGGGGCAGTACGATCGTCCAAAGAAGGAGGTGAAGAACAAAGGATTTCATGTTCAGTGGAACACGGATGTCGAAGCGGGAGTGGTGAGTGTGAAGAAGGAAACGGTCGAGCTGGCGAGGTAAGTAAACATTGAAATGGAAAAACGTGAAGTTTGCTGGTTTAGAATCGAGTCCGTAGAGACTCCTCCGCTCAGCCCGATTCCAGAGGATGAGATCAAGGAGCCGTCGCCTTCAAAGACCACGCAAAAGTTGAACCGAAGTGCATCGAGATCAGAGGAAAGGAGGGGGTCGACCAATTCGAACTCATCGCATCGAGTGAATCGAGGTGCATCTGAATCGCCGAAGAAAGAACACAAACCGAGATCGGTGAAGAAAACGGCATCCGAAGGAACGAGTCGAATCGAGGAGGATCTGCGGAGGATGTCGTCCACGAAAGAGCATCATCACAAAGAGCATCTGTATCGGGTAGAATCCAAGGATTCGCCGAGTATGCCGAAGAGACATGTAAAGTTGAAACCGAGTGAGAGTTCCAGGTAAATTGAGGTGGCACTACTGAACTCCCTTTTCCAACTTTAGAGAAACGCAAAATACGCCTTCAACTGCTCGTCGGCCTTCTCTGAAAAAGAACCGAAGTGTGGACAGTGGGGATCAGTACGACGAGGTGGCCGTCTTCTACAAAGAAAAACATCATCGGAGGAGATCATCGGATCACGGAAGGAGCAAAACGAGCAGATCTCCGGAGAGTGAGTACGAGAATGACTACTGGTAATGCCTGTTTACTGGCCGGTTTTGCACGATCTCCGAATCGCCAACATTTGCTCATTTCGTTTTCAGAAAAAGAGATTCCGATCGTGAAAAAAGTCTCAATCACTGCTTCTTCCGCCCCGTTTTGCTGATGCATTCACTTTATCAAGTTCGCTTCCGCTCCCGATCTCGTTGTACATTTTCCTTCCCCTCCACGTTTTCATGATTCTGAATTTGATCCTGACGAGGTAGACACGGCGATTCAATTATTTTTTGTTCCACTAATCTGTGCGATGTTCCCATGTCTTTCTTTCTGTTATCAAATGTGAAATAAAATATTTTTGAAGCTTCCAACTAATCGTTTAATCCTTTTTTGGTTCTTTCAAGTAGGATGGGCAGTCTATCATAGACGTCGGGTTCAAGTGTTCTGCCGGAATCTTCTTCGCAATTACGTTCTTCGGCGTCGGCTTCTTCTCTCCGAGTTTGAATTCGAGAGAGATTCTCGCATCTGGGTCGTACTTTCGCTCTCCTCTATAAATTGACTTCGGCTCCGGCCCAAACCCGTTTTTGTTCAAGTACTCCAGACGTTCTCTGTGATTTTCAATTGTAGGAAAAGGCGGAATAGAATCGAAAGTCGAGAGTACTTACTTGCAAGTGAGAATCGCATCTTGCGGGATCTGCGGATCCGCATTCTTCTGGAAGTTGAGAACCGAGCGAACGTAGTTGTTGGCTCCTTGTTCGCAAGCTCGCTCGACAATCATAGTCACCTGAAACAAGAAGATGTGTAATATAACAAAGACTGGAGGCTGAACGCACAACTCCTCTCTGCTGAAGTCCATTACGAAGAGCCGTTTGGACGTGAAACAGGTTGCTGACTTCGGTGTCGTCGATTTTGAGAATGGCGTCTCCCAGGTAAAGGAAGCGGCGAGTCGTGGAGCCCCACGAGTTGTCCGTCGACTCCACGTACACCTGAAAAGCCAGCTCTTGTCACTGGACACGTTCCTCGAAGCTTACCACATTGCCGTACGACTTCACATTGATGCCAAGTTTACTGCGAGGAAAGTAGACGAGCACAATCTTGTAATAATAGTAGCCTGAATTGGGTTTGCCGTTCTTATCGTACTTCTTTCGGATCGAAGCATTCGGAGGAATGTTCCTGTCTTCGATGATCTTTTCCATGCAAATGACACGACGTACTGTGAACTTGAGCTGAAACCAATCCCTTCCGAAACTGTTATTCTGTCAGTCCGCCTACGGTGTGTTCTTTGTTGGCCTTTGCGAGTCTGTAGATTGTCACTTGCATAATCTTCTTCGAAGTGATCTCCACGTCGTTGATCTTGACGAGGTGGTCGCAGTACTCGATGGGCGGCGACATGTTCTTCGGCACATTCGTCAGCAGCATTCCCTCCGTCACTTTGAACTCTTTGTAGTTCGGAGTTCCGGGCGGACACTCGATCTGGTGAACGATCTCTTTGATCATATCCTTCGTAATCAGATCTTCCGGAAATTTTCCAGCACGAAAAGCGCGTCTTCTCTCACGAGACAGATTTCTGGAGAGCTTCCGTGGGTTAGAATGTATTCGCGGAACTTACAATTGTTCAGCACTCATGATGCGTCAACCGGAACGGCTTCCCCTTTCGTCGTAAGTTTGTTTTATGAATGCCGATATTGAGAAATGAATTATAATGGAATCGGGTATCTTACTGACATTCTCAAACATTGTCGCTGAACCAACTCACGTCAAAACCCAGCGAACTCTTTCGCAATGACTTTTGATCACACTGAAATGGAAAACGAGAAACGACCGAATTAATAATAGGTTACTCTGAGATGTATGGGCCCCCGGACTCGCCTAGCAACAAACCCAATTTCCCTTCTTTTCAACAGAACATGAAGACGACAAAAGGTCCGAACAATCAGTTCCACTTTGAAACCTGGCGACTCTTCGATCCAATCTACCTTCTTTTCTGCGTTCCCGTCACCATTCACTACATTTTCGTGCTTCGAGTCATCCGCAAACTGCGCGATTCCAACGGCTACTACTTCATCTTTTTCCTCGTGGGCCTTTCCGATGTGATTTACTGTTGTGCTATGCTCACTTGCGAACTGTTGAACTTCACAAACTCCCTGCCGCAAGTGTTTTTCGTCTTTTTCGTCGTTGTCACCTACTTCGGAGTTTTTTTCAATCTTCTCTCAAACACCCTTCTCGCCATCAACAGATTCTGTGCCACGTGTGTCTGGTACAATACGGTAAGTGACATGAAATACCGAATGAGCAACTTTCTTCTTTCAGTACTTTGACCATCATTACATCAAGCTCTACTTCATTCTCATATTCTTCGTTTCCTTCGTCGCCACTCTTCCTGGCGGTGTTCTCATGTTTATCTACTTGTACTTGGACTTTAGTCTCAACGCTCAGTACGAAAAGTCCGGTAGGCACAGAGGTATCCTTCGGTACGAACAGAACACATTCTAAGGTTGGGGCTCGTTCAATCTACACCGAACCATCATAATCGCCATCATGCTTTCCGATGCTTTGACTGGCATTCTGAGCACTTCCTGCACAGTTTATCGTCTGAGAAAGTACAAAATAAACTATGACAAAGTGAGGGACACAGGATTTCAAACGATATCCATTTGATTCAGAGCCTTCTCCTCGTTACTTTCTTCCACATCTTCCCAGATCTTCTCGTTGCATTTTTCAATCTCGACCTGATTTTCCAGTTTACCGGAGCATCACAGTTCACAAATGAGCTGGTAAGATGGACATGGCAAGTAAAACGAGTTGTTCTCTTCCAGAGTCGGATGTTTCTCTTCTTTTTGGTTTCCTTCAACAGTTTGACCATCGTTTGCACGAATCGAGTGATTCGTACCGAATACCTGAAAGTGTTCGTGTTCTGGAAGCAAGCTACTGTCCCTCCGGTGAAGGGAATATCAATCACCGCCTCTAATCTCACTCCTGTCGATAGAGTTACCGTGTTCTGAATGAAATTTGTCGTGAAGTCGAAAATGAAAAGCAGGTCGGGCATGAGCCTGTTTCCACGTGGATCGATCGATGTGATGCGCAAATCAGAGAGTGTAACTTTATTTACGAAACGTGAAAACGGAAGTAAACATTCAACCGATTATTGCGACACTGCCAGTTCGTAGTCATATCGCACTGCAAGAAGATTCTGTAGAACGAATAGTTGAATTCTTTATTGTTCAGAAAGCGAAGAAAGAGGAGAATAGAGAAGGTTGAGCCATAATTGAGCCAGATCACCAGCATCAACATTTTTGGAGAAATAACGTGGAAATGAGATGAAGAAGACGGGAGGAAAGGTGCCCAGCGAAGCGAATTTCGTCTTTGGCCACAGCTATTTTCCACTTTTTTCTTCATTTTCTGATAAGAGACGAATATACCTTTGGCCGGGTGTTTTTCAGGAGAAATCTAATTTTAGGAAGAGTATAACAGGCCTGATTCTCAACGTTCTCGTCGTGATTAGCGGGAGAAAGAAGGAATACATTTCAGATGGTTGCAGTTACATATTCTATGCGGATGCAATTGCCCGTGCTCCAAAACATTCACCGATATCTTTGTGTCTTCCGTCTGGCTCTCACGACATTCTCGATCAACATCGCAAGTATCATCAAAAAATTAAAGATGGCCATGAGCTCAGGGCTTGAAAAAAGAGACGGTGGAGGATGTTCGTGCAGACGGTCATTCAGGATTGTATGAATACTTTGCGCAGTCTCGGGGCTCTTTATCATTTTGATCGATGGGTGAGCAATACTTTTCAAGTTGTTCTTCTCCTGAACGTGCGTGAATTTGCAGGCTGATTATGTCACTTCTCCATCAGAAACCGAACAACTCCGAAAAAGTTTCCACGACGTTCATACTGAAACCGAGCATGTGAGCGGCACCAATTTGAAATAAAGTGCTTCGAAAGAATATTTGATGAGGTGAAACATCTCGTCCACAAGGCCACCATAACCCTTTCCTGCCCAACGAATAATTTCTGTTGCCGCTGCGCCCTTATAAATATTTGATGCATTATTACTTTTCCCGGAGACACTCAAAAAAACAGAGACGCCAATGAAATTCGATTCATTCTAAATGCACGCACACTCATATTTTATGTATCAATTCGCCCCACCGCGCCTCATACATTTTTTATCGACGGTCTCTTCATCTCAATTGCACACAGAGCTCCTGGAGAGAATGAAAGAGAATTAACTTGTTTTCTGCTTTCATTCTCTCTCTCTCTCTCTTTCTCTCTCTCTTATTTTCCTGTTAGGGACAAATACTGTAAGTTTATGCTTTCAATAAAAACAAAGTGATAAGGAGAACTTGTGTATGGGGGACAATGTTCTGTTTGTTGCGAATAATATGTTGTACATACATTTCCCTACTTTAAAGTCATTCAATTACTACAACTGATAATAGGACTTGTGCACTTTTCTAAAATCACGTGCCACGTCACACTGCTCTTGCATAAATCCTGAAATAAACTGTAGTACGTACACTTCAATCTGGTGTCCACAAACACAAGTTTAATCACAATGTTCCCTGTCTTTCATGCTTTCCGTTGCCAAACTGATAAGGGCCAAATGTTGACAGCAACTTCGGTTTCTCTTATCAGCAAGGCCTCTCTGGAGCTATCAGGGCTACACGTACTGATATCTCTTATCATGTTTCATCAGTCAATCAAACCCAACACCATCATCGTCATGCACATTTTGTACATACCGCAGTCATTTCATTCTCACCTTTTTTTTTGTCTTGACTCGTTCAGTTATCAATGTTCTTTTTTCGTTTCAGAAATGGAAGTTGTCACCAGGAAACGATTCATTTCCATGAGTTCCGATGGGCCCAATTCAAAGGTTTCAGCCATAGGTATTCGGTTTTCTCTCCATGCCTCTACTGAATACGATGTTACAGATCAGTCAATCGGACTGGCTGACATAATAACCCTCAACGTTTTGCACGCGATCAACACGACGGATCCAGTGCAGAGAGTCCCACTTCTCGACGACATGATCGCAAGACTTCAATGGTTGCGGGTGAGTTCCGGAAATCTTACCTTGCCTTATCACATGACTCCTTTCGACATTATCAATGAATTTCGCAAAAAAAGTGAAACATGCTAACGCACGAGGTGACACCGTACACAACCGAGAAAGATGTCATCGCGTCGGGCAGAAGTGTCGGCGAAACTGTGTGTTCGGTTATCATTGATCGGAGCACACTCACCGACCCAGACGGGTTTGCATACCTCTCTCGATGGGTGTGTGTGTGTGTGTGTTGCTGGTAATAGATAGTGTGATGTGATCATCGTCATCACACTTATCAGTTTGGCCTCGTGCCAACTGAAGCTGGTGCAGAACTACATTACGGTAGAAGATGCGTCAGAGATAGTTATAAACAAAATTCAGTACTCACATTGTTTCAGCAACAATACGAGCAAATCGATACAAGCATGAAGAAGTCTATGAACTCAAGCAAGCATCCGATCACTTCCCCACATCATAATGACACTCACATCATGCAGAGCAACATTCACAAGCAGCAGGAGATGCTGCAGAGCATGTCGAAGCTCATCAATCTTTCCGCGCAGACTCCGGTCCCCAATGCTCATACGCCAACTCAGACGCTCACCCTGCCTCGGACAGCCCCCAAGGCTCCGATTCCAAGTTCTGTTCCACACTCGGTCATCACGGCTCCACCAGCACCACCTTCAGTACCTTCTGCTCCTCCTCCAACACTCACTCCACAAGTAACAAAGAGGTCCCCGGTTCCTGCAGCTCCGTCCACACCTCCAAAAAGACTAGAGCCGCCAGTTCCGCCAATTCTGAGAAAAATGGAGCCTATCGTGGCACCTCACGTTCCTCCTAATCATCCGCCATCGTTGACGCCGAAGAATCTGAATCTGCAAGCGACTGAAGACTACATTTTTGACTTGGAATCTAAACAACGCAAACTTCTCAGTTACATATCATCGGCCCACGGCGGAAAAGTGACTGATGATATTCTCCACGAATACCTCAAGCATCCGTACGTCCTTTTAAAAGAAAACGGCGTCGTCCGTCAGCAGCAGAATCCGTTCTTTCATTTATTGGGCCCTTCGGCGCCGACACTCGTTCCTCCCGCCATGAAAATGATGGCTTCCCCGGCTCCTCCTCCTAATCCTCCAGCAACTGCAACGATGATTGTCTCCAAAACGTCTCAGTCTCCTCCGATCCCGGCTCCTCCCGTTCTAGTGCCGCAAGTGGAGTTGCCAATGAGAAAAGAGTCGGCGTACAAGAAAGAGGAACTGTCGCCACCGGAACAGGTATTGAGTATTATGAAGTCAAGCGTAACCAGTACTTTTCCAGCACTCTCCGCCCCCGCAACTCAAACTCCAAGTCCCTATAATGGCAGCGAAGCCGTTTGAACCCCCGGCCATCCGACCATGCAATCAGTGGTCCGTCTTCTCGATGGCTCTTCCACTGAAGTTGATCTGCCGCTGCTATCCGATGCCGTGTAACTGCCAGAATTGAGAAGGATCCGGAAGCGATCAAATTGTGTAGATTACTGTAATTACTGTACTTATTTGCATTGCTGTGATCTCGATTGTTGTTGATGGTTTTGTCCATAAAGCGCACTGGGTATTTCGTTCATCCCACACAGAAAACAACGGCACCAATCTGCAATTGCCTTTTTCAGACCTGCAATTACTTTTTTCTTTCCGATTGGACCCCTCTTCTTGTTTTTAGACGTCTTGCTTCAAGCTGCCGGCCGGTTGGCCTGAGTGTGTTTCGTTCGCTCCAAACTCGCTTCATATCATCTCTGTTATTGTTGTTCTCAAAAAAGCGAAAGTTCAGTGATGCATCACTGTACAGCTCGCTAACAACACTTCCTTCCTCACGAATCTTCTACGTTTCCGTGTCATTCTCGCATGGAACTTTGTGATTTTTCACCTCATTCCTTCATACACGTTCTCTGGCATTTCCACCGAGATAATGGTGGGAATCTGATGGAAACTGCCACCAGAAACCTTCAAACCAACTTTCACCAGTCATCGGTATGCTCGAGTTTCGATACTTTGCCGCTACCATCATGCTCGTGGTAAGTGCTGGACAGTGACCTGATACAATCTTTGAACTTTTTCAGATGAGCAGTGGAGTGGTAATTCTGAACAGTTTAGTAGTCAGGAGAATGTATCGTGAGCGTGAGGGATTCCATAAAATCTGTGTGAACAAAGCGGTTGCAAACGTCCTCATCGCCTCCGCATTTCTGATTTGGGCAGTTCCGTGCTCTTTCTTGTAAGCGATCTTTACAAAACTGAACAATGGTGTCATTCGTCAGAAATGCGTACTATCTGCCTCAAAGGTTCAACATCTTCTTCGGCCAGATCGTCGGATGGGGGCCTTATTTAATGTCTGGCCCGTTTACCCAGATATGCCTGGCCGTCAATCGGTCCGTCGCGATTTCCTATCCTTACTTCTTCAACAAACAGAACCGTTATCCCTACACTAAGATATTGCTTGGAGTACTGTGGGCCATTGCAATTGCACTGTCTCTTCCTGCTATGATAGGTGAGAATTGCTTTCTTTTTGAAAGTATAAGAAAGGAGACACTTTCTAGATGGATGCAGTTACATTTTCTTCGTGGACACCGTCTCCTGGAGCCCCACAGACACAGACTGCTCCAGAACTCTTTCGGAATACGTCACTAATTTGGTGTTGGTCATGGCTATCATCTCATTCTCCATCAATATCTCAAGCATTGTGAAAATTGTGAAATCTTCAATCGGTTCAAACGCAGTAATGGATCAATCTGTGTCTGAGAGCAGGAAGAAAAGAAGAAGAAAGATGTTCGCCCAATGCATAATCCAAGATTGTACGCATACATTCGATTGTATGGTCAATACCTACGTTTACACATTCTACTCGGCTCAGTGGTTTCAGTTCCTGTGTGGAGCAGTTTCAGCGCTGTCAGTTATCATGTTGGACGGGTAGGAGAAAGAATGGAGCACGGCGAGAGACCAGTTCCCTTTCAGACTTCTCATGTCTGTTCTTCACCAGAAATCGAACACTCCGAGTCAAACTCGCGAGCCGCCCTCAAAGTCTCACACTTTTGATCAATTCCGAAGTAGAGCGGTGAGCCGAATTTCGAGCACAATTATGACTACGACGACTCTGTGAACTTGCCACGTCATTACTTTTAATCTTCGAGAATTGTTATCTTGGTTCATATAAAACTTGTCCTGGAACTGATAAACGAAATTGATATCATTTCTTTAGAATTTCAGTGATATTTACGTGGGAAAGAAGATTCTGAGCGATCTCTTCTCTTTGAAGCAGTTCGCTCACTTTTCGCAGTGAAATATAAATAATTTAGCATTGGAGCACACTTGCATTTACACCTAATTGTTTACAATTTTGTTCGGAAAGCCAATACCACTCCCGATTCCCCGTTCGTTCTCGTTTTTCTGTTTATATTTTGATTCTATTCCACCTTTCCATTCCCTAACCAAAGAATATATCGATTCTCATTCCCATCCGAAAGAATTGTTACGAAATACGCTCCCGCATGATTCATCTCTATTCTATTGACCAACGGCCAAGTTCCCCTCGGTTTCTTATCGTTTTTCTCTCAGGCACTACTCAAAAATGTCTCATTGGTTTCATCGAAATCCCATAAAGCCGACAGAATTCGTCAAATTCGATTTGAAAGGAGTGCTCACGACGGATACTTGCTCCAAAATTTGCGGGTGAGTCAAGTCACGAGAGACGTTTATTGATTTTCGCTACATCATTATTCGTTTGCAGAGAACTCCGTTTGCGACGCGATAAGCTCGTGAGTCAGTTCAAGAATGCATCGAATGACCTGACAGAAGTAACGACAGAATTCAATGATTATCTCAGACTGTTCGCCGGTTTCCTCATCGAAATACAATCGTCGGCCGCAGAGCTGTAAGTTTTAATTGTTCAAATAAATAGAGCCTTGATAAACGTTTGATGTTTACAGAGAAAACAAAGACGCAGGCAAAAAAAACAGCAAACTAATCCCTCTAGTCCGATTCAAATGGGGCAATTCGATGCTCACCCAAACAGCGACAGAAGTCTCGGATGCCTGGTTCGAAGCTCTAAGCATGATCCAGTGCATGGCAATGTGGCTCACGAAACACGCCGCCTCGATGGCCGGAAAAGACGAAGTCAAGGAGTCGGATGCAAAGGAATGCCTTCAGTGTCTCAGACAGGCCGGAGGAATGTTCCAGTACGTAAAGGACGAGTCCTCGAGACTTTCCGGAGCGAATGAAGTAGAAGGCTCTGATTTTGACCCGAAAGTCATGGAAACATACATTCTGACGGCGACCGCAGAGGCACAAGAAGTGATAGTCGCAAGAGCCATCGAAATGAAGCACGACGACGGACTGATCTCATCACTTTCCGCAGTCACTGCTTCAATATTCTCAAAAGCAGATAAAAGTTTGAACGATCTTCCGGATGAGCAGTTTGCCAGATGGAGGAGGTATCTCCAATTGAAACATCATTTCTATCTGGCCTACGCGTACGCTTTCCTTGGTCAGAAGCAGTTAGCCGAAGACAAGTGCGGAGATGCGGTAAGAGCGTGTAAGCAGGGAATTGCGGAGTACTCCGTGGCCAAGGAGATGGCAGCCATGTACGCCACTGCGACAGGACCGGGAACTCGCATCAAGCCAGAACAGCACCTCTTCTTCCGACGCATCGAGCCGCTGCTCAACCGACATTTGGAGAAGGCCGAACGAGAAAACGGCTTCATTTACCATCAGAAAGTGCCGGATGAGATTCCGCAGCTGGATGCGGAAGCGACGTACGGAGTGGCCAAACTGGATTCGTTCAAGTATCCTCCGCCGGCAGAGCTCTGGAACACTGCAGTCTACCATGCTTTTGATCTCTCCAAAGCTAATATGCCTGATTTTTCAAAAGTAAAGAAAGTGAGTAGTCGTGCCATAACTTTGGGTTCTAATTCTATGATTACAGAGCAAATCAAAACTGGACCCAGTCCACGAAGAGAAAATCTATCAGACCGAAAAGGATCCGAGCAATTCCAGTGGATGTGTGATCGCCTAATAATCCCTCTTCTATTTCCGTTTCTGCCTGTACACTTGACTATAATACCGAATGTTTCCAATTTTAGCCGCACACCTTGATGATATGCATTAAATGTACATGTTGTTGACACGAAATAGTGACCAAATAGCCGGCAACCGACGGCTGAATCAACCACCAGGTGTGCCAATAGCCAAAGGGCGGTGCTCCAATAGGGAGCGTGCTCCAGAAGGTTTCAGTCTGTGCGCCATGCTGTCACAAAGACTAGTCACTACTTTATTAGTGCTTCTGCTGGGATGTGCCGGCCTTGTGTCGGCTAGAACGGCCGCCGGAAGGGGGTGCACTCATTCTCTGCAATGCGGACGTGGCTCGTTCTGTCAGGAAGGAGCGTGTCGGAAGGACACGTGCTCCAATGATTTGCAGTGTGAAGAGGTACGGTCGGTCAATCACTTTTTCTCAAAGTTTCCTCGTTCAGGGCGAAGAATGCCGTCCCGGAAATGTGAATGGCCGGCAGAAGTCGGGTTGCTTCCTTGCTCACGCAGCCAAGTCCATTTCAGGCGGTACTTCAGGTACTTAACCCCTATGCAAACCATTTTCAATTCTTTAGTTCCAGAAGACTTTTGTCCCGGCGGCGGCGCCCTCGTCCTTTCCCCAACTGGAACCCTGACTGTCTGCGATTTGACTGAAGACTGCCCTTCCACACACGTCTGCAATCCAATTCATGGCGTTTGTTGTACAAGTAAGGCTTCTAAAAACATCTATTTTAACTGCTTCATAAAATTAAAGAGCTTCCAACATGTCCGAAAACCAAGAAAACAATGGTGAACTTCATCACCGGAAAGCCAATAATGTGCCAGTTCAAGCAAGGCCGAGTCATGCCGTGCCCGGAGAACGGCTTCTGCGAGACCACCACAGGCTTCTGTTGTGTGCCCGGAGTCGAGTACCCCGTCGCCACTCCACCCCCGGCCATCGTTGAAAACGAGCGTCCGTGGCGCGGACAAACGTGCTCTCCGCGCACCGGATGCTCGGGCGGAGCCGCCTGCATTTGCGGGACACGTGGCAATTGCATGTGTGAGTGTGCCACCGACTTCGGATACACTCCGGCTGCGGACGGAAAGACGTGTCAGCGGGTGAGAAGACGGCTGAAGGAGAAGTGCAAAACGGATATGGAGTGCTCGGCGGCGTTCTCGGAGTGCTCATCGGGCGGATGTCGGTGCAAGAGGGGATTCAAGAGAAACGGAGACGGCGGCTGTGAGCCCATCGGTGAGTGTTCGAGAAGTGGAACGGATTAGCGAGAGAAAGGGCAGAAAGATAAAAGGGAAAATCATATCAGGAAAGTCATATTATCCAATCAGAGCTCGTTGTGTACTACCTCAGTTTTAATCTTCCAGAGTACCGATGTGTGAATAAAGTGGCTCCATTGAAACGAGACGATAAATTGGTCACTTGCTCTCTAAAAAACACACTTCTCACCAGTGTTTCCAGTTTCCGAAGCCTTAAGAAGTCTGGAAACTCTAGTGATATCAACGATGAAGAGTTCGAAAGACTCATGAAAGGAGTCGAAAACATCACTCTTTCTGACTTTGGAAACGAAAGGGACGACTGTCCGGAAGAGCATTACTGTGTGCCCGTGTTTGATGATGCCAACAAACCAGGATACTACCAAGGCTTCTGCTGTCCTTCCCCGTCGGAAATCCGTCCCACGTGTCCTGTTGGCGAGCCGCACGAGTCGAGCACTGCTCCGGATTACGGTTGCAGCAGGTGCCCCGTCGATTACTATTGCCACAGAGACTCCATTTCCACGGATAAAACAGTGAGCATCTTCTATTTTCTCCCTTTTTGAATGGCTTCATAATTACAGATCTGTTGTCCAAAACCTTGCGTTTCCCTCGAGGATATCTACCACGCGGGCCAGTGCCATTCGATGGCTTACTACGGGGACAGCTGTCATCTCTCTGCCCAATGTGTCTATTCGAAGAGTCCGGACGTCGCCGAAGAGTACGCGGAAGTATCTAAAATGGAATGCGTGCGGAGCATTTGCTCGTGCCCGGCAGGATTCAGTTACGCGGACGGACAGTGCAAACGGATCATGTGCTCGATCGGATTAAAAGGAGAGCCGTCCATCGACAAGTCGGGCCAGTTGATCAGATGCGAGAGATCTAGCGACTGCAGCATGGGACACATGTGCGATCCGAACACTCATGTGTGCTGCAAAGGAACGAACAGTGAGTAATCCGATCTGAAATGATAGCATTATAACTTTTGTTTGTCCAGGATGTCCGAAAGATTACGTGGAGACCGGAGAACTTTGCACTGATGACAACTGTCGTGGACTCAACGAAATCTGCCACCGGACCAAGAACGGAAAAGCCAAAATCTGTTGCACCTACGATGACGTGGCAATGATGTCCCTGCAGGACAGCGGGAAGAACGGAACGTCATCCGTCGTCTAGAATCCCTTGTTTTTGTCTGCCTCCTATTTATTTCTTCTCCCCAAATTGTTTGTACATCCTTGACATCCTCCTCTCTCTCTCTCTTTGCCTCTTTAATAAATCCTTACGTGAGCTCTGCGCGGTGCCATCCTCTTTCCGCTTCTCTGCCAAGTCTCCATGGAAACGTGGATTCTGGAGAAGCGACTGAAAAGGGAGAGTGGGGCGGGGGCAAAACACGGATGAATGAGTAATCAAGATGAATAGCAAAGCGAGCGAGGGCCCAGGAGGACGGAAGACTGAATTCATGAATGGTTCGGCCTTCGGGCGCGCACCTCGTCTGGCTTCTTCTCCTTCTTTCGGAGCAGGCAAACGAAGAGCCGACCCATTACATACTCGAAGCCCTTCTTTCCTTTTCTCTTCAAAAGTCTTCTGAAGTCGGTCAGCGGTGGAGCCCCATAGCTGAGAGTGAATAAATTAGAAATGGGAGGAAAAGGAGAAAAAGAAGAGGAAGGGGCAAAAGAAGACGGCGGAGGAGGAGGAGAAGACGGCGGCTTTTCGAATTCTGGAGCTCTTTTTCGCCTTCTCAACTACACACTCGTCATTTAGAGGAAAGAGGATGGAGTCATCGTTTGGGGGAGGGGCGCACTTCCAGGAACTCACGAGACCTTTCTAATCGATCTTGCCTCCACTCATTTTGAGAGATTCTGAGGATTACTGTAGCATCTTCTATTTTCTGATCACAAAAAGCTCGCTTCTTTTTGTTTGCACACAATTCCAGATTCCCAAACTCTTTCCGTTGCCGTATCTCTTATCAGAAATGTTCAAAGTCCAAGATTCCTCCAGACATTCTTTTCTGCGTCACACTTCACGAATCCCAATTAGTTACTCCTCATCTATAATCCGTCCGATTTGGGATTCTCGTTTTCTAGACTCCAACTGTACTCTGAAGTCAGAACTTGAACGTGCTCTCAATGTTGTCGTAGATCCGATCCAATTTCAATTTCAATTAATTCATTTATCGAAGGGCGAAGACCACTGATACAATACGATTATACAAAAGAGTTAAATATTGTGAGGGTTAAGATATAATCACTGCCTTAGAAGAATTTTTAAGGAAGGAGCGAATAGGATAATTATGTCCACGTGAGGAATGGCTATCCTTGTACAATTGTAGCGGAACGAACACGAGTCTTCTCCTCATTTTCCCCTCATCGTATTTACCCGCGTGTCATCTCATCCTCTTCTTCTGGCAGGAACGAGAGCCCACTTCGCGGCTCAGGAGCCCGCTGCGTCCCCGCCTTTTCGTCTTCCTGCTTCGTGTTGTAAACCGGCTGCTGACGCTTCTTCTTCTTCTTCTTCTTCTTCTTCTCCCCCCGGAGGACGGACGCTTTCTGGAGGCGATGTGTTTATGAGAAGAGGAGCCGCTGTGCTTCTTCCTCTTTTCTCCGCATAGCAACCAGAGAGCTTCTTCTTCTTCTTCTTCTTCTTCTCCTTCTCCTTCTTCTTCGTCCGCTGAGTGGAGGGGAAGTGCCTCCGCGAAATCTTCCCCATTCACCTGATCTCTTGAGCCAGTGCGCTCTTGCCTCACCACCGTATACATCTCTTGTTCTTCTTCGTGGCTGGAGCTGAACCGACCGCTCCTTTTCCTCCTTCTCACATGACGGCGGCCGAAATGGCCAATCAATCAGGCCGGCCGGAGATTCTCCTTTTCGTCACCACCACCGCCGCTCCCCCTCTCCTTCTTCTTCTTCTTCTTCTTTTTCTTCTTCTTCTTCATCGTTTTCTGATAACACTCCTCGAAGAAAAGAGAGACGCTCCGGTGCTTTTTCGGGGGGTGCGGAGAGAGAAAGAGAAGAGCGAGTGATTCATGAAATGCCACGTCATACATACTATTCCTACTTTTCCCCTCCTGTCTTTCGTCTCTTCCGCATCCCAATGAACTGGGAATTAACTTTGGAAGTAAGTGTTTGTGATAACAAACGCACACCTCCACTCTCTCTCTCTCTCTTTTCCGTTTAGAAGTTGTGAGCAAACATTGCTTGTGACCCTGACGAAGCGCGTTCCGTTCGCCTCGACCGCCTCGTTTACCGACGCTCTCCGACCAACCAACAGTTCCAATTACCTTTTCTCTTTCCGAAGATGTTTGATTCAAACAAAACGTGACAAGAAAACGAGGAGCTCCGTCTTGGAAGAAGGCTCGAGAGCGACAGGAAGGATGCGTGCTCGGCTTATCTGAGTCTCCACTGCAGCAGACGTCGCTTATCAGGAGTGACCGACCATTCCGGAGCACCGGTGACACACAGGCCGTCGTCATCTGTGTCCCGTGCCACGTCATTTTGATGTGCAAGGCCGTCGTCTCTGCGCCAGATGGCTTCTTTGGTGGCTGGCAAGCAGGCACCAGCAGCATGGCGATGGAGGATTCTGAACCTATCGAATTTCACTTCTAGCCGCCGTCCGTCAGTCGCTCTTCTGAAGACAATCCTTCGCGGAGTATTTGATTTTCTGAAAACGGAGAACGAAGAGAAAGGATCTGGAAAGGAAAACTCCGTCCCCATAATCTGCTTCTAATACTGCTTGAGCTGGAGGTCTCGTCCCCTCTCCTTCTCATCCGTCGTCTGATTCTATGAAGATGTTGTGTCTACGGGGCTTCCTGAGAATTGGGGAACAGAAACAGAAACCTCCTGTAGGGTCGCCACATGCATTGTCTTTTTGTCCGTCAATGTACATCATCTCTCGGCTTGACGCACTCTCTCTCCCTATACCGCCCTCACCCCATAGATGCAGTGTATATGTGTTGGAGAGTGTCTGTACGCCGTGCCGGTCTCCTCCATTCCCTCCTGTATTCGCCCCTCGACGACGACGTCCATCTTGACACTGGAGACAGACGAAGCGCGCCCTGTCGGTGTCAAGATGACAGTCACTGGCCGGCAAAGCATACGGAGGAAAGTGAGAAGCTGTAACTTCTCACAGAAACCTTACATTTACCTCTAACCTGGCTCATTTTGAAGAGCACAGTAAAATTGAACTCTTATCAAAAAATCAGAGGTCCCTATGCTCGATTTCTGGAGATAACTTGAAAAAACCGAAAGTCCCATGTATAAAGTCGGTCCGTAGACAGCGAGGCAGAAGAAGTAGATGGCGACGTGGATGATGATGTTGATGAGGTGACCTCCTTCACAGACCACTTCTCGCTCGAGCCTCGACTAACGCGAGAACAGCTCCGTGAGCTCGTGCACCACCGTTGTTTGCGTCCAGCGGCGGCGGTGGCGGAGCAGCGGTCGGAATCAGCCGCACAACTCCCTCAGTCGGCCCGCCGTCCCGTCCGTCGTTCTCCTCTTCTCGCCGCTCTTCCATCTGTTTATTCACCTTTATGTGTCACTGTCAGCAGCAGCCAGCAGCCGTGTGGTGCTCTCACTCACTTCGCTCAATATATTGGGGCCACGTTGGATGGCGTTGCCGTGTCGCTTCCGATTCATTTCACATCTTCCTCTTCGTCATCCATCCAGCCTTCTCAGACCCTGACGGACGGCGCTCGCTCTCCTCCAGTTTAATGTCTCTTTGTCTGCCCCGGAGACACCACCAGAATGTTGTCAACAAAGAGGAGAAGAGTGGAGCGGAGCGGGTCGTTTTGGAGCCCCCTTGTGCTCCAGAATCTGCGTTGAGCATCTTCTTCTTCTTCTTCTTCTTCTTCTTGGCGGCGAAGGCGAAGAGAGCGGCGTGCGAGTGTCTCCGGGGGGATGCGCCGTCTACTCTGTAGTCTTCTCTCCCATCTAATCCCCCTTCTGGGGTGCTTCTCCTTTTCTCCCACACCACTTCGTCGGTCTTCTGAATCTTTATCATTAGATGAGGATCATAATATGTTTTCGTTCGAAGGGCTCACGAAGATTCTATGAATTTCCTCAGCAATAGAAGAGAGAATCCCCTGAATAGCGGGCGATTAGCGGGAAGCAGACAACTGACGTCTTCTCCATTTTCTTCTACTCATTCGCACGCTTTAAACTTCTAAACATCTACCGTAATTCATTCTATTTTAGCTATTAACTGCAAGGCATTCGGTTTCAATTGGAACAGAAAAGTTGGGTTACGGTAGAAGTGGAATGCACTTCTAGAGGGCAGAAACTTTTGGGTCTTTTCAATTTCATTATGAAATGGATGCCTAGTAACAACCTTCACCGCAACATGACGAGTATCGCCATCTCGCTGACTGACTTTCTTCCTTCATCGTCGTCGTCGTCGTCCTTTTCCTTTTTTTGTCCCCCCCTCCCACTCTTTCGTCGTCCTCCGTCCGTCCGTCCGTCGCCTTCTCATTCTTCGACCGTATGTCTGTATGTTGCGCGACCTCCTCTCGGCCCTATCCTTCTGTATACTCAACGTTCCCCCCAAGTCGATCGGCCGAGAATCTCATCGAAGAATGCAGAAAGAAGATGAAGAAGGAGAAGAAGAAGACGGAGAATGTTTATTTTGCTCTCCTCACCGACTGCTAGAAGAAGAAGCGTCGGGAGAAGAAGTTGACTCTCTCTTTGCTTCTCGCGCGGGAATGGAAGGAGCACACACCGGCTCACTCGGCCGCGCACACCGAGAGAGCACTTTCCTGCTTTCTGTGTATTCTCCACAAAGACACTTGACAAATGGAGCGCTCCACCGCCTCCGATGTGCTCCGCTTCGAGAAAAGACCGTCGCCGACTGTCGGAGGCCATCGTTCACTGGGGATGTTCGTCTTCTAGAAGTAGTCATCGACGAGGAGAACCGACGACAAGAGTGTCTGTTATCATATCAGTCGTGAGGCAGTGACGGCCTGGTGTTGCACGACTCGTCTCTTTTCCACGACGCTGGCGGCTGCATCAGAAGTATATTGATCGATCGACGCGTCGGTTCCCAGAGTGTGTGCATGAAGCACGAGACCTCAGAGGGCGTTGTGTCCCGGCGCGCGCCCGCACATTTGAATATATCGATGTGCCACGCCACGGCATCCGTCCGTCCATCCATCTATCGGTCGGTGGGGTGGCCGCCGCCTCCGGCCGGTGACGGCTTTTGTGTACGTCAACTCGAGCCGCCCGTCTTCTCCTTCTCTCTTCGGCTTCTATAAGTTCTTTCCTCAGCGGCGCCCTCCGTTTTACCGTACATGCCCTTCGCTTCTCGAGGGTGTCCCCTCCAGTTCCCCAGGACAGTCTATCGCCCGTCTGTCTGCGACTCATCGCTCCACCACTCTCTTCCTGTCGTCCCGCATACATACACGACACAAAGCCAACGGCGACGACCGCGATCACTCGGGGCCCGCCCTCCCTTTTCCCTCCCGGCGTTTGCCTCGGATCGACGTCCAGCTTGTCTGCGTCTCGGCATCTCGCCCGCCTCCGATCGCGCCGCCGTCATCGTCATCACCGTCGTCGCCGTCTTCTGTGGACACTGTGTGCAGTGCGCTGTGTGCCTGTGTGCGGCCGATCGGTCGTCGTGTGTGTGTGTCAGTATGTGTGTGCTTGTGTGTGCGCTGTTTTGTGATGGCGGAGGGCTCGGCCCCCAATGTCCTCTTCTTCTTCTTCTCGGCTGCTGCTGCCAACAGACGCAGCCGTCTCTCGCGTCAGATGCGTCAGATGTCTCCTCCGGTTTCCTTCTCACCCTCCCCCGGTGATCATCACGTCAATTCCGTTTCTCTTCTTCTAAATCACGAGCGTGCTCTCGAAGAAATTTGCGATTACTGATAGTCAAAAACGTTTCAATTGAATACAGTTGAGTTCGAATGTGCGTTTGGATCTGCGTTCGAACATTTACTTCGTTTTATTTATTCTGTGTGAAACTTTTCTGGATGCATTGCTTGATTCTGTTGGAAACAGAGAAGCTGCCGTCTTCCCGTCGCGAGGTTACTGTAGAATTTAAAGGCGCACGCTCTTTTCTCTCTTCTCATCGAATCGGCCGCAAAGAATCATTTTTCCGCGTCTTCAATTCGGCGCGTGTTGCAACTTCCTCTGTCTTCGCCGCCGTGGAATTTTTCTAAAATCGCTCTTCGTTAATTGTTTTTTCTTTACACGCGGCACATTCCCTAAAACGCTGCTCCCATAAAATTGATGCGATTATAGGAATCGCAAGTTTTCGAAGATTTCTTGAATTCTGAAGAATCGGAGGCTGAGGGGACGTTTCGCAATTTCGTCGGCTCATAAAACCTCGTCAACGGCGGCCACTCTGCCTCTTCTTCTCCCGTTTCCTCGCTTCCTCGTCACCTCGTTATCAATTTTTCCCCGCCGTCAATTCTTTCGTTCTCTTCCGAAGTCTTTACGTCACGTTCTTACAGACTCTTCGTTCGATCTCCATCGTGAAACTCATCGTGATCGTCAACAACAGGTGGGTCTCCCTTCCCCAAAACGCTGTGCTCCGACAGATGCGAGTCGCTCCATTTTTTCGTCGCCGCCGCAAATATCTGTCGTTTTGCTTCTCGATTGCGGCGTCCATCCGTCGAGATATTCTCGAAAACGAATCAACATTGGGGGCTGTCACTGTGCAAACGGAAACGCAGCGACGGGCTCTCTTCTCAACAACTATTCTCCGTTTTCCAGATCACCTGATGAGCATCAGCGGAGAGGACAACGAGATTATACTGAACGCGAGTCTAGCGAATTCGCCCAACTCGGAAGACGTCATCGCAGAGAGTAGTCGCGTGTTTCTCGAGAAAATCAACACAGGAGGTTGGCTCTGATTGATCCCGTTTTCTAATCTAATCAATCAATAATTTCAGTCTCGATGAACTCGAACGCAGTGAAAAGCGGCATTGACGACATTGCCGCCCGATTAAAACAGAACGGAAACAGTGCGGCGACAAGCACCGCAAAGAGCAACGGCCACAATCTCCCGGTCGATCCGAACACAATCTCAAATCACAATCCGGCGATGCAGCTGATCTGTGTCGAATGCGGAGTGACAAAGGCCAACTCGGAGGAAATGGAGATTCACATTAAAACGGAGCATCTCAATTGGCTTCCCTTCCAGTGCCCTGTGTGTCTCCATGAGCGTGCTTCAGATTCGCAGATGAGGGAACATCTTCATTCGGCTCATCAGAAGAACATGAGCAAGTTCATCTACGTGGATAATGTGACTGCGAAGAGAAAGTTGCAAGTGCTGATGGACAAGTCCTTCACAATGAACGTAACGAACAGGGTGAACGCCTCGAACGGCGGCTCCTCTTCCACTCACACATCGCCCAGCAGTTACCGTGGTAATGCCCACTCAACGCCTTCTTCCGGCAGAAACACTTCCACCTCTAACGGCAGTTCGGCTGCTACGGCCACGGCCACTGCACAGGCCGCCGCCACTGCCATCGTCGCTCATCACAAGGAAAAGGAAAAACAACAGCATCAGGCGACTGTAGATTTCCTGAAACTGCTCGATTTCACAGTGAATGCAGCAGATTCGACCGACAAGCAATCCTCTTCTGCGAAGGCCTCCGGCAGCAGTAGAAAGCGTCCGTACGTTCCGACTTCAGCCACAGAATCCATTACAACTATGGAGCTCGGTCCGACAAACGCCGACTCGTTCCTTGCCACTTTGAACTCGTTCAGTCATGCACAGACTCCGGAAAACGAGGAGAATGATCATCGTAAGTAATTGAGGGAAGCTGCTCTTTGGGGTAACAAGTTGTTTCGTAGTTGCAGCCACCTCGTTCTCTCTGGATGACCTCAACATCGACAGCAATTCCACGTTGGCTTCCCTTTTCGGAGGGGGCTCCAAAAAAATAAAATATGAGGAGAACGACATGCAGAACGATTCTGTGGATGACGCTCTGGACGGTCTCAATCCGATCTCTGTGCTCGATAACGTCGCCGCTTTGTTCGGATCTTCGAATCCCGAGAGAGGGGTGGAACCGGAGGCGAAAAAGACGTCGAGCATCTCGAAGAAGAGAGTGCTCGGAGAATGCTCCAAATGCCAAAAGCCAGTGACCGCTGGAGCCAGACAGATGCACATGTTCTTCCATTTGGCGAAAGACGAGATGATCTTCCGTTTCCGTTGCAAACACGACGGTTGCGCCGTCGAGCACTATCGCAAGGATCAGATGGAAAACCATCAGTCGAAGGCCCACGGAAGAATCGATCCGGACATGATGGAGGACCGATCGCTGGAGCTCTTCCAGAAGTGTCAGGTGCGTCAACGAGCATCCGCTCTCTCACCATCATTCACTTCACTTATTATTTGGTCGATGTCGTAAAATCTATGTTGTTATACTAGCCGTAGTCAGTCACACTCTTTTTTCAGCGCATTTACAGATGTTTGAGCTTTTCAAACAGCAAAAAACGAATAGTAATTGTTGTGATAACATTTCTGTAAAACTCGTTCTCTAAATATTCGTCCATTCGATCACATCGTCGCCATCATCTGAATGTTCATCTTCAGGAGTTGAATCACGAACTTTTCGTTGCTCACCGTCACGGACATCGCGCGAGCCCTCACCAGTGGTCGGGTGGCTCGGCTGATTTGGCCGGCTACCAGGTTGGTGTAGTTTGGTGGTGGTGCCCTTTCAATCTTTCCGCTCCCTTCCCATCTACCTCCTCTCGCGTCCTAACAATATGCTCGTGCATGTGAAATGAATGTGAATGTGTTTGTGGAATGTGATCGTTGGAAGTTTAATTGATCTGTTTTGATGGGCCTCTGGCTCATTAGGACTCGCTCAATTTCATTTCCATTTGAGTTTGTCTTCGTTTTGAATGTCCTGTCTGCCCTCCCACTCTCACAAAACCATAAACCTATAAACCTCTCTGATAACTAACCGAGTGAAGACTATGTGCCTGGGTTTTGCAGGATCTCTCGATGGAGCTGCTCGGCACAAAGAATGGCACAATCCCAGGACCGACGGCCGCCAAAGCGGAAATTGCCTATGCTGCTCAGCAGGCCGCCAATGCTCAAAGGGTAAGGGCCAGAAGCAATGGAGCGTCCTCGACTTCCCCGACTCCGTCCTCTTCATCGACAGCCTCTACTGTATCCAATGGGAACCCTGTTCTTGCCGTGTGATTCTCCCCGTTTCCCACTTTCCCTCCCCCCTTTCTGACCGTTTTTTTTTCTGAGAGTTTCAACTAACCACGGTGAGCTCTGCTGGCAACAGTTTGAAAGCTTTCGGCGTCAACTGTTATCAGCAGAGCTTCTCTGTTCCCTCTCACATTTCATTCATCTCGGCCCCTTGCCTGAGTGTGTTTTCCCTTTTCCCTATTGCTCCCTTCCCTTCCATCGTCATTTTCCTCTTCTGTTCCACACATTCCTCCATTTCAGAACGCCCAAAAATCGAAACTCCCCGGAACGTCTTCGCTGGTCGGCTCCACATCTGGCTCCACAAACGGTACGGATTTCAAAATAACCATAGGACCGCTGTCTGTCGCGAGTGACGATTAGGCTACTCTCTCAGTGTGTCGTGTCGTGCGTGTATGCTACTCAATAGGAATCTTGATTTTTTATACGTTTCTGTGTTACATTTTATGAAAAAAGGGTGAGATGATGTGCGCGCCGGCCGTTTCCTCGGATTCAAATTAAAAGCTAAATAGAAAAGAGAGCACAGAAAACATTGCTCTCCAACTCGAAGTCACTCTTATTCTGGGAGTTGAAGGTGGTTGCTGATGCCCCCTTTTCGCACTAACCTTTCTGTTCTCCCACCCGTCCATTCGACTCTGCCATGCTCTCAAACCCTCTCGCTCTAATCACATTCATTTCACTCCATCGCTTTTCTCATCCTTCACGTCCTCCCCCCCCATTCCGAGTCCTTTGTCCAATGTCCATACCGGAAAAAAACTGTCCATCCTCTTCATACTTTATGTGACTTTTTGTTTTGGGAGACGTTATTTTAGGATAGATAGGAGCTCAATGCATGTAGGACCCTAACAATGTTAAAATTCACAGAAGCCCTTTATGTTACTCTGTTTCTCTCCATCTCTGTTTTCCTCACCTAGAACTTGGGTTACTGTAGCCGTCTGGATCTGTAGAATGTAGAGCACCCATTCCCCTCAACTTATATAATCAACTATTGAACGAGGTAAGCGGTGATAGACTCTCGCTTCAATCTGAAAACGGTGAAACGGCGGCCCCATCGGTCTTCCCTTTGTGTCCCCCAATGTATCAATATTGTGTGTTCGTCGTGTCGATCCGGTTACTGCTCTCCCACTCGTTCTCTTTTCTTCGTGTTGTGCCGCCGCTCCCACTGATCCCCGCAGACCTCTTTTCCTTTCTCACTTCTACTTTTAGAATCTATCCTGTTCATATTTTAACCTAATGAGTCTCATGTAGATTATGCCACAATTCTCTGTTTATTGGGTCCCTTTATACTAGTTTTACCCCTTTTTCAGCCCCCAAACCCTCCTCCCCCTCCCACAAACCACACAGATCCTCCACTTCTCATGTCATTTTCCTCTTTTCCTGTTTCCCATTTTCTGTAGAATCCCCCCAAATATCACAGACCACCTTCTCTTTCCCCGAATCGGTTGTGAAATAATAACGACGCAATTTTCAAAAAAAAATAAGATCTTGAAATTATTGAGATTAATAAAAGCGGAATAATAAATGAGTATGAATCCGACGAAGGGCTGGCGTGCGCATGAATCTCGAAAGAGCCGAGCGCCTTTTCAATTAATCGTTGGTTTCAGGCTTCGGACCGCTCAAGCTCGTCCCCGATGAGGACCATCCACTCCAATGCCGACTTTGCGGAAAGACCATGCAAAATAGAGTGAGTACAAAAAAACGAAGAATTCGAGTACTCATGTTCAACTTGTTTCTTGCAGATCCGTGGATTCCACATTCTCTGGCATATGGCCAAAGACAAGGGAATCAATCGATACACTTGCAAGTACTGTAATTTCGGACACGACCGTTCGCAATCCGTCCAAGTGCACGGCAAGAAGGAGCACGGAACCGACGACTGTGTGGAGGATCGCATCGGAGAATATCAGGACGATGTGAAGGAAATGTCCGAGAATTGCTTTGGAATCTCCTCTCTTTTCGCTCAAGAGAGCAAGAGAAAGAACAAGTTCCCGGCGGCGCCTCCAAGAGAAATCAAAGACATCGCTTCGATAGTGAGCAGCGGAAACGTGTCGCCGCTTTTAGAGCAGGATGAAGAAGCCTCGAATGACACGATCATCAAGGAGAATGCGAAGCCGCTCGATCTGATCAAGGAAGAAGGTGAGGAGATGGAGGAGGAAGAGCAGGAACACGATCAGGAAGCGGATGACGATGAGGGTGACGAAGAAGAGGATGGAGAAGAGGAAGAAACTACTCCCGTGACGAACGCCAAGAAGAAGAAGTGGCGTCGTGCATTCAACATCCGCTCCAAGAAGTCCAAGAAGCAGAAGGAGGACACTGTCGTCGCCCGCTCCGTCTCCATTCTCATCGGCGGCGCTCAGTTCTACAAGAAGAAGGTGAACGAGTTCTGCTATTGCGAAAAGTGCGGCAAGCTGACCAACAGCCGGCTTCCCGAGCACGCGTACACCCACATGAGCGGAGTGGAGCTCTACTCTTGCTCCGCGTGTTCATTCGGCAATCAGTGCAAGGATACGGTGATGAAGCACATGCGGGACAGCCATCCGGGCTGCGCGGAACGGTGTGTCGACAACCGACTCGGCCACATCAAGGACATCAAAAACATGCTCGGCGAGTGCTTCCCCGCATTCTTTGTTGATCATCCATTGCCGACAAGAGCCGATATTGAGAAATTGTGAGTGCCTGATAAGTGCCTCAAACCGTAAACCGCTTCTTTTTCTTACAGAATGATTCTCGCGAAAGGCGGAGACCTCAAAATCGGCGGAGTTGAAAAGTATCTGAAAGAGGAGTGCGATGAAGACGACGAATCGTTCGAAACTCCAGAAGACGAGGAGGAAGAAATGGAAGAGGAGGAGGAAGAAGCCGTTGCTTCCGAATAAATTCCCTCTTGACCCCCTTCCCTCCCAAACACGTAGAATCTCTGTCATAGCTTTCTGTCATTTCTAGTTGTTTATTCAATAACACCTTGTTTTATTAACCCCCAATCAACGATTCGTGTATAACAGTGGCCTTTAAAATTTTCTTTTCAAAATCGGTTTTCTTTCCTCTTTTTACTCGTATTATGGTTCCCCTCTGAAATATCTGTACTTTCTAGTGCCTTTCCTGTTCCCATTTCTGGTTTTGTAAAAATTAAGCTGCCTTTTAAACACACCCTATATTTATTTCCCTCCCCTCTTTTTTCGTTTTACCGCATCCCCTCTGTACCTCTTCTGGATATCAAACCGCATTTCTTATTATTGTTCGTTCTTCGCTGGGCCTTAAAAGGCGAATGAAAAAATCATGGTTTTATTCATGGGGAAACAATCACAGCTCATAAATACCCATGTACAGTTGAATGACTAAATGAGAAAATATTGGATTGGGAATGACAGTTTTCGAATGAGAATTGGGAATACAAATGACCGGGAATGACAAAAAAAATGGAGAGACTAGAGGGGGCTAAATGCGAGTTCACTAATACCCGTTTCGAGCGAAAACGGATCAACAGGCGGTCCATGCGGCGGGCACCCACATCGGCTCCGTGTTCACCTTCGTCAGCATCTGCTTCAGTTCTCGCAGCGACTTTTCGTAGTCGACGTTCACAATGATGCCGTCGAACAAATGACCGTACTTCTGCAAGCTTCCGTTGAAAAATAAACTCAAATTCTTTGAGACAGACTTGTTCGATGATCTTGCTCTGCGAGAGAATCGCCTTCAGTTCGTCGTCCTTCACTCCGAACGTTCCTTCGACTTCTCGCTGCCTTCGGAGCACGTGGAGGGACGGAGCTGCCACAAAAATAATGTAGGGCTGTATGTCCGGAGAGCGGATCGCTCCGAGACTCTGAAGATGAAAATAATGATACTGACAGTCGGGAAAGTTCGCCTTTACCTCTGCCTTGAGTGTCATCACACACGTCTTGCCCCGTTCAATGACGTTGATGACGTCTTTCTTGGCAGTGCCGTACCAATACTTTTGATATTCACCAAACTCGACAAACTTTCCGGACTTTGCTTCCTCGTGGAACTTTTGTTTCGCGACGAAATGGTAGTGAACTCCGTTGAATTCGCCTTCTTTCGGCGGACGAGATGTGTCTGAAAATGTCACTGTCATTTGGGATATTGATAATTGTTCAAACTGACAAGGAACGGGGCACGCAAGAGTGATTCTGTCGGATTCCAGCAGCCGATCTCTCAGTTTCAGACACCCGACTCCTTCGGCTCCGCAGAGCACAATCGGTCTCCGATGCGTGGCTTTCGGCAGTTCGAGGACCACCTCCTCGTAGGTCAAGAAGTCCGAGTACACTCCGATGGCCGGAAGATTCTCCTCGTCGGCTCCCTTCTTCACTTCCAACTTCTTCTTCTTTTTTCCTTTTCCGTCCTTTCTCTTCTGCTCATGCTCTCTTTCAAGCTCATCTGCATAAAGAACAACTCTGGAAAGGGTTGATTTCAATTAAAAACGATTCGGGAAGAACTTACTGTTGTCGGAAAGAAGAGCTCGGAATGAGCCCCGCGAGAGAGTGTTGCGTGTCTTCTCCGTCCCGATACGCCTGCCACCAGTTGTCGTCTCTCGTGTTCAGAACGTGTAGAATATCCCCTCGTTGGAACTTCATGGCCAGTTCTTTGCACGGAACGTACACATCGTCTTCCGGGTCGTAATCGAAAAGAGCTCGGAGATGCTGCACGTGCTGGGTCTTTTTGGCCACCGCGGACTCTCCGATTGCTCCGCTTGCCACGTCACACTCTTCTTCTTTCGGAGCCACAACAAAAGTGACAGGACCGGAAAGGTTGCGAAGGATATCGCAGATCTCGTTGACTTGTTTTCCTTTCAGTGACGATCCGTTTAGCTCCAGAAGCTCGTCCCCCTCTTGAAAAAGGTTCAGCTTCTCCACGATTCCTCCTTTCACCACTCTTCCCACCACAATCCGATTGTTCTCATTTCTGACGGTGGCTCCCAAGTAACTGTCTTCGTCCTTCACCACTTCAACCACTTTCACGTTTGGAGCATTTCGAGGAGAAACTGAAGATGAAGAAGCTGTCGAAGGGCAACGGTCATCTTTGCCATTCATTGTTACTGGAGGAATTGGAGAGGATGTGCAGGAAGAGGAGTCTCCTCCGGAATCAGTTCCGATCCCGGATGACGTCGTGCCGCACTTTCCGTTCTGCTTCACAGTTTGCTCGATGGCCGCTTGAATTGGGGGAGCGGCGAAGAAGTCACGAAGCATTGCCACGTCACTCTCGCGGCCTTGCATTGAAGAGAGCTTTGTGGCTATGCGTTCGACAGAGATTATAACGTCATCAAGATCTGAAGCGTGGAAGTTGGAAGGAAAAGTTCAGTTCCACAAGACTTACGCATCGAATCCTTATTCTCCTCGTCAATCAGAACTTCTGACTGTTCGACGCCGTCGTCACTTATTGCAATCCTCGTCGTTCCGTTCTCATTGACACTCTTCCTCACGTGAACCTCTTCCACTTCGGCCAACGGATTCGCGAATGATGTCACCTTCATCGGCTCGTCTCCTCCTGCATCATCAAAACATTTGCTTTAGCGAAAAAGTACAAATAAAACTCACTCTGATCCACATTCTTCGCCAGTGACTGCAGTTTCTTGGACTTTCTGAGAGAACTCCGCAGAAATGTGCTCTCTTGCTCTTTCCGCCGCTTCTCCTGCATTTCAAACTGTTCCGGCGGGCGTCGAAGTGATCCCCTCTCGATTCCGAAGCCATTGGTGTGAACGGAAGTGCGAGGGGCTACGGTTGGCGGGCCTGACGTGGCAGCAATGTGTTCCATGTCATACGTATGGATTTCCGGGTATTCTCTGAAAAATTAGCAATGAAATGGGTGTGGTGATTCACAAGGGAACTGGGCAATAACACAATTTGAATGGAGCAAATGTGATAAGCGGCGGGGGAGGAGGCAAACGATAAGGAAACTGTGAATCACTTGCATTTCCCCTCAAGATATCTGACTATTGTGATGTGAACGCCCTTTTGTAAGGGAGAAGCAATCAACGATGACAATATGTGAGCAAAAAGCAGTATTGTCATCAGAAAAAGAGACGAATGACAAATAAATTGAAGAAGAGAGACCACAGCTGATTAGGAACGTAATGGGGTGAGTCTTGAGGAAACGCCGGAAAAGGAGTGCTCCGCGAGCACAAAAGATCGAGAGGAAGTACGACCTTTCGACACACACACACTCACACACAAGTTCCCAGTAATAAACGTACGAAAAGTGACCTTTCTCTTTCTCAGACTTGATCACGAGTACAAAACGATGAAAAGAGCGCAAAGAACGTTGGTTTTGTGAGCGGAAACGGTCTCTGTTGGCTAGTTTCGACCGATAAGCATCTAAATCGGTTTGGGTCGGGGGCTAATGCGTCCGTCCGTTCATTGCCCGTTCTCGACCCCAGCACCTGCCTTTTCCGGAAGAAGCCCGCTCACACCTGCCGCACTTTCGGGCGGATTCGGATCTATATTCGATAGGTTCAGGTATCTCGGTTATAACGATGAATGATGTGTTCGTCGTCAGCACCCACCCAGAGAAAGCGATAAAGAGAGAAAAGCGAAGAGAAGGGGGATTACGCATATATCCGACTGGTTATTTTGGAAAATCAAAGAGAAGAGGGGGAGAGGGGTGGGTGACGGGTATTACCGACCTTTTGCACACGGTAAAGGTGGGAGAGAATGAGAGAACGAGACCGTGCATATATGCCAATTATTCCAACAATCAGGGCGTTTCGGGATATGGCAGAGGGAGAGAGAGAGACTGCGGAGTCTAATTAGACAAGGTTAGGCACTTCAGGCAGGGTGCCGCTGTGACGGAAGTCGAAGGCTAGTATTATGTTTTGTGGTGGGTGGGAGAATTTGGACGCAAAAATGACCATTGCTACTGTATACATAGACGACGAAAAAGTGGAAAAGTAAAAAGTCATACTTGTTTGCGTTTCCGATCAACACACTTTTGGACAATACACTTCACAACTCTAGTAAATCGAAATCAATAGAACAGAGTGTCCCTCTCCCTCTCTTATTCTTTCAATTTGACATCGGAATCCAGTTGGAGAGAACCTGGAATTGTGGGCCGCGGTCACAGATTCCATTGTACACAGAGGCAGAAACAATGGAGAGGTATTGTAGTTGTTCACACACAGTCCGTTTTGCATCTTCATCATCTTTCGTGCGCACCGCGTGTTTGCTCATCACCAGCTTTACATTGGCCCCCCACCTGTACACAAATATTTATGAAAACGAAGAAGAAGACGAAGACGAAGACGAAGATGACGATACATTTCATTTTTTCCAGTTATTGTGTAACTCGTTTGCACTATATGCCACTTCTACGAAATTACTGAGCATGTTTATCAGCAGAAAAAGAGAGAACAATCCGGCTGAGAACGTTGGAACACAGGAAAGTGTGAAGAATGAGGAAAACGGAAGGAAAACGGAGATTCATGAGGCGTGAAAAGTGCACACTGTGACAATGGAACGACCTGCCTGCCCCGGGTGTTACGGGTATTGCCGGGTATTCTCCCCCGCAAAAAACGAGCGCGAAAAAGTGAGGACGAATTGAATAACTGTTTGGTTTGAAGAGATCGAATGGTACGCGGAGAGGGCAATAAACGCATTGTGTCAATAAATAACCATGTTTGAGAGTGAAAGGCGTCTAATTCGATATTCAGCTAGCTGGCTCTTCTAACGGTGTTCACACCGGAAAATTAGGATCACAAGTCAGACTGCTAGTGAGGGAGACAAAGTGAAAGAGAGAGAGAAACAGTGGGGACAGTATGTGTTTGAGTGTGTAATGGAGACATGCGAGTGATGAAACGAAATGAATGTGTGATAAGCGAGATGGGAGGTTCTCTTACTGCTGATGCTGCCAGCCACCCACTGATTAATGACCAAAGTGATGAGAGAACTGTCTTCACCTTGACAAGGAAAGACTGACCTAGTTGTGGGCGGAATTCCAAATTAGCTCACATTCATTCATAATCTCAGTGTTTTCGCGCCGAAACTGACTTCACCACGTTTCAAGGCCATTCATTAATTTCGAGAAAAGCGGGTCACTCGAAGCGGATTGGAAATGTTGGAACTTTGTGGGAACCGGATGGAAGAAATCGAAAAAGACTCAGAGGGGCATATTATTATTATTGGTATTCAGCATTCGAATGTGTATGTAGTCGGTCAGAGCACTTCAAAACTCTCTCTCTCTCTCTTTCCCTCTGTTCCCAATAGAGGACCGCCCGTTGGACGAACGCACCTGACCACACTAACCACTTGTATGACCCTGATTGGAGAGAGAGAGAGAAAGAAAGAACGGAGATGAAACTCACTTTTTGAGTCTCTTCGTCACTTCTTTGATATGATCCTTGTCAACCGAAACCAGGTAGGCGTCAGTCACAAGTCGGGTAGAATTTGTACCTGCGGGAAAAAGGAAAGTCGGTCTGTGATGTATGTTCTGGAGAACTTACAGTTGAAAAGAGAAGCCTCGTTCTCGGCTGGAATCTCGAGAGCACGTCGTCGGACTTTAAGTTGAATGATCTTGCGACGAATGCACTGAAAATGGCACAGGTTTGATCGAAAGTAAGGAGAAGAGGAAATGTGATACCTCTTGAATGTAGGTGGTGATCTCCTCATAGCTTTTTCCGTCGATTTGCATCTCATTGACCCCCACTATCTCGTCCCCAATGCTCAGGCCCGCTCGCTCGGCGGCAGTTCCTGTTAATCAGAAGATGTTCGCATGGCAACTGATCACATTGCTCACCATACAACCGGACAATCTTCTCTTCTCTCTCCACAAGTATCACAAATCCACTCAAAGGCGTCGTGATCGGCACGGACGCCTTCTTATTCCCCGCGCGAGCACTGCTCAACCGTCGAAGGGACGTCCTTTTCAGGTCGGACAGTGCCTGCGGAATCGACACCGACTTGGACATGGAATGGATTCAGATACAGATTCAGATTCAGATGATGATGCTGACGGTGATGATGATGAATATCTGAAGAATAGGGAAGGGAACGTGTTTTGGATTCGGAAATCCGAGGGAGTGTGCAAATAACGGGATGAGTTTTGGGCGAAGAAAATGAAAATTTTGTTTTTCCGAGATGGAAGAAACCAGAAATAGCACGAGTACCGAAGGAGTTGTAAATAAAAAGGGAAAGGGGAAAATGTCAGAAACACTTGGAGAACTGCTACTTCATGAAGGCGTCGTTGCGTGAATAATTGAGAAAAAAGAGAGAAGAGAAGAGTTGTGAAGAGTGCCCTTTCTTGGTTAATTGCGTTTTTTCTTTTCTTCTCACTGTCTTCTGGGCTCCTTGTGGTTTTCTTCTAAGCTCCGGAAGGACTACGGTATTCCCGGTCATTGACGAATAGAGAAAGAGCAAAAGAGCAGAAACTACAATAAAAGTGTTCTCGAAAAGAGGCAAAAGAAAGTGCAGCTGTCAGGAAGAAGAAAAAGACAAACAGACACCAAATAAAATTACACACACACACATCCGAGGAGAATTCATTTTGCTCAACGGAGCATTTCAATCAAAACGCTCTCGCTTTGCCTTTAAATAATTGCTTCTCGTTTGTGCTCCAGCAAGAATCACGAACGAACAAAAATAGTGAACGAGATTGATGATGGTGTCTCGGGGAATCTCATCCAGATTGATGGAACAGAGGATTAGGGGTGGCAAATAATTAGGGTCGCTGGAAGGTCCGGGAGAAAGAGAAAGATAGAGAGAGAGAGAGAGAGGGAGAAGCGGGGGAGCAAAAAGTCAGAGATTTGTGAAGCGTGTGGTGGCCGATACATGTATACAAAGTGGAAAGAGAGGAAGAAGAAGAAGAAGAAGAAGAGGAAGATACAGATGGAAGAGAAAGAAAGGAAGGAGCGGGGGACCAGTCTGGAGGGTCCAAGAGCAGATTGTGTGACACATGACCCGAGGGATTGTGGAGGCGCAGAACGCCCGACGACCAGCTGATAAGAGATGGGGGAAGAGAGACGTTCCACTTCTTCTATTTCTATGCCACAGAGGTACAGAACGAGGTTTGAAAAAAACGGCGATAGAAGTTAGAAGTCACTAGTCACCAGCGAGACCTTCAAAGTATCGGGCCCGCCGTATGTTTTAGAGTGACATTCGTGAACAAATCTAGACACTAGATATGATCTTTCTCTCGTGGAACCACCCCCACCACCCGAATCCGCCTTCATTCCCATCGAGACTGGCGTGAGAAACGTTTCCAATTTTCGGCTTTCTCCTTTTTTTGCCTTCTTTCCTCTTTCAAATACTCTTCGAATTCGACGAAGTGAAAACAGAAGTAACGAGTGGTTTTGTTTGGAAGTTGGGCAACGAGGGGATGATACGAGCAGCCTAGTGCGTACTCACACTTTTGTCCGAAAAAAGCGAGAAGAAGGGTCCTAAGAGAGTGTTGTCAGCTGGAAAGTTGACGGATTTGGAGGGGGGAAGGGGCGAGAAAAGCGGCAGGAACGGCGAAAGGCACATCGAAACGGCACGCAATAACAATAGAGAGATGAAGAAAATATTTGAGGACGGCCGAAACATACAAAAACGGAGGTCCAAGTGGTTTGTTGACGTGGCACCGCCGTAGATGGGAAATGATTACAAACCAAATTAGAAAACGCCTACGCATTTCTTCCGTTCTCCCCGATGTAAATCAAACCGTTCCCGTTCCCAGTGATCTATAATTCAATTACGAGACTTCCCATAAATGTAACCGTTCTCGCCATTCGAATTCATTCGCCCCCACATCATGCGACTCTTCCTGTTCTTCGCCCTCTTCATCGTCCTTCTCGTTTCGATACGTTCGGATGCTCGCCGTCAACGACTCATCAAATCTCGTTGTGAATCGCACGAAGACTGCCAGAAGTTCAAGAACAGTCGCCTTCCGACCTTCTGTGTTCACAACGTCTGCCACCGATCCCGCTCTAAGCAATCGTTGAAAATCTTTTGAGGAAATCATGAAATGAAGAATTGTTGAAAAACCAAAACTTTCGGGACGCTATTATAGGGACACCTCACAGTAATGGCGCTCTGTTGAGAAACTCTTTGGCGAGATTGCGAACAGAGCGCCATTTCTGTGCCATATAATACATAACACATAAAAGAAGCTGGACGAAGAAATGAAAACGAAAAGAAGGATCTCATAAATCTCGATGAGAATTCGGGTGCATTCCCAGGGCTCCTCGAGGAGGCTCTCTCGTTTTTGTTTCAATGAGCAATGTGATTATCGCCGCAAATAATGGGACTGAGCGAGATGAGAAGAAGAAGACGAAGAAGAAGAAGAAGAAGAAGAGGACGAAGGCCGTGGGCGGCACTTCTTGTCGGACTCCAGAGGCTAATTTGATTGCCGAAAAGAGAAGAGCTGTATTGGAAGCGGTTTTTGGGTTTCCAATGATCACCACTGTAGTGACCAACAATTAGAAATCTTTTATTATGTCTTTACACACATTCAGAGGGCACCCGTTTTTAATTAAAATAAATATTGGAAGAGATCATGCTTTGGTCTTTTTGACTATTTTGAACATCAAAACGTAAACTGTAAACTGAAAGACTGACAGTAATCAGAAGCTAAACCGGGAAATATCATGTCTAAAAAGTGCTAATATTCCGGCATATTCCGCATCCCATCGCGAATTCCTCGCCCGTCGGCGGATGCTTCATCTTCAACGGACATGCCTGCTCTTCCATCGGAGTGGATCGGGGACCGACCGGACACGAGGGGAGCAGATTCTTCGGGAGGGACATGAGACGCTGGAAGTCGTCGTGGCACGGAGCACAAAAGTGCGTGGTTCCGAAACTGAAATGGAAATTATCAGGTCAGAAGAAGATGAGGGTGCGGCAAGGCTTACCAAAAATATACTGCAATTGAGCAGCAGAATCGGCACTTGTACTCGAGATATTCTACTCCGTGCCTCGGACAAACTTGAACTCCACTGGTGTCGGAGCATCCTCCGCAGAGCAACTCTTCTGGATTGAATTGGGAACTATCTAGCGCCTGAAACTTCCATTCTCATAACACACATATTCACTTTCTTTCTCACCGCTTGACACCGGCTCTCTCCTCCGAAGTAGGCTTTCTTGCATTTGTGGCACAAAACGTACATGTATCGGTCCAAAGCGTATTCCTCTGGTTGATCGAAAAACTCGCTTCTTGGATCCGTGAGAGCCGGAGTGGCCAGCAATCCATCATACTCCAAACGCATCTTCCCCTTTTCCATAACTTCATGTCTGATTGCTTTCAGAGGTTCGATAAGATCATGAAGACCCTCGTGCTCAATGAGTTTGATGCAGAGAGGACAGTGCATGAACCGAAAGACTATCCTGGGACCATTCCATCTTCGTTCCAGAATCATTCGAACGCAATGGTAATGGAAAATGTGTCCGCAGCCGAGACGGATGCACGGAGCTGCGCCGAGTCGTTCTGTGAAGCAGATGACGCAGACGTCGTCGCCGTCTTGAGTGGCATCCGATGTTCTGCAGGTCAAACAGGGAAGACAGTCCTCTTCATTGCGTATTCCCCCGCAGAAATGGTTGCAAGTGTGCATTACTTGGCAAGCGGACCGCGCGTAGTTGACACAATCCTCGTGAGTACAGGTTCCATCGAGGTTTTGATCGGCTATTGGAACGTGGTTTCCACAGAATCGACACGTCATCGGATGAATTCCGAGGAATGCAGCTGAGTCTTGCATTGCTGGTACGATGGAACCGGTGGTTGAGGGGAAGAGACTGTCTGTTGCCACTTCAACCATTCCATTCAGTGCTTCTCCATGGAACAATATCTGAAAACATTCAACATTATTTTATGGTACAAGTATGTATTTCAGCTTACCAAGAAGTTTAAGAACTTCATCCTCGCGCAGCCTTGATGAATATTGATATCATGTTGTGCACTGGCTTGTGCTAGGTTCTTCACTCCATGATTTCTGTTCTTCTTGTGCAAATGCATAACTGTGAAGCATTCCTTGCACAGTGCCACGTCACAATCAATGCAGAACACTTGCGCTATAGTATGCCCGTCGTCATGATTCTCGCACAAAGACACCGGCTCCTCGTCCGCCTGATCTTGCACAGTCTTCCATCGTTCCGAGAGCTCGAGCCACGACTTGTTCTTGATGAGCGCTAACGAAGAAATTGCAGTCCAGAATCGCTTCGATCCCACTACTGCCACTGCCTTGCTCTTCCCGCCCGTAGTCAGCGTCTCCGTGTACGAAACGGATTCGGGAATCTGTACGAGACTGAGCAGACAGTTCGCCAACTCAGACTTCGCAGCATTCGACCACTCCGAACTGTAGTTGCCCTTGCAAAGATTCTCGACCAAAAGGGCAGTCTGCCTGCCGATGTCCATGTCGATCGGTTTGTCCACCCGCCAACTTTGAGGTGCATTCAGAACAGAGGACTGAAAGTAATACCGTTTTTGTTTCGAACCGAAGGAAGATAGACTTACACAAAGATGAACTGTGACCACTGTGTGAGCTGCCTTGTCTCTCACTTGCAATTGAATCACTTTTCCGACAACAACCAACAAATTTCGGATAATTTTCGGAACTTCCACATTGCTCGGAGAAAACGACCCAAAGATGCATTCAAGAGAGTTCAGACATTGTCTTTGCACAATGACCGGCGCAAAAATGAGCAGTTGAGTAATGGAAGTGAGCACGGAACTCTTTTGACCAAAGCTGTCCATGTTGCCCCGCGAATCACAGATCCGAACGAGGAGGCTCATGAGACCACAGCAGTAGGAGTAGTTCCTTTTCGACTTGTCACACAGCAGTTCCACCTCTTTTTCCATTGCTTGAACCACTTGACTGTAGACGTAATTTTGCAAAGGATAGAGTTGAACTCTACTGAACAATAAGTCGATCACTCTCTCGCGAAGAGTATCATCCTCGGAAAGCTCTCCGCAAAAGGCTTGCGATGAAATGGCCTGGAAGAGAGCAAACGCGTCACGTTGAGTGTCATTGAATAGAAGATGATGGGAGGTGGACGGAGCAAGACGAGGTGAATCCGAGTTCGTGACTGGGTATCCGAGCACAATGATCTGACGAACACGGGAAGCTGGACTGGGACCTTTGAACTGGATTTGAATGTGACTGAGGTCTTTGATGCAGCACTTCACCCAACCGCAGTAGGTCTGAAATATGAGAACTGTAGATTTAAGGTCATTTCAGTTATATAACTCACGGTTTCTAAGCTCAGGCTGGTGAGGTCCTTTCTTCGGCCATCTTCTTGAATTGCTTTGAAGGATACGGCAGTGATTCGGTAGCTATCATCTCTCGCGTTGTCGACGTACATGCACAGAATCTCGCCTCTCGCACTTTCCTCCAGTTGGACGACAAGAGAACGACTTCTGTTCTTATCCTGAAACTCTTTTATTCAGTGAAGAATGACTTCCGAATTGCCTACCTCCTCTCCACTTTCCCAAAAGGTTTCTCCGCTTTCGTCAGTCAAACAAATGACCATCGCTTGTCGACTGCTCGCCGTGATCTTTGCAAACTTGGTGATGTCCTTCATTTCCTTTATAAATCGATGATCCGAGTCTATAATAGAAGTTTCCGAGAGGATTCCTCCAACTGTTCCCAGAATGTTGCACGTGAGAATGAGCAGATCTTGTTCTTGGGCAGTCAGTTGAAGTGTCCACGACTTGAAACACAGAGACTTCAGGCGGCCATCAACTCCGGCCGACTGGAGAATGATGGAAACGGTGTGGAGGAAAGCGTGCAGTTGAGTGACCATGTCGGCAGCAATCGGACCAGCCAGGAAACAGAGTCTCCATGGATGCGGCAGGATGTTTGAGTTCTTTCTTGACGAGAACATGTATTCCGCCAGGCGGTTGTATGAGGTCAGAGTAGTCAGATACTGCAGGATGATGTCTGACACACTATATTCAGAGGAGACCATCCGGAGAAGCCAGTTCCAGACGCGGAATGCGTGGGCGAACGCGACTGCCCGACGGACGGACTGAACACAAGCCGAACGGATGCGTTTTAAGTCATGATGTTCCACGCAGAAGGCAAGCACGGGTCGCTTGAGAAGTGCCGAAGTGGATGGGTTTGTGTTGGTGAAAAGAGTACGGAGAGCAGCTGATGGGGACTGGAGGACTTCGGTCGGCTCGGTCACAGCTCCTTGTCGATTCAGCGACGCGGTTTGGTCTACGTAGTGCTCCGGCGGCGACATGATCAAGTTGACTTTTGGCCCCGGATCCGATGAATAGCCGAGCTTCATGTACGAATGTTGATGGACGGAATGCGTCTGTGGGACGTCCAGCCTACGCTGACTGCGCGGCATTGTGGACGGAGTACTCAAGTGAGTGGGGAAGAGGTTGATGGTCCAACCAGAAGTTGCAGCCGATGAAGTCTGAAACATATCAACTGAATTACATCAAAAAGTAGAACTTACATTAGATTCAGTTTGCAGTCTGCTGTTCAAATCCAGAAGAAACAGTGCATTCTGCCTGATTATCACTTCGGGTCGTGCATCGGAAGCAGACGTCGAGAATCTGAATTCTCTCCACCGTCGTGTCCTTTCCTGATGATGTCCAGCCGGAGTCTTTTTCAAGTATTGAGAGCGGCAGTTGTTGCACATCAAGTACCACGGAGACTGCCCTCTCCCGCCTGCTCCACACTCCCCAGACCATCCCGTTGTGAACTTTCCATTCGAGTTGTATCCATATCCAAGACAGTCTCCTCCGCATCCAGGATGAGCCATTCGAAGATGAACAGTCAACGGAACAGTGATGTGGGTGTCGCAGAGTTCGCATCCGCCAGTGTTTGTCGGCGGTTTCATAGAGTCCGAGAGCATGGCTTTGTTTGAGACAGGCGGCATTATAAGGTGTTGCTCCACACTTGTTTCCACGACTTCGCAGATTTCTCTCCAGATTTTGACGATTGGTTGGAGAGCCGCTGGCGCATTTGTGCAGGAAGGAATCTCACACGACTGCCAGATCTGAAACAGAACTAATGAATAATTGAAAACTTTTAGGATCACTTGCATTATGCAGATTTTGGTGGAATCTCAAGTAAGCAGCAGCTGCCATCAGATCCTTGACCAAGTGTTCGTGCCAAACGAAAGCGGCGAAGACAGACCGAATACAGTCGGACACAGAAGGTGTCAACGCATTCGGAAGTTTCGTTTTCCTGCGCTCCACCGGCCTCTCAAGATCCTCTTCATCGTTTCCATTGGTCGAAAAACTGAGTGAAGTTTCGGAAGACGGATCGTTCTTCTGCAGAACGTACTTCTCAACGCCCGCCAGTTTAATCCAAACACCGTGTCGATTGGCCAACCATCCACTGCTCATCAGATCGCACGGCCCCGTGATCTTCTCGCCTTCGATCATTGAATGAGGTGCCGGGGCAGAGTAGACTTGGAGAATGTCATTCGGAGAGAGAATGTACGTTTCGGAAGCGTCGATGGAGACACTGTGATGCTTGCTGCCACTCGATTCCTTCTCGATCTCCTTTCGTCGCAGTTTCACAGCCTTTTCGCGATCTTTGTCTTTTCCCAGCGGGATCAACTCTCTTTGCAATGGTTTGTGATATGCCAAACACCACACTTGGCCACTTCCCTGAGTACAACCATAGAGAAGGGCGGTCTCATCGGTCAGTCGGATCCATTTTCCGTCTTCATTCTCACTCTCCTCGATGAACTCAACTAGTGCTCCGCGAGGAATCACTCCCACGCACGTTGATGCCAAAGTAGTCCCCACGCGCATACGAATTCCGGAAAAGTCGCTAGAGAACGGAACGGAAACAGTTTGTGCAATGGTCATCTGAGCCCCTCGACGGGCTCCTCCACTTTTCGAATCTTCTCCGCCACGTGGAACCCGATCGTTAACCTCGACAGTGTACGTGTGCGAGATGTCGTATCCATCCACTTTGCACTCGATTCGATAGCTTCCTGATGCTGTCGGAGTCCAAGATCCAGAGAAAACGGAAGAGTCGACAGGTTTGAGTGGGATCCGATCTTTGATTAGTTCTTCCTTCATGAATCCAAGCCGGATCTCTTCGACAGTGTAGTTGGCGAAAGCAGGCATCGCAGCGATATTCATATATCTCGTGTGATTGACGATGATCGGTTGGAATGGGTTCTGCTGGATGAGAAGTGACGAGGGCAAATTGTCGATGGGCAGGTTGTGTGTTATATTCGAACTAACGTTCTTATGTCCAAGAGAGGCAATCACTTCCACTTGCAGTTTCGGACAGTCCACTTCTCTGTCGTACTGATCTCGACAATTCAGCTTCAAAGTGACAGCCTTGCCCACAATCATTTCATCTTGAGAAAGGGAGAGTTGACATTTGGAGGCATCCACAACTGGGCCAGTTGGCAACCACTTTGCCATGAAGCCAGCCGAAGAAGCCGTGTGCCCGGAAAGGAACTCACGAAGGAACTGGAGATCCACCGACTGAGCAGGAGGAGGTTGTCCTTTGGTACAGAGCTCGCTCAGAGTGGGCGAGTGACTCAGACTGAGTCCCTTCTTCAGAAGACTTCCGTGCTTCTCAAACAGATGTCGGGTGTCATCCTCCGCAGTGCTCAGATGTTCAATGTTCCTCGGATTGATCGGAAGTTGCGTCATGATCCTGCAGGCGTTGGCTGACAACCACACGAGATCCTGTTCCAGTCGCATCGTAGTATCATTGTAGCCAACAAGATACCCGGTAACTGTCACGTGGTATCCGAACAACTGCTCAGGTGTTGCTCCTTCCACAGCGGACGATGCATCAAGAACGAAAAGAAGGCAGTTGCCAGGGAGTATCATCGGGTAGGAAGGCCATTCGGTTCCGTAGCATCTTTCCACGGGCATGTACGAATGATCGTCGATTTTCAGGTAAATAGTCAGTTGATCATCGAACTGGGCAGTCTGGCAATCCGGAGGAGAAACGCACGCAAACGTAATCCGCATTTTCGAAGAAAACCACCATCGAACTTGAGGAACTCGGCCGATACGGATGCTGACTTTCAACTACGGTTGTGATGATTCCGGAATAAGGAGCTTCGCATCCACTGTCTTCAGAATCGAACGAATGTAACACCTGAAAGACACACTATCATTTGAACCTGCATCACTTTCGGAACTGACCCTTTCAACACCATTCAGGTTGGAAACCATTGGAATCAGCTGCTCCATCGTCGACATCACTTCCAATGCCTTGTCCGGGAATCGCTCCATGAACACCATCACGTGCGGACTGATGTGCGACATCAGATGTTGGCAGCAGGAAGGAAGAGCACCTCCGTCCGTGATTGCCGCTCCTATCTTGTTGGCCATCAAACGGAGAAGAAGAGTGAACGTATCATGGATGGTCTCCTGAGTGATTTGAATGTTGTTTGTTTGATCAAAGATCGAGTAGAGAAGAAAGGGAAGTTGTCCACGTTGCACAGTTGTTCCATTTTGGCTCAAAGAGCACCCGGAGAAGAAAAGACGTGCTCCGTTGAGAAGCCTCACTTGAGTAACTCCGCCCTCTCCGCAAAACGTCTTCGAGTTCTTGAGCATGTTCACTTTGATCGCATAAGTGACTCCCGGAGACAGAAGCACGTAATCAGGGAATCTGACTATCCCGACTTCCTTCTCTTCCAATGCCATTTCTGCAGAGACCCGTAGAAGGCACGTCCATTTTCCGATGCATCTGGAGACAACATCAAAATCTCGCCGGTGAAGTTTCGTCGATCTGCTTCCAATGGCAAGTATATTCCAAATCCGTGAAGTTTGACGCCTTCAGAGTCCACGCGAAAGGCTACTGCATCCGCACATCCATCTGACATATCCCATGTTGGCTGCGCACTTCTCCTTCTGAATCTTGACGACGTCTGATGCACTACTGGTCCCATCACGCCGTCTTCTGCTGGGATCGCGAGCTCATTCGACACTTTCACTATGATCTTTTCCGCCATGCTTGACGTGTTTTCATAGGCATTCCGCATAAATGTCTGGTCGTAGAGGAAACGGAGAATGTTGGGGAACGACGTCAGTGTTGCCAGGGTTTCTTTTTCACAATTGAAGTGTTTCAGCAGAAGAGAAGAGAGCATGGGGAAGCGGTCGTTGTTGTAGTTCGGACTCAAGAGGCGGTGTGCAATCCGATCGGTTTTGGCGAGACTTCCAACAACGGCAGATGTCAAAATCAACGTGTCGTGAGAGTTTCTGGACATCACAGCAATCAGATGAGCGTTCACGAGGCTTCGGGAGGCCATGAAGCAATGAGAGAGGGAGATGAACAGCTTCACCGACTCGGAAACGCATTGCATCAGTGTGTAGCCTTGTTCGACCACCTTCTCCTCTTTCCTGACGAGCGGCCGGTTCTCGTATTCAGTCATGTCGGTTGAAAAGAAGAACTCGAGGAGCATGGAATGCAGACTGACCACTTTGTTGGCGAAATCAATGCCTGGTTCCTCCTGGTGACCGTTCTCCTTGTAGACGGTCTTCACGAATCTGGAGAGCAGCCTCATGCAGATCAACACGATGAAGCCCGCTCTTTCCTGGTTCCATTGTTTTTCCGCACTCTCTTGCACTTGATTGTTCACATCTTCCTCGATTTGAATTCGCTGGATAGCCCATTCCATGAGAGACAGAACATTTCCGATGCATTCCGCGGTGATGTTCTTCATTGCCATTGGAGAAAACAGGTTGGACATGTCTCTGCTGATCGACAGTTGTCTGCCGACATCCCGTCATCCCTAATGTCGTTCGCCGCTCCTGACAGCTGATAATACAGCTCTGGAATCTGTCCAACATTGACGTCAGTTCCATTGTTCGAGACCACAGAATTCCTGAACTGGAACGTCACGCCGTCACAATCCACGAGATGCTTCCCATTCGCTCCACAATCAGAAGACGGGCCACTGATTTTGGCGCTGACGACGTGCCACTGATTGGGTTGGATGACGATCGGCTGAGAGAAGAGAAGAGTCGCCGTCTCGTGGGCTCCGCAGTCATACATTGTTTCGTCGGTCTCCGTGATCTGCTCCACGTACAGCTCATCAGCGTCTGCTCCCATCAAACGATAGAGTTTGAGCTTTGAAATGTATTCACCGCGACCTCCATACAGACCAACTCCAACGAGGCGGATCTCCTTGGACACTTTGAACTGAATCGCTTCGATAGAATGCGCCGAGTATCCCCAGCCACCGCCAGTCCCTTCGAACCGGTTGACGACGGAGTATCCTTCAGTGATTGCTCTCTCCGAATCCTCTTTGTCTCCATTCTTCTCCTTCCAGAAATCAGATAGATTTATCACGTTCGCAGAGTACGTAGCCGACAGTAATTGCATTCCAAGGCTCATTGAAGACGCATAAGCCGGACTGTCATAGACTTGAACTGCAAACTCTGTGCCAGCCAGGTAGCACAAAGAATCAAACACGTCCGTCACGGATTTGTCGGATTCTTGAAGATGTCGTATCCCTTGATCTCCATCTCTGCCGAATTGTAGTACCACAGCATGTCGTACTTAGGATCGGTCGCCCAGGAGGTGTACCAACACTTGTAGTCACTGTCGTGATGCTCGAAGAGATTCATTTTCCGCCGAATCACAATGTAGTCCTTGCCGACTTCTCTCGGAAATATGAAGATATTCGTCTTGTTGGCAACAATCTGAGCCTTAAGAATGTTTTCAGTGGTGAGAAGGGCAGTGTGGCTGTGAATGATAGTCGAATCTCCATCAGCTCCAATCCATCCAGCAAAAGCGGAAAATCCGGGACCGTAACCATGTACTTTTCCGGGTGTTGCATTCCAGCCAGTCTTCTCTCCGGCAGGCCGTGCCAGTTGGCCTTTTCCAAATGCTCCGAATGTGAACACACTTCCATCGTTTGCTCTCAGAACTGTATGATTGGCTCCGGCAGCGACTTGAACAATGACGACGTCAGCCGGAAGGATCACTTGTTGAGGAGTGCTCTTTCCAAGAGTGTCACCCACTCCCAGTTGTCCGTGACAATTCGATCCGAACGTGAACACGCGACGATCCGATGCCAGAAGTACGGTGTGGAAGTTGCCGCAGCTCACACTTGACACCTTCACGTCATGTGGTCCTTTGCTGAGAACCACTCTTGCCGGGTGTAACGTGCTTTTTTGCGGAGCTGCCGTCGAACTGAACTGCACATGCTGAATCCTTCCCGGCTGTGCTGGCTCCGTGATCTCTCCACAAGGCCGACAGAGTCCACATCTAAGACACGTGGACTCTCCCACTCCGCAGTGACACATTGTTCCTTTGGCTCGAGGAACTCTTCCACAAGCGACTCCTCTTGCAGAACACAAACCGCATTGAGAGCAGACTGACGGGGTGTCGGTGATCCACGTATGCTCGCCGATCGGACAAATGTGGTATTCCCGTCGGGCAGAAGTTCGAGGAGAAGAAGTGGCCGAGTTGGATTCCATCCTTCCGCACTGATTCATGTTGTTCAGTCCCCAGGTGAACAGGTGACCACTTCGAGACACAGCCACTCCGTGGGATTTTCCGAGAGCCAATGTGGAGATGTGCACATTATCAAGTCCACTGAGCATTTGATTGGAAGCGTTCACTCTCATAGCGTGCAGTCCTCCCATGAACACTTTTCCGTTCTCAGTGACGTATCCGTACATGTGGCCGCAAGCACAAACGTGCACTGTTTTCCTTCGATTCGACGCGACCAGTCTGCGAAGCCTTCCGTTTCGCTTCTTATCGTCAACACTTGCAATCCAAGAGTGTCCTGCTCCGGATCGAAACATAATAGTATCCACTCCAACTGATATCTGCACAATCGGCTCCGGAAGACACAGTTCCATCCAGTTGTTGCCGGTCTCGTGAAGTCCAAATCGAGTTCCGTTTCCAGCATAATATACTTTTCCGGAGCGTGCTTGAATGAATGCGATCTCACGAGTTATGTGCAAATCGACAGTTTGAGCTGAAAGTGAGAAATAATTAAATCGAGAAGAGCAGATGATCGACTTACGATGAAGGTTAGGCGGAAGGTACTCGGGCAGTCTGTGCGGGTTCTGAATGTCTCCGAACGGCGTGAACTTCACATCCGTCAGTCGATGACTCTTTCGGGATGAAGGTTCATTCGACGGAGAAAATGAGTCATTCAGTTGGATCGTCTGAATAGGAATTGATTCGGGGATGAAAGAAGAAAAGGAACTCACTGATAATGTAGAATTGGCAATCAAAGTGGCACTGTAGAAGTACGCTCCGTCGGTGAAGAGCGCGTGTTGAACACACGTGGGAGGTAGTATCACTTCTCCGATGTCAAGAAGAGAATCCGTATCGATCACGGAAATGCACGACGAATAGTTTCTCCGTAGGTACAGAGATCCATTGCAAAGGTACATTTGAACGTTTTTCGACGATTTCAAACTTTGATTTGCCGCGTAAAGCTTTCCAGCGATGGTTTCATTCAGTCCGGTGCCCAGTTTATAAAGACCCACGTAATTGAGAATGTATAGGAATGTCCCGTCACAGGCCATCGAGCTGTGTATCCGATTGTCGTCGTCCGGTGTGTCCGAAGAGGGCGAGCTGTCCGGAAGGGTCGGCAGACTGAAACTGCTGGCCACCGAGTGTTCGTGGACGTCCGTCAGAGACCAGTTGGGCCTGAAGGCATTGAATTACTTTTCAGATTATGATTATTCCGTTTAACTTACGGAACATTGGTGACGTCTCCTCCGAGTGCTTTCCTTCTCACTTTCAATAAAAGTCTTCTCAAGTTCTCAGGCATTTGAATCAAGTCATACGTGGAATCCGCACTCATTCTCACATTCTTTTTTGCACAGATCAGCGATCGAATCGTGCAACTCAAATGCTCCGGCTCGCCGCATGCAACTGCGAGTGCAACAAGACACGACGTGGCTTTCGAGCTGACTGAAGGGCAGCCGTCTTCCCGAAGAGTCCTGAGCACATTGACCATCGCAACCATTGACAGACGGTTTTCAGTTTGAAGACACTCGATTGGCATCGACTGAATCAGGGAGAGCAAGCTTTCGAGAGCTTGTACACAGAGATCGGCGTCACGTCGGCTCAGTTGTTCGAGAACTTCAAAAATACACGTCAAACTAGCTCCAACCAGCTGATCAGTCTGAAAACGAAATCTTGTTTGAGCTGAGGTACGTGAATTCTCACATTCTTGTGCTGCTTCGTCTCTTCTTCTGCTCTGCTTGCCCCAACGTCTTCTTCACCTTTCTCGTTCTTCGAGAACACGTCTTCCGGATTGCCGAACCTCGCCAAAATGGATTTTGCAATTGCGACCAACGCGAATGGAGAAGGTGGTCCCACCACGAACTTCGAGTTCAAAATGTCATTGAAGCTGATCTGCGGTTGCTCAGCTGCCGCTTTCTCTGGAAAGTAATCCCTCAATGCCCTTGCCATAATGAATGAGACTCACCATCTTCGACATCTGTCTTTCCGCAGAACGCGGGCACCCGAAGGATGTCTGGCTTGCACGTGTTCTCCGCACACTTGTACAGAAGCTTCCGCAGCCGTCTCGCACTTTTCTTGTCCTCTGAAACGGGCGATGACGCCACTTGCGAACTTGTGGAGCATGTCCGTTCACCGTCAATTTCACGGAGGAAATATGACATTCTGTGGGTGTTTGGGCGATGAATTGATTAGGACCTTGATTCACGCCATCTGAGATCTGCAAAGATATAAGCATTGTCATTTTGTGAAGAGTAGGTTAACAGTTGAGCAAAGGACAGATAGAGAGAAGAGAAGGAGAGAGAAAGTAGAGGCAATATTGACAGAACTGTTTTCCACTGTTTTCTATCCAACCACGTGGTGCCTCAAAACCAACTAACTGGTTGCCAAAATATCAAAAAAAGTGATTCGGAAGTCGAATTGCGGGGCCGTGTCTGCTCTTTTGCAAACTGAAAAGTGTAGGAGACGAAGAGAAGGTCCGAAAAAGGGTATACGGCCGTTTTGTTGAGAATAGGACGAGAAGGAGAGGGCGAAGGAGGGAAAAGGGAAGAGACAGCACGTTCCCACCGGAGACAGCTTGCCTCGTAATGGACAGCAAGCCAGAGGAGAAGGCGATTGCGGGGAAGCGCAGAGACCGAGAGAGGGACGGGTGTCCCTAGATGGACAGAGGAGGGCTCTGTGTGAGAAGTGACGAAAAGCGGAGATGAAGACGGAAAGACACGGGCGGAGAGATTGGAAACATGATACGATTGGAGGAGAAGCCGCATTGCTACTTATTTTGGCTGGCAGGTTGAAAGAAGAATGGCATGCTCGAGTGAAAGCTAGAATACAATTGAAATATTGGAAACAATCAGTCAAACGGAATACAATTCAACGTTTTCTCAATTCATGAACAAACAACTGAAATGCCCAGTAAGATTCATCCCGAAAGATCCCGCCGACAGACGTTCTTCAGAAGTACAGATATATCAAAACTAATGGCCTTTTCTGTTCACTCCCCTCATTCAACAGACGCCAATCTCGATTCGAAAACATATTTCATATAACCTCTCCTCTGAAGTAACCGACATTCAATTCTACTAATTTGTTCATAGACTATGAGCGCGAGATATCTCAAGAAGTGTTTACTTCTCGCTTCTGCATTCATTCTTCTATTTTTGTTGGCTGACGTTTTGGAGCGTGCTGGATCTTCGAGTGACTTGTATAAACTTGAGCAGAAAGCTTTAAATGTTTATGATCGTTGGAGAAATTGTGTTGTGAAGGGAATGTCCGAAGATGCAGATAGAGTAGGTGTGAGAGAGTGCCAATGATTATTTGTTCATTTATTTCAGTTCTGGCACAATTCGTCTCCACTATTCCAATTCTGCAGAGAGGTGTCTGATGTACTCGATGTGCTGAATGTAATCAATGTCAGGAGCAAGTACCATGCTCTCCCAAACTACTCTAGAAGGCAGGAATATAACTTTTATCTGTCGCTAGGACTTGAAGATGGAGTGGACACTGAGTTGGAAGTGAAAACGGTAAGTACGGTTTTCCTACAATCGGAATTCTATCTTTCTAGATGTTTCCCTATTCTAAATTCTTCGGTCGCCCGACTCAAACTCTTCCGTCTTCCCATCCGAACTTGGCACCTTCTTGCCATTCTCAGTCGGCAATGCGTCAGGTGTCTTCGAAGCACTCGTTCTGTCGGGAGAAACCGCCTCGTTCCACACGAACATCACACAAAAAGCAAAGAAAATTGATGTCGTTCTTCTCGTAAAGAGCTATGTGAAACATGACGTAAGTTCCGCCCAAACCTTCTTGTTTCCCCTGTTTTTTTTTCCAGTTTTTCGGAAATTTGTTCATTAGTATTAACGATGAACACGATATATTCCACTACTTCTACAGGAACGGTATTTTGGAAAGAACAAGGATTGTGTTTTGTCAGATAAATTGGGTAATCCATGACGGAAATTCGCGTCGTAAGGAACAATTTTGGAAGTTTGTGCAACAAATCCTAGACGACCGAATCTACATGATTTTCATGGATTCGCTGGCAAATGATCACCGATTATTCCTGATTAACTTTGCGAACCGGAAGTGTTTGCGCAAATATATTCACTAATTTATGCAATGCCATTGAAACAATATGCATCAAATTATTCAAAGTTGGCTTTTCTCGCATTGATTCATGAAGAAATTCACGTTGACGAAGTGCTGAAAAGAAGGAAGGGGTAACTTAGATAAGAAAGTAATAAAAGCTCACATTATGGAATCCGGTCCATTCCTTGGCACTGCAAGTCTCGGTGATCTCCTTCTTCAGGCAGTAATCCTTTCCGAAATAGGTCTTGCACGCCTCCTTTTTTGCCTCGACCTTCTTTGTCTCGTCCTTCTCGTTTTTGACATCCGGGAACGGATCCCAATCTTGGTAGCACTTGGACTTCTTCGTCTCCAGTTTCTCGGTGCACAAAGCAAAGTCAGTGGAGATGTAGACGACTAAGTCGCAGTAGGATTTGATCATTTTCGGAACATCCACCTCTTCTTGGTCTTTCTTTGCACGGCAGTTGAGGACGGCGAAGCAGGATTGGAGGGTGTCGCACGACTTCTTGAACTCTTTGACCTCATTCTTGTCGTCCATGTCCAACTCGTCAATCTTCTCGATGAAGTCGTTCATGCGCTAAAAATGAGATCGAATGATGTGAACTGTTCAAGGTTAATCGACTTACGAAAAGACAAGTGAACGCCTGAAGTCCGTCAGCCGTCGTGCAGTTGCCCTTCTTATCTCTGGAAGTGGCCAGACTCGCCGCCAGGACGAGATCCAAGAGCATTGCTCCAACAATGAAAAATTTGAAGAAACTTCCCATTTCCTGAAACAGCCAAAACATTGGACTGGGGAAATAAAAAAAACTGAATGAATGGCTCAGCGGGAGCATGAGCATGAGCCAGAACACTGTAGCAACTGTTAGGGGAGGAGTTTGGGAAGAAATGACACGTGCGCTTTAAAACATTCCTGAGAGTTGTTTGTCGGATTGCGATGAAACCAAGAAGAAAGAAATTGAGAGCACTTAGGCAGCAATGGGTTTATTTATAGTTACTGAATCAGGGAGAGCAAGCTTTCGAGAGCTTGTACACAGAGATCGGCGTCGCGTGGGCTCAGTTTTTCGAGAATTTCACAAATACACGTCAAACTAGCTCCAACCAGTTGATCAGTGTTAAAGGGAAATCTTGTTCGAGCTGAGCTACGTGAATTCTCACATTCTTGTGCTGCTTCGTCTCTTCTTCTGCTCTGCTTGTCCCAACTTCTTCTTCGCCTTTCTCGTTCTTCGAGAACACGTCTTCCGGATTGCCGCACCTCGCCAAAATGGATTTTGCAATTGCGACTAACGCGAATGGAGAAGGTTGTTTGTCGGATTGCGATGGAACCAAGAAGAAAGAAAGAGAGAGCACTTAGGCAGCAATGGGTTTATTTATAGTTTCAAGCAGTGTCTAAGTATCGAAGAGCATTCAGAACTTTTCAAAATCGCAAAGGTCCATGGCTCTGTTTAAGGCGAGGAAATGCTGAAATATAATACGTTTTCGGAAGAATACCCAAAATTTGGTACCTTCTTGAAGTCCTTCCATTGAGCAGCTCCACAGGCGTCGACGATATCCTTCTTCAGACAGTTGTTCTTGCCGAAAAAGTTCTTGCACGCCTCTTTCTGCTCCTCAGCCTTGGTCTCATCTTTTTCGCCGTCCTCGTTGATTGCCGGGAACGGATCCCAGTCTTTGTAGCAGGTGGAGTTCTTCTGCTCCAGTTTCTTATCGCATTCATCGAATTTATCGGCGACAAACTCGACAGCGTTACAATAGGAAGTGACCTTGTTAACGAGATTGACGGATTCCGATTTCTTCGATTCGCACTCGAGAGCCTTGGCGCACTTGATCATCGAATCGCACGATTTCTTGAATTCAGCCACGGTCTTCCCGTCATTCATGTCAAGGTCGTCAATTTTCTCTACAAAGTCTTCAGCGCGCTAAAAACCGAAAAACGTCTGTTTTACAAATAAAAAAGGGAAATGCTTACGAGATAGCAAGAGAGAGCCAGGAATCCATCGGCCACCGTGCACTTGCTTTCCTTGGCATCTGCGGTAGCAACACTTGCTCCGAGAGCCGCACCGAACACCACCGAGCAGACCGCTACAAGTTTGAAGACACCCTTCATCTCCTGAAATTAAAATGAATTTTAGGAAGGGAGGAAGTGGATTCTGAATGGCTGAATGGCTCTTTCGCCTTTTTATCTTGCTCTCAGAACAGTTGTCCTTGATGTGCGCCTCATGTCACTCACCTTGAAAACTTCATTCGTTACACAAGCATCAGCGACAAGTTTCAATGTTAGTTTAGGAGAATCAAAACTGAAACGCGAGCATAAAGCAGTGCGAACTACTTCGACTGATCTCCGGAAAACCTGGAAATATTGTAGAACTGTTGTAGGAACTTCTAAAATTCTCTTCCGGTTATTGACTTTCTTTGGTTGGTATCAGGCGGTCGGGCTGCGAGTTTCTGTACTCATCGGTTCTTCCAGCTTCTTCAACTATTTTCCCTTTTTCAGTTGGTTCGTCGTGTGTCGCTGCTCTTCGGTCAGGGTGGGCGAGTCTGCCCTTCAGTTACGTATTGCTGTCAAATTGCTATCTAAATTTATTAGACCATAATAATATAATAACCTAAGAGATGGGACCATTTGCATCAATAAAATAATAGTTGGAAAAACACTACAAAGAAGTTCACCAAATTGATACTCAATCTTTTTACTCTTAAAATAAAAAGTTCTAAAAATTAAATATCTAAAAAGAAGACTGACAAAAACTAAAACCCCCAACAGAAGTCTACAATTAAAACTATGAAATCAATCTATATAACCAGCAAATAAACTATTCTGAAATAATAAATTATAACCTTGAAAAAAATTATTAATTAATCCTCAAAACCACTTGATTGGAAGTCAAACATACTAACTTATACTAAAGAATCTTAAAGTTTAAACCTTTTTATTGACAATAAAATATACTATATTATACTAAAACTTTTAATAAGAGAAAATCACCTCAAGGGTATGAACCTTGCAGACTATATTATCCTATCTTACTAAAAATCTACACCATTTAATTTGCAATTAAATATACTAAATTATACTA